CCACAGAGACCAGCCACACACAGACAAACCACAGAGACCAGCCACACACAGACAAGACTTAACCACAGAGACCAGCCACACACAGACAATCCACAGAAACCAGCCACACACAGACAATCCACAGAGACCAGTCACACACAGACAATCCACAGAGACCAGCCACACACAGACAACCCACAGAGACCAGCCACACACAGACAAGACTTAACCACAGAGACCAGCCACACACAGACAATCCACAGAGACCAGCCACACACAGACAACCCACAGAGACCAGCCACACACAGACAACCCACAGAGACCAGCCACACACAGACAACCCACAGAGACCAGCCACACACAGACAAGACTTAACCACAGAGACCAGCCACACACAGACAAGACTTAACCACAGAGACCAGCCACACACAGACAATCCACAGAGACCAGCCACACACAGACAAGACTTAACCACAGAGACCAGTCACACACAGACAATCCACAGAGACCAGCCACACACAGACAATCCACAGAGACCAGCCACACACAGACAAGACTTAACCACAGAGACCAGTCACACACAGACAATCCACAGAGACCAGCCACACACAGACAATCCACAGAGACCAGCCACACACAGACAACCCACAGAGACCAGCCACACACAGACAACCCACAGAGACCAGCCACACACAGACAACCCACAGAGACCAGCCACACACAGACAATCCACAGAAACCAGCCACACACAGACAATCCACAGAGACCAGCCACACACAGACAACCCACAGAGACCAGCCACACACAGACAACCCACAGAGACCAGCCACACACAGACAAGACTTAACCACAGAGACCAGCCACACACAGACAACCCACAGAGACCAGCCACACACAGACAACCCACAGAGACCAGCCACACACAGACAACCCACAGAGACCAGCCACACACAGACAACCCACAGAGACCAGCCACACACAGACAACCCACAGAGACCAGCCACACACAGACAAGACTTAACCACAGAGACCAGCCACACACAGACAAGACTTAACCACAGAGACCAGCCACACACAGACAATCCACAGAGACCAGCCACACACAGACAAGACTTAACCACAGAGACCAGCCACACACAGACAATCCACAGAGACCAGCCACACACAGACAAGACTTAACCACAGAGACCAGCCACACACACAGACAACCCACAGAGACCAGCCACACACAGACAAGACTTAACCACAGAGACCAGCCACACACACAGACAACCCACAGAGACCAGCCACACACAGACAAGACTTAACCACAGAGACCAGCCACACACAGACAATCCACAGAGACCAGTCACACACAGACAAGACTTAACCACAGAGACCAGCCACACACAGACAAGACTTAACCACAGAGACCAGCCACACACAGACAACCCACAGAGACCAGCCACACACAGACAACCCACAGAGACCAGCCACACACAGACAACCCACAGAGACCAGCCACACACAGACAACCCACAGAGACCAGCCACACACAGACAACCCACAGAGACCAGCCACACACAGACAAGACTTAACCACAGAGACCAGCCACACACAGACAATCCACAGAGACCAGCCACACACAGACAATCCACAGAGACCAGTCACACACAGACAAGACTTAACCACAGAGACCAGCCACACACAGACAATCCACAGAGACCAGTCACACACAGACAAGACTTAACCACAGAGACCAGCCACACACAGACAACCCACAGAGACCAGCCACACACAGACAAGACTTAACCACAGAGACCAGCCACACACAGACAATCCACAGAGACCAGCCACACACAGACAAGACTTAACCACAGAGACCAGCCACACACAGACAAGACTTAACCACAGAGACCAGCCACACACAGACAAACCACAGAGACCAGCCACACACAGACAACCCACAGAGACCAGCCACACACAGACAACCCACAGAGACCAGCCACACACAGACAAACCACAGAGACCAGCCACACACAGACAATCCACAGAGACCAGCCACACACAGACAATCCACAGAGACCAGTCACACACAGACAATCCACAGAGACCAGTCACACACAGACAAGACTTAACCACAGAGACCAGCCACACACAGACAAGACTTAACCACAGAGACCAGCCACACACAGACAATCCACAGAAACCAGCCACACACAGACAATCCACAGAGACCAGCCACACACAGACAATCCACAGAGACCAGCCACACACAGACAAACCACAGAGACCAGCCACACACAGACAATCCACAGAGACCAGTCACACACAGACAAACCACAGAGACCAGCCACACACAGACAAACCACAGAGACCAGCCACACACAGACAATCCACAGAGACCAGCCACACACAGACAAACCACAGAGACCAGCCACACACAGACAATCCACAGAGACCAGCCACACACAGACAAGACTTAACCACAGAGACCAGCCACACACAGACAAGACTTAACCACAGAGACCAGCCACACACAGACAAGACTTAACCACAGAGACCAGCCACACACAGACAACCCACAGAGACCAGCCACACACAGACAAGACTTAACCACAGAGACCAGCCACACACAGACAACCCACAGAGACCAGCCACACACAGACAAGACTTAACCACAGAGACCAGCCACACACAGACAAACCACAGAGACCAGCCACACACAGACAAGACTTAACCACAGAGACCAGCCACACACAGACAAGACTTAACCACAGAGACCAGCCACACACAGACAAGACTTAACCACAGAGACCAGCCACACACAGACAAACCACAGAGACCAGCCACACACAGACAAACCACAGAGACCAGCCACACACAGACAACCCACAGAGACCAGCCACACACAGACAACCCACAGAGACCAGCCACACACAGACAATCCACAGAGACCAGCCACACACAGACAAGACTTAACCACAGAGACCAGCCACACACAGACAAACCACAGAGACCAGCCACACACAGACAATCCACAGAGACCAGCCACACACAGACAATCCACAGAGACCAGCCACACACAGACAATCCACAGAGACCAGCCACACACAGACAATCCACAGAGACCAGTCACACACAGACAACCCACAGAGACCAGCCACACACAGACAATCCACAGAGACCAGCCACACACAGACAACCCACAGAGACCAGCCACACACAGACAAGACTTAACCACAGAGACCAGCCACACACAGACAAACCACAGAGATCAATAATTGGAAACATGCCTTGTTAGCGGAATAGCTATATAGACATAAATTATTATTTCCTTACCAAACGTAGACAGAGGTATGTCAAACATCTGTTCGCCATATGGTACCCGAACCCACCACCCTGTCCTGTGGAGTGGTGGGTTCAATTCCCGTCTAGCTAAAACGACTCAGTCTTTTAAAGGCCTGTAGGGGTCATCCATAAATGACGTCACGCTTTTTTGGACGATTTTTACCTCCCCCCTCCCCTCCGTCACACATCGTCATAAAAAGCCAGACCCCCCCCCTAATATGACGTCACACCTCAGCCTACGAACCCCCCCCCCCCCCCCCTCAAAATTGCAGTCGAATTTTTTTTTTAAACATCGATATTTTTCCAAAATCTTGTCTGAACAGAGTATTTTAATCAACTGCTATTACAATTTATTAAAAGAGCAGTTTTCTTAAACGCGAAATAGCGTCTAAAATTAGTTTTCTAACATTGCTTTTTTATAATGCAAAAGTGTGACGTCGCACCATCTGAACCTACCCCCCCCCCCCTCCCCCTCCTCACACACCGTCACAAAATTACGGACCCCCCTATCCCTACGAGTGTGACGTCATTTATGTGTGACAGACAATGAGTCCTGGTGTAAATTAAAAATTAAAAACTAGGCTGACGGTGACCAGAAAGATGCGCAACGGAAAAAAAAAAACGCAAAGGAAAAGCGACCTTAACGAGAAAGCAAAAGGGACAACACCGTTTTAATTTATGTGTGAATAAACGATATTGACAGAGTTATCTTAACATAGGTTAAAAAATTAAACTGATTTCCATTTGTGGCGCATTAAAAAAACAACAACAGTAACTGCAATGTGTAAAGCAAATAATTATCGTTTTGTTTTTTAAATTTCAACATTTCTAAATTAAATTGAAAACAAATGAAACAGCGGCTGGGGGCACACATAGTCAAGCAGATTTTTAAAAAGTGACAAGATTAGGTCTGTACAACATAATACACAATGTGCGTACTTTTTCGAGGGGGGACGGGACTAATTTTTCCTGGAGGGGGGGGGGGGCGTAGGCGGACATTTGTATTTACATGAAATTTATTTCGTTCCGGGACGGGTAGAGGTGCTATGGGGTGGGGGTGGGGAGTGCAGTGCCACCCAAGCAGTCTTGACATGTTACACGAACCAACGGCCAATTTAAAACACTAATACAAGGAACTGTGTCAGTAGGTAGAAGAAGGGGTAGGCAAAGACGTCACTGGATGGAAGACATCATAGATTGGTCGAAGCTGTCCGTTTCGGATCTACTGACAGCAGTAACAGATAACAGAAAATTAAGAGAAAATCGTCAAAAAAATTGGGCTTACTTCCCTTCGTTACACACAGCTTTTATTTCGTTGCCAATTTGGAATTGGTTCTGGATTCTTCTATTTTTTTTAATTAAATGGAAAAAAAAAACTTGATCTATATTGAAATTTAGGCTTTCCTTTAAAACTCTTGAAATAAAATATCTTCTCTTTCGTATCTTTGAAATTTATGGTTCTCTTTTAATAATACTATATTTGTCAAGAGATAATAAATTTACAATTTTTTTCTAGAAAGATCAAGAAATATTTTGCTGTAGTACTTTATTAAATTAGTACTTGCTAATTATCTAGAAGAGAAAAAATACTATTATTCATCCTCTAATTTTTTTATGTAGAAAAATTCTGGTTAAGAAATTAGCATTTTAACTCTGCTTAATCTGGCATGTATTCTATTATTAGCATAATAGAACTATTTTATAAATATGGCGTCTGTAGGCGAAGGCGACTGTCACAAAGACCCAAACTTCGCAGTAATTTGTTCATTTTTTGATAAATTCTCAGAACCACTCGGTTTACCACACGTTACATATACTGATCTACAAAGATATTTGGAGGATACCTCTAACGATGGTAGGATAACTAGAATTTTCTCGATACAAGTCATGTGCAACAACGCCGAGAGCGAGTCCTGCAGGCAATCGGCAATGCTAACAACTAGAATCTAGAAATCTAGATTCATCTACTAGATCTAGATCTAGATTCTAGGATCTAGATATAATTTTATTATACGATAGAGATCTAAACAAATAATTAAAGATTTAGCCTAGAGATAGATGTAGATCTAGACATTCTATCTTTATTTATAATTAGACCACTCGCTATTCACAAATGTAGCTAGTCTCATAACGCAAGTTGAATTACCTCCCCTGACTCGCTTTTTATAACCACTTTTTAGTTGGTTTTTTTTTTCAACCATGTTTTGGCACTGTTGCCAAAAATAGCATTCACGCAATAATATATAGATAGGTAACTCTGTTTGGCGTCTACTACACATGATCTACATCAGGGGTCTCCAAACTTTTCAGTCCGAGGGCCTCATTAACTATCGAATTTCAGTTCAGGGGCCAGTTTCTTCCTCGCATGTCTTTTATTTTTCTGGGCAAAGTTCCTCAGCCATCACCAACAAACGGTTTTTCCTTCGGTAAAACCTTAGTTTAGCATCGGTTATTATTCCGGAATCGTATAGCAGTAAAAAACAGTAAAACAATGCCAAAGTCTGTCACACACTTCCGGAATTCACCGGAAGTACTGTAAACCATACTTTATTTGACGTCATCTTTTATTTTTATACAGAATGTTTAAAATTTGGATAGATTTATTTTTGTAATAATTTTTACATTTTGTAATCATTTTTACTATTTTTGTAATCTAGATTTTTTTACTTGGCCTAGCATCTAGATATCTAGCTAGATCTAGATCTAATTAATTAATGGTCGCAAATCCGCTGCAAGCCAAAAATATTAAATTATTACATTTGACTTCATTTATTATATTTATATATTTATTTATTTATTATATTTTATATTTTTTTTTTATTTTTAGATCTACTAATTTAAATCTACTATTATATTTATTCTTGTTTCCATTTGTCGATTAAACTTAAAAAATTAAAACATTAATTTACTACAATCGACTTTCAATTTATTTATATTTCAGTGGTCAAATAAACTATGGTTTACCGTAACTCTAGTTACCGAAACTCAACAAACATTACCCGATAATTTCCGACGCCTAACAAAGGTTTTACCTTTCCTTCGACAAAAAGATCTCCGAGGGCCGGATGAGATGACTTCACAGGCCGTAGTTTGGAGACCCCTGATCTACATGATAGATCGTTGAATGGCTGACAAGCTGATATAAAAATTAGGCCTATTGCGACTGGATGCAATTTACATGAAAGCTGAGCTACATTTAGAAAAGACTAAATTCATGTAAAATATCAAAATTTATACTTTAACTGATACTTGATAACTGCAGTTCAGCCGTCCATTTATCTTTTAAAATGTATCTTTAGAATTTCTGTACCTTTTGGCAGTAGTTCAGGAGCATCACTGCACCAAACCCACCCCTGTACTGCAGATCTGAATTTTTTCCCTGTGCATTCGTGCTGGCCTACCACATAGCTATAACTAGCTAGGCCAATGCCGTTGCCGAGAAAATCGGACAAATCGGCTTTTCCCTACCCCCTGCATGTTTAACTCTGTTTTTTGCATGATTTTATTGTGTTTATATTAACATGTTATACACCAATCTGTTAGTAATTGAATAACCTTTTAAACTGTATAATTTTGATTTTATTATGATTTCAAACGTTGAAGAAATCACCGATTAAATAGCATTTTTTACCCTCCGCGGCGACGTGCCGATTAGGGGGGAGGCTTTTTCGCCTTTTTACAGGGATGTGACTTTTCCGAATTTTAGCGGAAATCCGATTTTTCCGTTTCAGCTGCAATTTTCCTCCGCTGATTTAATTTTTGCCGAATTTTTCCGCAGATCTTCGATTTTTGCCGAAGTTTTTAAAAATTAGGAAAAAAAAACCAACGAAAATGACATGTAAGGAAACGGCCGACTTGCGCATTCCATATATTCGTATTTAAATCGAGAATTACAGTACTTAGGTCAAATATGCACATTTCTTTTTAATTAGACGATTGCTCTAGGTCTGACGGTGCTAGATTAAGATGAAATATTGATCTAGGTCAAGATTCAGAATTTCAGTATTTTTTCAGAACGCAAATTTTTTGTCCAAATTTTCCGCTGATATCAGTTGAATATTTATCAAAAACGCGGGAAAAGTAATCTAAAATAATGCCTTTATTCAAATGACTCGCATCTCACAAGCCTGGTATCCTAGCTATCGATATAGCCTAATTTACCTTTCTGTATTTTAACCCACCCAAATCTACAGTCTCTCTGATTTTATTTAGCTATCTAAAATTAATATTAAAATCCTCGCAAAAGGTGACTATGAAGACCAGACTAACCCCCCCCCCCCCCCCCCCCCCCCCCCCGTAGCAACCGTGGCTCTTGTGACCTCACCTTGACCCCCAAGTACGTGTTTGGTACTGCTTGTGGGAAAAAATTAAAATGACGTCACAGTAATTTCAAATAGCTGTTCCTGCAATACCTATGCTATAGGCCTACAGATTTAAAAAAAAAAAAAACTGATCTCAACATGACTCCGAAGAAAAAATACGATATGGACTGTTTTTAAAAAGGGGTCTTCCATAAATAACGTCACACTCGGGGGGGGGGATCCGTAATTTTGTGACGTGTAATGAGGGGGAGGGGGTCAGATAGTGTGACGTCATATTTTTTATTTTAAATAAGTTATGTTAGAAACTGAATTTTAGCCGTTATTACGCATTTTAGAAAACTTTTTAAAATTGTAATATAAATTAATTAAAATACCTTACGTTGGTCGAGCTCAGTCAATATTTTAGAAAAAAAATCGATTTAAAAAAAAAATTCAAATTCAATTTTGAGGAGTGGGGGAGAGGTTGTTGGCTGAGGTGTGACGTCATTTTAGGGGGGGGGGGGGTCTGTCTTTTGTGATGGAGAGGGGAGGTAAAAATCGTAACAAAAATGTGACGTCATTTATGGATGACCTGAAACACAAACAATTTACAGCCAGTCAAAAAACAAAATTACGATGTGGTTTGCCTATCCAAATGATTAACTTTGGTTCACATATCAGACACTTTCTAATTTCAGCTAATCTGGTCAATTTCATTTTCCATCACCTGAACCCAAAACTTTCAAATTACAATTAATCTGAATCTAGGCATTTTACAGTTGAAGACTAACATTTTTACCACGCCAATCTTTAAAAGGATATAAGGCATAATTTAAAATTGAAAAGAAAAGTGTAACTAGACTAGAACAGTACACTTTAAATTAACTAAATGTTGAACTCATTTGCCACTTTTGTTATATTGTAAATGTAATTTTTTTTTAAAAAGTTGTTTATAAATTAAACATTAAATTGCAATTAGACAAGACTTTCAATGTAATTTTAGAGTAACATAAACTTCTTTTATTTATAATATTAGCTATATTAAACGATTAATTAGAACAGTAATGGCGTGAGACTGCTTTAACTGCGATAAAAAAAAATAGATAAAACATATTGAGTTCTTGGCCGAAGAAAATTTCCTAATTTTTTTTCCTGGTCTGGTCACATCCCTGTTTTTAAAACAGGGGTGTTACTTTGAGTCTATAGACTCTTCGAGTTTTCGTACTACAACTGTGAAACTTGGCAGAAATACAGATTAGATGTAGACGTATACAGCGCAGGGTTCGTCGTCAAAATATATTAAATACTTTTGGAGATATCGTACAGCAAAGTTGAACCAAGTTTCCAGGGTTATTTATAGACCGATTTTTAATTTGAACCCTGCGCTGTATTGCTGAAATCTGGACGTTTATTAATATGTATGATATGTACTATAATGCCCTAAGATAGAGACGTCTATAGACTTTGAAGTGGACCGAAAATCAAAACATAACGCGCCGACCGCTGTCCGACTGAACCGCTCGGCTGTGCTTCGAATCGCCGTCTTTAAACAGACGACGCGTTACAAAATATTTATACACGAATCGAGTTTACATACTACAACAGTGAAACTTGACAGACATACAGATTAGATGTAGACGTATACAGCGCAGGGTTCGTCGTCAAAATATATTAAATACTTTCGGAGATATCGTACAGCAAAGTTGAACCAAGTTTCCCGGGTTATTTATAGACCGATTTTTAATTTGAACCCTGCGCTGTATTGCTGAAATCTGGACGTTTATTTATATGTATGATTTTCTCTACAATACCCCCAAATAAAGCCGCCCATACATTTTAAAATGGAGCAAAAATTAAAATTAACGCGCCGACCGCTGTCCGACTGCGTCCTCTGCTGTGTCGATCTACACACCGTGTGGCACATCCGAATGCCTGGTCATGTGACGCTAGGCGGTCGATCCGATTGGATGATACTGTAAACAATTTCTAAAGATAGATAGGCCTACATGTGTTCCCGTGTTAGACTCGACGGCTATTTCTATTTTATATAGATTAGATCTATAAGCCGACAGGCATGTTTCATAATTTTGTCCTTACCCATTTGAAGGGGGAAAAAGTCTTATTAATATTTACGGCTCAGGTTTCAAATTTATCTTGTTTTTAAAATTAATCCAGGTGGTTACTGTCCGATTATAACAATTCTGCGTTTCGCGTACCCTAATTTCATTTAAAATTAGAGCATTTCTTTTTCATAAAAACGGCTTTAATTTTTTTCCCGGTCCCCCTTTTTTTCACTACACATTTAAATACGCTTAACAACGTGGAGGATACTAGCCTGTAATAATTGACCAAAAAGGGATGGGGTGGGTGTGGGTGGGCATTCTGTATAACACCCAACGTAACACCCATAGCCTACGTAAGCCTCACCCCGCCCCCACTAGTCAGTGACGCGACGAGCCGATGGTCGTCGCCTTTGATGTTGTACAACACCCGTACGGTACCTACTCAGTTCGTGGTGGATTCATACCCCACCTACCTCCCCCTTCACTTTGTGGAGTTGATGTTACTAACCCTCGGGCATAGATCAAGAAATCTTGCCAGACTTTTGTCTCTGAAAGTACATAATATTCGTCTGACACGTTCATCGGGTTGGCTGACTAGCCTATCCAGCGGTCGTGTTTACGTAATAGGGCAATAAAATTCGTTGGTCAGAAGATCTGGCTAGTCAGATTAAACAAAATCTAGGCAAAAGCTGATGGTGGTACACGTGTCTGTGTATAGCCAAACATGGTGATCTTACACAATTTCTAGAGTCTACAAGATCTACACAGTCAAGCACTCAAACACGTGCTTTTTTCTTAAGAAAGTTTTTAATTGTAAAAGGCCAACTGGTAGGCCTACAAAAATACATAAGCCTACTTACTACTAGCATAAACATTGGGCTTAAATATAATTTATGTTATAGACCTATAACTTACACTAGATCTATACCTTGTGCAAGTTTTTAAAAAAAAATTTTCCTCCAAAAAATATTTTATTGAAATTGTAAAAAGGAATAATTTTAATATGGGTAATAATATTACGTAATTATCATAAAGCACACTCTGATTCTGATCAGACACATTTGTGACTAGACTAATTTTATAGCAAAATAACAAGAAATATAATTATAATGAAATAGGCCTAAATTTTGGAATAGAGTAGGCCTAAAGTATTGGACATAGATTACATAACATCTTTTAAGAAGTTACATAATCACAAATTTACTATTGTAATAGCATTCTTCCCTTTGTATTGTAAAACTTGATTAGTTATATATTCTTTTAGTAGGCTGTTAACTTGAAGTTAACTGACAATGAGCAAAAGTGATTTCAAAACTAATTAATGGTATATTTTGAGCAAAGGGTGGTATTACATAACCTTAACATTTGATAGTTATGTAACAATGTTGGACCATTTTAAATACTACCATTAGCTTTAGCATATATAAATGTCATATTATAGATTAAAACAGTGTTACATTTAAACAATTACTTCTTATCACATTGATTATTAGATGTTTTAAAAAAATTGAAAGGGGGGGTATTACATAATCTATGAGATTAGTCGATTATGTAATCGAAGGACACTTTTTAAAATAGCATCATTGGATTCGGCATACAAAAATCTATAAAATACCATAACATGACATCAATTGATGAAGTCTGCTTGCTTTAATACCACTTTTAGTGAAAAACTCTTTAAAATTTGGTCCATACCCTCCCAGTATTTTTCCTCTTTCAGGGTCTACCCCGGTTGTCTGAAAAAACTGCTATTTTTTTATGACAGAAAAATTCATAACTTTTTTGTTTATGGTCAGATTTTGAAAATTTAAACTGATCTGTAATCAGATTGACAGCCCCTATCCAAATATGTAACTTTTATATTGTTTTACTGAAATTAAATTTTTGCATTGGCCTAGCTACATAACTACAAAGGGTTAATGCAAAGGCAAATTTGTGATTCTTTAGGCAATAAAAATTTTCAATAAAAATGTATGCTAAAACATTAAAAAGAGTCAATAAATAATTATGAAATAAATCTTATTCTTTTTGTAGAGAAAATATAAATTTTGAAAGTGTGTGCTCAAAAATTCAAGATTAGTATATACTAGTTACATTTATCAATTTGCAATCAGCTGTGTGCTAGGAAATATGATGCGCTTTCTACTCTTTGACGTATGAACACTCTTCTGAAAAATCAGAGCATACATATATGTAGGTCAAGTATAATAGACATATTGTAAGTGTAAATGCTGTGATAAAAATAATAAATTTAAACTCTGGAATTCATAGTAAAATGTGAGCATATAACATTCTAAGCAGAATAAATTACATATGCTGCAGAAGAATACATTAACATATTTTAATCTATATATATAATTCTCTCCTGGGAGCCGTTAGAAAACAAGCTGCAAGCGCCTCCTTGCAGTCCCCTCTCTTTCTCTCTATCACTATCACTACCACCCCCACCCCACCCCCACATTGTCTGGTGAGCTGTGGTCACGCTAAATGTTTAAATGTTTACAAAGCGTAGAGCAGTAGAGCCGGGTTTCTATTAGGGGCAGATAATTTAGTTCGATTTTAAACTTACAGGAGGTAACTAAGAAATAACTAAGAGGAGGCTGCTTTCACAGGGGGGGGGGGGGGTTAGTGTTTTAAACTTAAAGCAAATATTTTCAGTGGACTGTTGAATTCACAAATTATGAATTACTGAAAAGTAGAAAATAAAACAACTAAATAGCGGCGTATGATACGCTGCGGGTCGGCTCGTACATTTTATTACACTAGTGTTCTCTCCACACTGTTAGTGTGCCATTTTTTTAATTTAAAAAATCATGGAAAAATATTTCCGAGCTTTTAAAATTAAACTGAAATTACATAATTTTGGAAAGTATTATTTCTTGCGTTATTATTGCAGTATGTGTAAATCCAAGAGATGATAACTTCCATCAGGATTTGCATACTTAGCACCCTCTGTCACAGCACAAAATATTAGCAAAAAGGAATGTTTCAAATATTGCTAAAGCAGTTTCCAAAAACATAGCTTTATTTATTAATATTAACAAAATTGTAGTGCAATGCCTGTTTAGGAAGATTATACCAATGATGATAAAGAGTGTCATTTGCTGTAAAAATCTGTTTTCTGTAGTATCTAGTTTCAAATCTTCTATAATGCAATGATTTCATAAAAGATAATTTTATTTATAATAACCATAATAAAGAGACTAAATTAACTGTGTTATTTACTTACTTGACTAAGATTATGGTGCTATTCAACAACCTATCTCAGATCTCAACTTGATCAACTGCTAAGATAGCAATTAAAAAACTAGTTTCAAAGGTTTAAGCCTATACTCCTCTTTATGTCAGCTGTAGTGACTCAACAACTTATCTGTTTACAAAATGGCCATTGTTGAATAATCCAACTACATTTGATTATATGCTTATTTTCTCTCATTTATGAAGTTTATTTAAAAGAATTATGTTAAACGTACTTTTACCTGTTTTAAAAATAAATTGTGATCCTCAATTTTCCAGTTTCTAAAATCCTTATTGACATTCATGTGAGGCTACTGAGAAGAATTGGAAAAACATCTGTGACGTCTGAACGCTTTGAAAAAAGTATTGTTAAGGTTAGTTTTTTACATTAATAGTTTCAATTGTGGTGCAATTAAGCAGTAGATTTAAGCTTTTTGTAGTTTTTATAATTGCGTTCAATTATTGCTTACAGTTTTTACACCATTTTTCTGAATTTGATGCTTGGGAAGTTGAAAGCTATGGCTACAAGCATGCTAAGCTTGCCACAAAGCTGAGAATACTCAAGGTAACATAATCTCAGTTTATTTTACTGTGTCAATGTTTCATTTGTATTGGCTTGCTTTTGTTTTAACTGAATAACTAAAATTTCATTGAAAATCTGAGTTCTAAAATAGTTGCCTAGCTCCTGCACAATTGGAATTGAGTTATTTACAGCCCTTCCTATTTTTGTTTTGTGTCCAGAATCTTATGGAATGTCAGTTTGACTTCAATCTAAAATTTAAGGAGAAGGTAAATGAGAGTAGTGCAGAAGATATGCGTTTGCTTCCTATTGGAAGGGATAAGGAGGGACAAGCTTACTGGTACCTCTTGGTAAGTTGGATTCTAAACTTGTGCTATTTGATGTTACTATTGCCTGTTTCTAAACTTGTGCTATTTGATGTTACTATTGCCTGTTTCTAAACTTGTGCAATATGACATTCCTATTGCCTGTTTCTAAACTTGTGCAATATGACATTCCTATTGCCTGTTTCTAAACTTGTGCAATATGACATTCCTATTGCCTGTTTCTAAACTTGTGCAATATGACATTCCTATTGCCTGTTTCTAAACTTGTGCTATTTGACATTCCTATTGCATGTTTCTAAACTTGTGCTATTTGACATTCCTATTGCCTGTTTCTAAACTTGTGCAATATGACATTCCTATTGCCTGTTTCTAAACTTGTGCAATATGACATTCCTATTGCCTGTTTCTAAACTTGTGCAATATGACATTCCTATTGCCTGTTTCTAAACTTGTGCAATATGACATTCCTATTGCCTGTTTCTAAACTTGTGCTATTTGACATTCCTATTGCATGTTTCTAAACTTGTGCTATTTGACATTCCTATTGCCTGTTTCTAAACTTGTGCTATTTGATATTATTATTGGCTGTTTCTAAACTTGTGCAATATGACATTCCTATTGCCTGTTTCTAAACTTGTGCTATTTGATATTATTATTGGCTGTTTCTAAACTTGTGCTATTTGATATTATTATTGGCTGTTTCTAAACTTGTGCAATATGACATTCCAATTGCATGTTTCTAAACTTGTGCTATTTGACATTCCTATTGCCTGTTTCTAAACTTGTGCAATATGACATTCCTATTGCCTGTTTCTAAACTTGTGCTATTTGACATTCCTATTGCCTGTTTCTAAACTTGTGCTATTTGACATTCCTATTGCCTGTTTCTAAACTTGTGCAATATGACATTCCTATTGCCTATTTCTAAACTTGTGCTATTTGATATTATTATTGGCTGTTTCTAAACTTTTGCTATTTGATATTATTATTGGCTGTTTCTAAACTTTTGCTATTTGACATTACAAAATAAAAATGGGTTGATTGCCAAACCAGGAAGACTTCTGACAGTTTTTTATAATGTGTGTTGTTCTATAGACCTGCTGTTTTTTTTTTCTATTAGGATAAAGAGATGAATTTTTTGGTGTACAGAGAAGAACAGGATGATGAAGCAGCTGACACTTGGCAGCTTGTGTGCAGGTAAATATTGGTCTGCCAGTCTTGGTCGCCATGACAACATAGTTCAGGCTGCATGAATATTTTGACTCCATAAAACTGTTGATACCTAATACATGGTTCCCAAAGGGGTCATCTATTTACAGGGGTGCCACTTTTCTGGGATATCCCAGATTTCCAGTTCCGAAAATCATATTTTTTCCTCTTCCCAGATTTGCAAGATTTGAGTTTTAAAATTTCAGGGTTTGCAGTTTTAAAAAAAAAGATCGTTTTAAGCTTGAAAATTTTGGCATTGTAGAAATCGTTATCGTCAAGACTCCCGCTAATGACCCTTTCTGTCTTTCGACATGCGTCGGCGGTACAGTATCCACCTCTGTATAAACCTAAAATTAACATTGTTACTCCGTCACTTTCGTGGCCTTTGTCTACCCAACATAGCAGAAGTTTTGTGAGAAAAAATAGCTAATAGCAAATGACATCATCAACAATCTCACGTGCGTTATGGACCAAATACAAATCGGCTATATCAGATGGGTGAGGCTGTAGACTTTTCGATGTCATTCTTGGTGTGGCTCTCTGGCTTTTTCTGACGCAATGGGTTGGGGTAAAATTCGCATTATTTACGTGACGTCATCAATGGGCTACCATTAGGCTGTATAATAAAAATAACTAAATCCTAACATTACTAGCTCCTAGGGGGAAGGGGGGTCTGTAATTTTGTGACAGTGTGTGATTGGGGGGAGGGGGAGGTTCAGATGGTGTGACATCACACTTTTGCATTATTATTATATATTATATATTGTTAATAATATAAGGCAGAAAAATACTATTTTTGCAGCATGTTTTGAGAGGTCTACTAAATTTTTGTAGACCTTCCACATTAGTGGGATGGGATGGGGGAAGCTAAAATGTGTATGACATAAATGGAGGGGAGGGGGAGAGCTAAGCTTTTCTCACATTCTGGTGTTCATCTTGAGTCTCTATTGTTTTATGAAAGCTATAACTTTTGTTAAAACTTAAGTTATTTTGTGCACTCTAAGGGGAAATGGGCTGAATTTTGTTTTATGAAAGCTATAACTTTTGTTAAAACCTAAGTTATTTTGTCCACTCTAAGGGGAGATGGGCTGAATTTTGTTTTATGAAAGCTATAACTTTTGTTAAAACTTAAGTTATTTTGTCCACTCTAAGGGGAGATGGGCTGAATTTTGTTTTATGAAAGCTATAACTTTTGTTAAAACTTAAGTTATTTTGTCCACTCTAAGGGGAAATGGGCTGAATTTTGTGGCTGGCATTCCCAATTGTTACATAAATATATGCAACTTTGTGGCTTTTCTTATTGTTACATAAATATGTGCAACTTAATGGCTTTTCTGATTGTTACATAAATATGTGTAACTTTGTGGCTTTTCTGATTGTTACATAAATATATGCAACTTTGTGGCTTTTCTGATTGTTACATAAATATATGCAACTTTGTGGCTTTTCTGATTGTTACATAAATATATGCAACTTTGTGGCTTTTCTGATTGTTACATAAATGTGTGCAACTTTGTCAACAGTGACAGACAAGAGCTTGCCAGACTGGTCAATTCTCTACAAAGTGAAGCCAACAAAACAGTGAAAGAAGAAGAAGATAAAGCCAGCACTAGTAAGTCAAAACTGATCCATTTTTACTTTCTCGTATATACCAAGTATAGAGAAAGTATTGTAATTGAGATTTTTACAAATCTCGACGTTTTACACCTCATTGATACGGAAAAACATAATTTTGCAATCTTGTCTGTGTGTCTGTCTGTCTGTGTGTAAACACGATAACTTGAGTACCGTTACAGCTAGGTTGATGAAATTTCATATTTAATTATTTTATCAAAATCGTAGATACTGATCAACTTTTGAGCGATTTCCGATAACCTGAAGTGGTACTTTTTCTACTTAGAATTTTTCAAAAGCCTATAACTTGAGTACTATTTCAGATAGATAAATGAAATTTCACATGTAAGTAAAAGATCTAATTCTCTACCTTCTGTCAAATTTTGAGTAATTTCCGTTGACTGGAAGTACTAATTTACGCTATTTCCGATTTCTCAAAAAAACGCATGTGAATTTATAAAGTACTAATAATATTGCGCACTATTATGCACATTTTGTTTTGGCGTTCGCTTGGTGCGCAATCCTTTTTTCTATGAGATTCTATTTTTAAAAGTTTAAGTAATTAAAAATCATGTCTATATTCCAAGTTTTATAAGAATATTCGAGAAAGTTTAGTGAAGATCACTTCCGGTTTATTTCTATCATCAGCACGTTTCCTACCTTTGTCAAAACATTAAGAATCAAATCAGGGGCTAAACTATATTTGGTAGTCAGAGCCATGCTTGAGTGGAGAATTATTTTTTTAACTTGAGCAACATGTGGCGCCAGTTACTAAATAATCAAATAAAGCTTTCATTTCCAACTGTAGAGCATTTTAAAAAAAAATTAGTAGCTACATAAATTTTCATATGAAGTTTTAACATTTTACTAATCTTATATTCTTTTTATGGGTGTGTTAAATGGAAATGTTTTCCTATTATTAGCTTTCTATTGAGAATGCTGTTGCTGGCCACTGTTAAAGATTTAGATATTTTCTTCTCTAGAGACACGGGCTTATGGATACCTTTCTGTTACAGATAGTTCAAGAAGTAGTAAGGAATCCACACCTGAAAAGGTCATCATTAAAGAGGAGTCTGTTGAAGTCAAGCTGGAAAAGAAAAGCAAGAAAAAACTTGGAGATCCTCTAAAACAAGAAGTCAAATCTGAAGATGAGCCAGAAACTGATCAGGTTCAAAATGTAAACAGACATGTTGAAAGTGAAGAAAAACTAGCTGGACAAAAGGAGGGCACAGGAACATTAGAGACCAAACCAACACAAGTCACACTCTCTCATTCAGGTGGAGGGAAGATGGCAGGTGAAGAGATTCCTGAAACTTCTGAGAGCAACTCTAAAGGGAATCAGGTGATGAAAGTCCAGACTAGTGCTGATAATCTTAAGAAAACACAAGTCACCACTGAAAGCACCACCAGAATAGATTCTGAAATCTCCCCTGAAAGCACAACAAGTAAGACAGATTCTGAAGTCACCACTGGTGAGACTTTGAAAACAGATCCTTGTATCACCACTGAAAGCATAACAAATAAAACAGATTCTGAAGTCACCACTGGTGATACTATCAAAACAGATTCTGAAGTCACCACTGGTGAGACTGTGAAGGTAGATTCTTGTATCACCACTGAAAGCATAACAAATAAAACAGATTCTTGCATCACAACTGATAGCACAATCCAGAACACTATAGATTCTGAAATACCCAAAACAGATTCTGGAGTCACCACTGGTGAGACTGTGAAGGCAGATCCTTGTGTCACCACTGAAAACATAACAAGTAAGACAGATTCTGTAGTCACCACTGGTGATACTATCAAAACAGATTCTGAAGTCACCACTGGTGAGACTGTGAAGGTAGATTCTTGTATCACCACTGAAAGCATAACAAATAAAACAGATTCTTTCATCACAACTGATAGCACAATCCAGAACACTATAGATTCTGAAATACCCAAAACAGATTCTGGAGTCACCACTGGTGAGACTATCAAGGCAGATTCTTGTGTCACCACTGATGAGACTATCAAGGCAGATTCTTGTGTCACCACTGGTGAGACTATCAAGGCAGATTCTGGAGTCACCACTGGTGAGACTATCAAGGCAGATTCTTGTGTCACCACTGGTGAGACTATCAAGGCAGATTCTGGAGTCACCACTGGTGAGACTATCAAGGCAGATTCTGGAGTCACCACTGGTGAGACTATCAAGACAGATTCTGGAGTCACCACTGGTTATACTATCAAGGCAGATTCTGTAGTCACCACTGGTGAGACTATCAAGACAGATTCTGGAGTCACCACTGGTGAGACAATCAAGACAGATTCTGGAGTCACCACTGGTGAGACTATCAAGACAGATTCTGGAGTCACCACTGGTGAGACTATCAAGGCAGATTCTTGTGTCACCAGTGGTGAGACTACCAAGCCAGATGTTGAAGTTGTCAGTGTTGAAAGTTTAACAAATGTGACAGAAGCCACTAAAAGCCCAAGTGATACTGACAGCAAAGAAAGTACTCAAGCAGTGCTTGTCTGTGCTAAAGATCCTCCAGACAAAGGAACAACAAAATTCAATGAGGAAGATGACCCTCATTTCTTGCTCAATAAAGACAGCTCAGAAAAAGGTCACCAGGCACATGACATTAATGGAGACATTAAAGAAGATGAAAACCTGTCAGCTGGTCGGGGGTCACAGGAAACCTGTGCGGAGAAAACCAAACATCCGTGTAACGGGAAACAAATGCCCAATGTTGTAGACAGTTCCTCTACAAGGGAACTCTGCTGTGTGGAACTTGAAATAAAAGCTAAAGAGGGTGAAACTAAAGAAGCCAATGAAAATTTGCTAGAGAAGCCTAAAACAAATCAAGTCAATGAAGTGGATAGTGAACCTGTTTGTGAACAGTCACATGAAATATCAGAAAGTTGTACAAATAGCCAAAGTAAAAAGACACAAGTAAAGTTGGATGTGGCTAGTAAAGAAAAAATGGATGTGGCTAGTATCCCTGTGGACCATCTGGTACGTACCAGTAAAGACTTGACAAACATAACTGGTTGTAAGAATGAATCACCACCTGAACCTTATGACACAAGCACAAAAGAAGAAAATGGTGAAGGGAGTCAACTCACTTCTCACAAGGGAGCTGATGAAAAGTCTGTAGATAATGGGCTCAGTGTTGAGTGTGAAGAAGCAAGTAAGTTGCAAGGTGAAGATCCAAAGGTAGCCCTAGAGGTACCAGACACCAGGGTGCTGTCAGTGGATGAACCTTTGGCAAAGCCAACAGCACAACCAGAAGAGGAAAAATATCAAACTACAGAGTCACACCCAGAAGGAAAACTGGCTGGGACCATTTGCAGTAATGAAGAAATAGATAATGTTTGTTCTGATGAAAAGATGAATAATGCAGCAGTTTCAGGTGAAAGGAAAATAAGTGAGAACGCTGAACATTCTCCTGGCCATGAATCTCAGCGCAAGTTGAAACGGTCTGCTCCAGAGCCAGGTAGTGATGAGTCTGTTCAGTCTGAGCCTAATGGCAAACGAGCCAAGCAAGCAACTAAGAATCAGAAAACACGAGGTGGACGGAATGCAGCGGCTAAGAGAAGAGCTAAGCAGCTGGTTAACAAAGACTCTGACAGTGATGACAGTGAAACTCCTCTCAGCCAAGTGAGAAGCAGGGTCAGAAACCTAAAAGGCAAGTCTAGTAAGACAGAGCAAGAATCTAAATCTGGAGCAGAGAATGATGAAGATGTGTCAGATCCTGCCAATGGGAAGCGTGCTAAGGTATTTGACAACATGTTGTAGATTGTACAGACTTTATTCTAAAGTGTTTTTCCCCAGATATCTCAGTATGCCCCATCAAAGAAATAAAAACATCAATATTTTGTCTGTCAGTATACCCCATCAAAGAAATAAAATCATCAATATTTTGTCTGTCAGTAGACCCAAATCAAAGAAATAAAAACATCAATATTTTGTCTGTCAGTAGACATCAAAGAAATAAAAACATCAATATTTTGTCTGTCAGTATACCCCAACAAAGAAATAAAATCATCAAAATTTTGTCTGTCAGTAGACCCCCATCAATCAAAGAAATAAAATCATCAATATTTTGTCTGTCAGTAGACCCCCATCAAAGAAATAAGATTAATATTTTTGTCTGTCAGTATACCCCAACAAAGAAATAAAATCATCAATATTTTGTCTGTCAGTAGACCCCCATCAAAGAAATAAAATCATCAAAATTTTGTCTGTCAGTAGACCCCCATCAATCAAAGAAATAAAAACATCAATATTTTGTCTGTTAGTATACCCCAACAAAGAAATAAAATCATTAATATTTTGTCTGTCAGTAGACATCAAAGAAATAAAAACATCAATATTTTGTCTGTCAGTATACCCCAACAAAGAAATAAAATCATCAATATTTTGTCTGTCAGTAGACATCAAAGAAATAAAATCATCAATACTTTGTCTGTCAGTAGAGCCCCATCAAAGAAATAAAATCATCAATATTTTGTCTGTCAGTAGACCCCCATCAAAGAAATAAAATCATCAAAATTTTATCTGTCAGTATACCCCAACAAAGAAATAAAATCATTAATATTTTGTCTGTCAGTAGACATCAAAGAAATAAAATCATCAATATTTTGTCTGTTAGTATACCCCAACAAAGAAATAAAATCATTAATATTTTGTCTGTCAGTAGACATCAAAGAAATAAAAACATCAATATTTTGTCTGTCAGTATACCCCAACAAAGAAATAAAATCATCAATATTTTGTCTGTCAGTAGACATCAAAGAAATAAAATCATCAATATTTTGTCTGTCAGTAGACCCCCATCAAAGAAATAAAATCATCAAAATTTTATCTGTCAGTATACCCCAACAAAGAAATAAAATCATCAATATTTTGTCTGTCAGTAGACCCCAACAAAGAAATAAAATCATCAATATTTTGTCAGTATACCCCAACAAAGAAATAAAATCATCAATATATTGTCTGTCAGTAGAGCCCCATCAAAGAAATAAAATCATCAATATTTTGTCTGTCAGTAAACCCCAACAAAGAAATAAAATCATATATATTTTGTCTGTCAGAAAAAGAAACCAGGTTCAAGCAGTGAAGCTCTGTCTGACGATGAGGTTACCCCAGCAAAAAAAGGCAGGAAGCTAACGCAAGCATCAGCCAAGGCCAAACCAGGGAAAACTAAAGGTAAAGCAGGTAACAAGACACCTGCGGCCCCAGGGGAGGATGACAACTCCGGCATCAGACGCAGCCTGAGAGTGAGACAGCTCAAGGCCAAAAGACCCCCCACACCAAGCTCGCCTAGTGAGGAGTCTGAGGCAGAAACAGAAGATGAGGATCCAGATAGACATTTTCTTGATGTTTCCTTTACCCCAGAGGAGGAGTCTGGTGATGAAGAGTTCAAACCAAAGGGCAGGAACTTTCAACGTCAGGCAGCTAGAAGTTGTAAGTTATAGTGCTAAATAAGAAGTGGGAGGCACATAACTTTATACAAAACTTAACATCAAGCAGCTAGAAGTTGTAAGTTTTAGTGCTAAATAAGAAGTGGGAGGCACATAACTTTATACAAAACTTTCAACATGAAGCAGCTAGAAGTTGTAAGTTTTAGTGCTAAATAAGAAGTGGGAGGCACATAACTTTATACAAAACTTTCAACGTCAGGCAGCTAGAAGTTGTAAGTTTTAGTGCTAAATAAGAAGTGGGAGGCACATAACTTTATACAAAACTTTCAACATCAAGCAGCTAGAAGTTGTAAGTTTTAGTGCTAAATAAGAAGTGGGAGGCACATAACTTTATACAAAACTTTCAACATCAAGCAGCTAGAAATTGTACTTTTATTAGTCAATGAAAAGAGTTATTTAAAAAGTGTTGCTTATGTTAATTCCTACAAATTGAGCTTAATGTTAGCCCTATAGCTTGATACATGCAACAAAAATTCTATTTTTCTTCACTTAATGTTTGTTAATGACTCATCAGGTAAAGAAAATGATGAAGATTTTGTCAATGATGACACACCTTGTGTGAAGTGTGGGAAGTACAATCATCCTGAAATGGTATGTAGATTTTATGAGCTTGTTTTAATCACATTAGAAATGTCATTGTAAATATATTTTGTCATGGTAGGGAGGGGGTGTGCGCTGTTTTGAACATTTTTGGATTTTTAAGTTTTTGAAAAATGCATTTTAAAATTCCTAAAGAAGTGCCCTGTATAAGTCAGGAATATTGTGTCACAATTTTAAAAAAAGGAGTTGTCTTTTTTCTAGCGTGTCTAGTAGTATTAATGTTTGATGCCGTTGGTTGATTTGTGTGACATAATGATTTGGGTTGATGATGTGTGATGATTTAAGTTGATGACATGTGATGATGTTGGTTGATTTGTGTGACATAATAACTTGGGTTGATGACATGTGCAACGACTTGTGTTGATGAGTGATGGTTCGTATGCTGTAATTGTTGATGTTTAATGATTTGACACATTGACATGTGTGATGATTTATGTTGGTGATGTTAGATGATTTGGGTTGCTAACATTGAATTAATGCTAGTGATGATTAAGAGGAATGATGTGTTCTGGCTAGTGATGATTGAGGAATGGTGTGTTCTGGCTAGTGATGATTGAGAAATGATGTGTTCTGGCTAGTGATGATTGAGGAATGGTGTGTTCTGGCTAGTGATGATTGAGGAATGGTGTGTTCTGGCTAGTGATGATTGAGAGGAATGTGTTCTGGCTAGTGATGATTGAGGAATGATGTGTTCTGGCTAATGATGATTGAGAGGAATGATGTGTTCTGGCTAGTGATGATTGAGGAATGGTGTGTTCTGGCTAGTGATGATTGAGAGGAATGTGTTCTGGCTAGTGATGATTGAGGAATGATGTGTTCTGGCTAATGATGATTGAGAGGAATGATGTGTTCTGGCTAGTGATGATTGAGGAATGATGTGTTCTGGCTAGTGATGATTGAGGAATGATGTGTTCTGGCTAATGATGATTGAGAGGAATGATGTGTTCTGGCTAGTGAGGATTGAGGAATGATGTGTTCTGGCTAGTGAGGATTGAGGAATGATGTGTTCTGGCTAGTGATGATTGAGGAATGATGTATTCTGGCTAGTGAGGATTGAGGAATGATGTGTTCTGGCTAGTGATGATTGAGAGGAATGTGTTCTGGCTAGTGATGATTGAGGAATGATGTGTTCTGGCTAGTGATGATTGAGGAATGATGTGTTCTGGCTAGTGATGATTGAGGAATGATGTATTCTGGCTAGTGATGATTGAGGAATGATGTGTTCTGGCTAGTGATGATTGAGGAATGTGTTCTGGCAAGTGATGATTGAGGAATGATGTGTGATGATTGAGGAATGATGTGTGATGATTGAGGAATGTTGTCTCCAGATCCTGCTGTGTGACAAGTGTGATGCTGGCTACCACACAGCCTGCTTGAGACCACCTCTAATGTTGATTCCTGATGGGGACTGGTTTTGTCCACCTTGTGAACATGTGAGTAGCTTCATTTATAAAGGCTTACCAAAGACTCGGGTAGCTATTCCTTACATGATCATTCTTATTGATTTGAACATCGCAAGCTGTTGTCTACTTTAGATACTTTCCAGTTACTATCCTATTTAGTGCATGATGTCACTGTAGAGATGTATTCAATTAGAAAATCTGTCTAGTGAATGACTCCCATTTCTCAATATATTTTTTCAGTCAATGCTGGTTTCTAAACTGCTTGAGTGCTTGCAAGCCTTAGATAATGCCAAGAAGAAAAAGGATCGTCTCAATAAAAGGTAATGGTGAGAGTAATCTCAAGAAATAATAAACATAGTCATTTTTCTTAATACCTTAAATGTTTGTAGAGAAAAAATAGCTTTGACTTTTTACTTACATGTCAAAATTTCATACCTTTCTTAAAAATTAGCATTTGGTACCCATATTTCTAGAATTGAAATATATTGTTTTAGAAAAAAAAATGACTAGGTATTGTTTGAACAATGTGATAGTATTCTTCTGTGTTTGATATCTTAACACTGCAGCCCCACTTTCTGTTCACTGAAACCATCTGTGGCACTCAATTGTTTTCTTTTATTCACAGACAAGAGAGACTTGCCTTTGTTGGAATTAATATAAGCAATATTTTGCAAAGTGTAAGTTTTTGTAACTGATTTTTATTATTAATGGAAGTAGTATGTGAAGTTTTTTCCAATAATACTTGAAATGGTTGAAATGACTTTGTGTATTTAATTGATCAGGATCGTAAAGATGGTCGATCTGAGAGGTTGAGTAAAACAGAAGATGAGCTCTCTGCTGTAAAAAAGAAAAAGATGGCTGAAGTTGAGTCAGGTAGCTCCACATCAGAAGAAGAGGAACCAAAAGTAGTTTACAAGTCAGAAAGGCTGGCACTCCGTCAAGCCCAGAATAGATCAAAACGTGAGAAACACAAACTTCGTAGGGCCAAACTGAGAGAAAGTCCTGAGATGGAAGTTTTGTCCAAAAGAACATGTCGCTTGCGTAATGCAGTAAGCTACCAGTTTAAAGAATTTGATGAACTCATTAGCAGTGCAATAGCAGATGACAAACCTTGTCGAAGGGAGAAGCCTCCAGGTGGGTGCCCTCTTTGTTTAGCTGCATTCTGTCTTCTTTACTAGAGTGACAGTTGGACAACTAGTTGTGTGGTCAGTGACAGTTAGACAACTAGTTGTGTGGTCAGTGACAGTTGTGTGGTCAGTGACAGTTGGACAACTAGTTGTGTGGTCAGTGACAGTTGGACAACTAGTTGTGTGGTCAGTGACAGTTGGACAACTAGTTGTGTGGTCAGTGACAGTTGTGTGGTCAGTGACAGTTGGACAACTAGTTGTGTGGTCAGTGACAGTTGGACAACTAGTTGTGTGGTCAGTGACAGTTGTGTGGTCAGTGACAGTTGGACAACTAGTTGTGTGGTCAGTGACAGTTGGACAACTAGTTGTGTGGTCAGTGACAGTTGTGTGGTCAGTGACAGTTGGACAACTAGTTGTGTGGTCAGTGACAGTTGGACAACTAGTTGTGTGGTCAGTGACAGTTGTGTGGTCAGTGACAGTTGGACAACTAGTTGTGTGGTCAGTGACAGTTGGACAACTAGTTGTGTGGTCAGTGACAGTTGGACAACTAGTTGTGTGGTCAGTGACAGTTGTGTGGTCAGTGACAGTTGGACAACTAGTTGTGTGGTCAGTGACAGTTGGACAACTAGTTGTGTGGTTAGTGACAGTTGGACAACTAGTTGTGTGGTTAGTGACAGTTGGACAGATAGTTGTGTGGTCAGTGACAGTTGGACAACTAGTTGTGTGGTCAGTGACAGTTGTGTGGTCAGTGACAGTTGGACAACTAGTTGTGTGGCCAGTGACAGTTGTGTGGTCAGTGACAGTTGGACAACTAGTTGTGTGGTCAGTGACAGTTGGACAACTAGTTGTGTGGTCAGTGACAGTTGGACAGCTGGTTGTGTGGTCAGTGACAGTTGTGTGGTCAGTGACAGTTGGACAGCTAGTTGTGTGGTCAGTGACAGTTGGACAGCTGGTTGTGTGGTCAGTGACAGTTGGACAACTAGTTGTGTGGTCAGTGACAGTGTAGAACCAAAACTAAATATGGTTTCAGTAACACTTTAGTAGAATGGTTATTATTATTTCTTGTTTTGATTATCCCTTCATCAAATTTTTTTCTTTATCTTTGTGTCATCACTTAAAGATATAAGTAAGACAACTAATGTTTCATTTTTTCACATTATTTTAAAACATTTGGTAAAATTTGTCGGTTTAAAGTTGATAACTTCCATGTTTATAAAGTTGGGACTGCTTGAAATGGCTGAATAAAGGCAGTTGTTATTAGTTGATACTGACATTTTTAGACTGAGAAACTGTGTTGCTTTATGCTTGCCTGTTGCTAGGTGTTTATGATTCAATGTCTTTTAAAGTTTTATTCTTCACTACCAGGTATCACGCTCCACTTTGTTTCAGGTATCAGCCGTGGTAAAGACATGTCCAACATACTGGGAGCATCTGATGAGGAGGATGAGAAGATCAGACAGAGGGATGGAGAATCTGGACATCCACCGCCTGTGCTGAAGAAAAGGTCCAAGAGGAAACTGACCAAACTGGACAGTGACGAGGAGCAGGAGGAAGAGGATGAGAGCGACGAGTTTAAAATTTCTGAGTAATTTTTTTTTTTATCTCTAGTCCTATTAAAGATGGCAAGACATCCAGGAGTGTGTTGAACTATTTTGTTTTAGTTTCTTTCTGTGTTGATAGTTGGGTGTTAGCTAGCTGTAGTGGTGAAGCTGGCTCAAGTCTTGTTTGAATAGCTTAATTATTTCTTAATAGTGGCATACCTTTATCTTTAGAGTAGACTCCTAAGTGTTTGTAATGTTGGTATAATGAATTTTATAATTCCTTGATGGCTAAAATGTTGTCAATCTGCTGCAGCTATGGCTAGAATATCTTGGCTAACTAGCAGCCATAGCTAGAGTGTCTTGGCTAACTAGCAGCCATAGCTAGAGTGCAAAGAACTGGGTGTCTAATAGTGCGCCAGTCAAAGACAACTTTATTGTTAGGTTTATTTTGGCTCATTTATTTATTTGATTGCCTGTCGTTAAAAATTCTTTGAAATAGGAAGGCTTGCTTTTGATCCTGATTGTTTTAAAAATACATTTTGCAGTGTTTTCTTGTTATGTTTGTGCATTGATTACCATGGGAGGGGACATGCTATACTTTCTTAAAGGGCTAACAACTATGGGATATATTTTGGGCTTATGGTTGGTGCGCATATTACAAGGGTGTAGGGGATGGTCAATCTTTTTGTTCTTGAAGGGTGGGGGAGCTTCATGCAGCCTTTCATTTTCTTTTTTCTTACTTTTGATGATTTAGAATTTAATACAACTCCCCAAGTTGACACAATGGCATTCACTTTTCTTCTTTACAATACACATGAATGCTTGGTGTAATGTTTTTCTTATGAAGGCAAATCTAACAAGTGTCACTCAGATATAGTCGTTGGTAAAAGCTATCATAGAAGCTATCATTGGGTGGCTTGAGAAATAAGCGGTGGTGCTCTATATGTTGTCATACATTGGTGCCCTGTATGTTGTCATACATGGGTCTGCTATATGATGTCATTCACGGGTCTCCTGTATGTTGTCATACATTGGTCTCCTGTATATTGTCATACATGGGTGCTCTGTATGTTGTCATACATTAGTCCCCTATATTTCTAGGGATGAAGATTCAGAAGCAACAGAAGTGGAGGAGGAAGGTGAAGTAGAGTCAACAGATTCAGGTGACTGGAAGCCGCAGAAGACCTGGTACAACAGTAGAGCATCAACTCATAGACCCAGCAGGGCTGCCAAAAATTTTGGTACATTTACTTTTGTTACAGGTGTAGCTTTAGGAAATATTTGTCACCATTATACTATGGTGGGGGTGTTTTTTTTTTAATTAAAAGGATACATTTTTAAGAAAATAGTGTTGAGAACTTTAACTCAAATCATTTAGCTTGACACAGCAATTAAGAGGAGAAATAGAATGTTTGCTTATTCTCAAGTTGTTTGAACTTGATTTAAATGTTCTAGTTCTGTAAGGCATCTCCCCATTGTGATTTTGACAAAAATAGTATAAGATCCCAACTTCTGAGAAACCTTCATCCTTCATAGTATAAGATCCCATCCCCTACTTCTGACAAACCTTCATCCTTCATAGTATTAGATCCCAGCCCCTACTTCTGACAAACCTTCATCCTTCATAGTATTAGATCCCATCCCCTACTTCTGACAAACCTTCATCCTTCGCTCTCCCTTCCCATATGTACTTTGACATAACTTGCTTTCTATATTCTAACTCATTAGCATCTGTTTTTAATTTTAATTAATTGCTAAGCTAATGATATATGTGATTTGTGTTGTATCAAAAATGTCAATATTAAATATACAAACTAGAATTTAGATGTTAAGAAAATTTGGAAAGTTGAAATACATTTATGTCAAATAGCCTACATTATTCTATTTTAATTTTTTATTTCCAAGGAAAACTAAATCTGATATGTTACTATTTTAGATTTTTATATTGACAGAATATTTCAATTAAAAAAGTGTCTCTATTCATACTAGATCTCATACATTTGTCACAGGGCCACTCTGGATTAACCACCTTATTTCTTCTGCTAAGCTTCTAAACAAGACAATTTTTCAAATTAAATTTCATTTTACTTTTCTTGTTATTTTTTATTGACTTCTCCGTAAATAAAGTTTTAAGTATTGTGTTTGTATAATTTTTTAAAGATATTGTTCAATTAAACTTGTATGTGTCCCCATAGTCTATACCCCCATTATCCTACCCTCTTTTTTTAATATACTAAAAGAATTTGATAATACTTGAGCCAGTTTGATGGAGCATGAGAGAAAGTTTATTTTTATTTTCAGTTGTTGATGATGACGAGTATGAGAGTGATGAGAACGCCACCAAAAGACGCTCCACCCGGAACTCTAACCGCGGTCACATTGTGTACAATGACTGGGAGTCCAATGAAGACCAGACTGACGAGGAGGAATCAAACTTCTCAGACTGCAGCTCCAATCAGTCCATCTTCAAGCCTAAAAGAAAAAGTGCAAGTAATAAAAAGGCTACAGCTCCATCCAAGAAAAAAAGCAAGCCAAAGAATGGTGATCACTCAGATAGCTCCATTGCCAGGAAAAGAAAACTTCTAAGGAAACTGGTAAAGAAAAGGAGGAGGGACATGAGTGAGAGTTTGGACTCGGAGGATGAAGGCAACAGTGAGAAGAAGAAACACGACTCTGATGGAAGTGAGTTTGTTCCTGATGATGAGGGCTCTGATGAGTCTCCTAAATTTAAAAAGAAAAATGTACTTCGATCCTCTGATGAAGAAGAGGAGGAGGATACAAAAACTGAAAACACTGACAGTAAGAGTCAACCAGCTCTACAGAGCACAGAGCAGGCTGAGGTACACCAACCACAGGTGACCAAAGTTGTGCAGGAAACAGTGTTGGCTAAAGTTGGGCCAGAACCAATAGTGAGCACTGCTAAAGCCATGCAGGAGGGAATGTTGACCACAGCAAAGATTGTACTTACCCCCATAGATAAACACTTTGAAGCCATGAAGGCCTCAATGATAGAAAAAGCTGAGAAAGTTGTCCAAGCCAAAGGTAAAAAAGCTGCTCCAAAAAATCCAAAAACTCCCAAAGGCAAAAAGAGGGGTAAAAAAGGCTGTCCTGACGAGAGCTTGTCTGCTTCAGCACCTGGCACAGGTGTTGATGTGGCACTAGCACCTGGCACAGGTGTTGATGTGGCACTAGCATCTGGCACAGGTGAAAATGTGGTACAGAAACCAGTAGCAGAATCTGCTGACATAAGTCCTGAGAAAATTCCTGAAGCTCTCCCTAAAGGAATGGCTGAGAAAAGAAAAAAAGTGCCCAACTTTTTAGATGTCCCATCAGGAGGTGAGGAGAGTGATGACCAGAGGCTGGATAGAAGAACTGGAGCTGATGTCCAGGATTCCAAGAGTGAGTTGCCTGCTTACACTGGTCAGCACCAGGCCCCGGCCAACTATAAGACCATGCCTTACCCTCCTGGTCAGCTGGCTCAACAAATGAACTATCCATTCCCGCATCCCATGCATGGCATGCCACCATTCTCCCAGTCCAGCATGGGCTCCCCACCTGGGCCCATGAGCACCATGTCAGATGGCTCTCATGTTGGCCCTGCTGCCCCACACTACACATCAGCTGTAAGACCTGGCCAGCAAATGCTCAACAACTTACGGCCAGTTCACCCTGGTTACCCTGGACATTACGGTCTGGGGCCCAACCAGCACAGGTTTCAACATGGGGGCAACCAAGGATATCCCACTATGGAAATGGGCCAAGGTCATCCTAATATGAATCAAGCTCATCAAAAGTTGGCAGAGCCTGTACCCAACAATGGTAACCTCCCCCCTCCAGGGGCTCATGGTCATGTGCAGAAACACATGGGAATGAGGCCTCCATTTCATATGGGTCAACAGCATAACGAGATGAACAACTTTAACCCAGGCTATGGAGCCAACAGAATGCCTGGCATGCAGCATCACTACTATGATCCTCAAGGCCCAGCTTCTCAAGGCCCACCTCAAGGAATGGCCATGCATTATCCAGGCCATTACCAGAGCTCCCCACTTAACAGTATGGGCCAGATGACAAAAAATTTGGGCCAGGCGCCACCCTTACAGTCCCCGCCTCATGCACCAAGTGAGAGTGCTAGAGAAAAAGCCAGCATGGTCTCTCCGCCAGCTCCAGAAACTCTTGTCAAACAGGAAAAATTCTGTGAAAACCTCCCTGACACTCCCGCCATACTGCCAGGGAAAGACTCAAAAAAGAAAGGGTCATCTGCTAAGAAGTCCAAAACTAAAGGGCCACAAGCCAACATGTCACCACCTACAGCTGTTGGTTCCAACAAGCCAAGCAAACTCCCCAGTGAAGAACAAAGCAAGCCTCCAGATCCAGGTGACAAGCTGAGTAAAGATCCTGCTGGCTTGGGTCCCTATAGACCACCCAAAGACATGTACAACCCTCCTCCAAACATGCCCCTCTACCAGATGCCTTACATGCAGGGCCAGCAGCCCAATATGCACCACCCACAAATGGCCCACACACAGGCTCCGTTCATGTCCCAGAACTCTCACATGCCATCCCAGTGTTTGCCCCCTGCCCTGAACCAAGATGCTGCACACAGTGAAAAGAAGGCCAGTGCTACAGAAGGTGCTGACATGTCCAAAATGGCAGGTGACTTGAGAAAAGGTGGTCAATATCCAAATTCACAGGTGAGCCAGGGTCTCCCACCTGGTGAGCAAGGTCACCCAGTGCAGGCTAGTCATGACCCTTATTCTCAGAGAGGCCCACTCCACCTGCATGGACCAAACCAGCCAGGAGCTTACTACCCTGAGCACTATTACCAGGCGTACGGGGCTCCAGCACACCACATGTGGCCACAAAGAATGCCCCATTGTGGACCCAGCTTGCCAAATGTCTATGGACACAACTCTGAGCCCAAACAGGAACCAAGAATGGTGCCAGATGCCAAAGCGTTGCCCACAGAAGCAGGAAAGGTGGTCCATCCCGCCATGTCTGAGCAGGAGGCTGGTAAAGCTTGTAAGTCTGAGAGTCAAGGCTCAGCCAAGCAGACAGCAGGCCCCAAGAAGGAAACACTAATGCAGGACATTAAAAAAGAACACACAGAAAGCAAACACCATGAGAGTGTGGAGCCCACTGCAGAGTGTTCCGCTGCACGGCCCCCTGGGGCACCAGCCACCACATCGCAACCGTGTGTCCAGCAACCTCCTGCAGCCAAATACGCTACTGCTGACTCAGCATTACAGTCTGGTGTTGTCACTACCCAGCCCCAAGCCCACCCTGGAGTTAACATGGGTCAAGCTTGGGCAGATGTGGCTCATCATTATCCACATCCACAAAGCATGAATCATTGGCCCTCAATGACTGATCCCAACCAGTATAATATGATGTATGCCCATTCTAATATGGTTACTAATCCACATTATCAAAATCAGCCAGGAAGAGGCATGACTCATAATCCCATGGACGAGAGAGTCAGGCATTCAGGGCCATATCCATCCCCTCAGTACCCTGGATATGAGTCTAGCTACCCAGGGAACATGGCTAACCCTAGACTGGGAGGCTACCCCACAGAGATGAGCTCTTCCTTTAAAGCACATGAAATGAAAGACCCTGCTCAGTTTACCAAACCAAGTCCAGCCAGCAACCCAGGCGAGCAGTTCTCCGAGTCAGCATCCAAACCTAAACGACCAAAGACAATAAAGAAATGTGCTAAAGATAATGTTTTAGTTGCCAGAGGGAGAGGCAGTAAGGGTAGGGGAAGAGGTCGAGGTGGTTTCATGATTGACAATTTGCTAGAGGCTAGAGGTGAAGAAGACGGAGAGGACAGTGGTGAGATGAAGGACATTGTAAGCTATGTGGCCACTGATGACTACTTCAAGCAACAGACAAGTTCATAACATCAAGTCATCTGCACACATCCTTGGAGAAACACATTCAATTTGAAGGCATAATTGTGTCATCTAGACACACACTGCTGACTTCATACACATTACTTTTTATCTATCTCATTAAATTAGTCAAGTAACCATTTATTCTGTTCTTGTACATTTCTGAGCCTGACATTGTCAGTATAATAAAGTAATATATTCATTGTAAATAATGTAAATAGCTGCTGAGATATTTGTAGAAATATAGTATTTTTGTCATTTTCTTCATTCTTGTAAATGTAGTAACCTAACAAATTTTCCTTAATTTGTAACAAATTACTATCAAAACTATTTTATTTATTAATATTAACTTGATGTCTGCTGAAGTGCCAGCTGTTTGATCTCTCTTTCCTGCAAAAAGCTGTAGGCAAGATTCTGGAGAAAATGTGAGCCTACCCTGCTGACTATTGTCTGGCTCTCAGACAAGTTGCTCTTGTAGGTTTAGGTTGTGTTGACATGGTCACATGGTTGTTCTAATATACATGTATAGAGTTAATTTTACCAATGTCCATGTGGGACAGCATTTTTATTTTACACAACTCATATCCAGATGTTATTGCTTGTATTTACTGTCTTAAAATAAAATCTAACATTCAAATATTCTTTTCTCATGAAGTTTGTGAGAGAACTGCATTTATCCACTTGGATGTGAAGTTTTGTTCCAATTGTTCAAACTCCCAATCACAAATGGTGTTACAAATACATCTTAGTGTTGTCATTGTTTTCTAGTTTTGTAAGTAGCATTTTCATCTAAATTGTAAATAAACTTCATCGTACTTTAAAACTCTTTGTTTTTATTATTTTTAATATGTAGGTAAGTGTAATTACATATTTTTATTTGAAATAAAATTGAAGCATTGACAAAGAAATCATAAGGTCTGAATTACAATGACCATACCATATTTTAAGGAACTGAACTTGTTAAAAGGTGCATGACTGTAAACATTTAGCAGCTAAATGTTTTGTAGATTTTATAGAAATTAGGCCCTGCTCTGTAAAAAAAAAAGTGCCTTAGTGAATCTGCAATGAAGACTAGGCCTACATCTACAAGTTATTTAGTCTATAAGTGTTTTAGTTCATTTTTTCTTCATCCATGATCATGACCTACAATCTAGTACTTAAAAAAACTGGATTTACAAGCATAAAATTATCAAGAGGAGCATCTTGTATTGTTTAATGATGTTGGCCTACCTGTAATCAATCTAATTGGCTGGGACCACTGATACTCTCACCATATCTGGTCATACATCTTAATTAAGTTCTTATGAAATGGATGTCACCCGAAAAAATTATTATAAAATTAGAGATATATAATTTGGTGATTGCACTGATTATGCACAATGATAACTTGTTTCTACAGATCTTACATCACACATGTGAAATGTGGTACGGTATATTTTCTGTTACCTCTTGATTCCAAATCAGTTAACTCAACTATACAGTCATTAAATTAGTGGCTAAATAAAGTTCAAATGCTTTGTCTAAATAAAAAGTAGGAATAAAAATATGAAACGTTAATTGTCCACTTTAACAAGTATTTATTTAGGTATCTTACATCCAACTATTCAACCAACCATTGTCCTTTTCCTGCCTCGTAATCTAACTTCTTCTAGCTTTGCCAATACCTCATGACAAGCAGACTTGTTCTCCATTTCATTTTGATATGAGCTTAGTATTGTTTCAAACAAACATTCAGAGTTTGGATGGGAACTCAAAAATGCTCTCTCAAGCACATAGAGGTCTACTCCTTTACTTTCTGCAGAGTCTTCAAATGAGCTCAGTCCAAAGTCAATAACATAAAGTCTGGGATCAGAAGAATCTCCTTGTAAAAGCATATTGGAAGTGGTTAAATCCCCATGTATGATATTATTACTGTGCATCTTGCTAAGAATTTTTCCAATTTTTTCAGCTATAGTATGTAACTTTTCATTAGCTGTTAACTTGTCTGTAGATTGGATATTTAAGATGTGTTCTCTAACAGTGATGGAAGATAAAATTTTCTCCATGTAGATTCTGCTGTCCTTGAAATTAACCATGAAAATTGTAGGTGTAAGAATACCTGTACAAACGAAACAAATAGTTTGTAAAAATTAACACTTCTTTCTAAAGATTAAACTGAGTATAGTAAAGATACAACAAGAAAGAACATAACTACTTTAAATGAATGTATTAATTAAATATTAAAACGAAACAGGAAAAACAAAAATAGTACTAATTTTAAGTGGGCATAATTTTTCTCTCTGCTGAATCCAATTCACAACTATAAATTGTAGAAATTTTAGGCCTAGGAGTTCTAATTCCTAATTTTGGCTATAGAATTATTAGAATCAGGAATGCAATTTTAGTGCACACTATATTCTTTCATTCTGATTGGTTTAATTTCTGACATAAAGGATTTTGTTTGAATGCATCAAACTTCTCAGCTTTACATTCATTAAAAATATTTCACTTTTTATATATATATAAAAAGTGAAATATTTTTAATGAATGTAAAGCTGAGAAGTTTGATGCATTCAAACAAAATCCTTTATGTCAGAAATTAAACCACGGGGAAACTAAGGAAAGGTGTAAAAATTGACACCTTTATTGAAACTCTATAGCTTTTCTCAGAACCAGATATGCCTACCCCTGTCAGCCAAAAGTACGAACAGTCATGCCTAAAAAGAGGAATTTGAAGCCAAAAAGAGGAACATACGCGCGGACGATACTTTACGTCAAAAATAAAAATAATTAATTAAAACTTAGTTGTCAGTTTACATAAAAAAAAATTTAACCAGTAACCTGAGACCCCCCTATATCCAGAGTTGCCATCCCCCGTAGTGTTATATAAGAATATTCAAGAAATTTTAGGGGAGATCACTCCCCGTTAATTAATTTAAAGAATAATTCTCAATTCATATTGTCTATATGTTATTGTGAGAAAATCAGGACAAGTTGACTCTATCTCTGTCTGAGTAGTCTACTCAACTCTCTCTAGCTAACCTCTAGACCAGGGGTTCCCAACCTTTTTTTTACTCTAGAGCACATTCTAAAATAGCGGTAGGGTGGCAGGCACCACCTATTTTAAATCGACAAACTCCTTCCATGACTTGTCATTTTCCCATAATTTATTTTCTTATTTTCTTAAAGTCATAATGTATTAATAAATAATAAACAAAAAAAAAATATCGCTTATGAACAGAATAAATTACACACCTCGCTTTTAGCCTGTTAATTTTTTTATATAGAAAACTCCTAATTCGTGTTTCATCTGAAGAACATGTCTCTTATCTAACTGTTGCGACCCGAACAGGGCAGCAATCACAATGACAACAACGCGGTTCCAGGCGGGGAATGCTTTTTGCACATCACTCCATGTACACGCGGAAAAACTGAAGTGAGCCGATGATAGCTGAAGCAATCAGAGTTATGTGCCTTGTGATTTGGCACCTTCTGCGTTTATCGGATCAGTTCGTGGCGTTCGTTCCATTCGTTCACTTTGGGTTTTCTGCGTGTACAAGGTGTTATGCGCAAATGGCACTAGCCTTCCAGGCTAGCGTAAATAATGCAGTCTGGCTCGCTGCTAGACAAGTTGGGACAAGTATCGAACATATTTAATAAACCTAGGCAGTCAAAAAAAAATTAAAACTGTAACAATAAAAATATAATAGGCCTAAACTAATATCATATTTTAAAATAAAGTTTATGAAAAAAATTCTGTCTCTGTCGAATAGTGAGAGGCGGGCACATACGAATCGTTCAGCGGGCGCCATGGCACCCGCGGGCACAGGGTTGGGAACCCCTGCTCTAGGCTCTAGACTCACTCTACTCTAGAGTCAGTCTCTACAGTCTACTAGTCTAGGCATCATATGATCATAGATCTAGAGTAGACCCTAGATCTAGATAATCGTTCAAGTAGTAGACTGAGTATTATATATTGATGTATTATCTAGTTATTAAGTAGATCTAGAATCTAGATAGGGTAAAATCACGATATAGCGTCGGTTATTATTCCGGAACTGTACAGCAGTAAAAAACAGTAAAACCATGGCGTAGTCTGTCGAGCCGTTCCGGAAACCACCGGAAATACTGTAAACCATCCGTTATTTGCCGCCATATTATTTTAATACATAATGTTTAAAAATGTGCAAGGATTGATTTTAGTTGCATTTTAAATACTGTTTTGCTAATTATTTTGTATTTCTAATTATTTTAAGTGTATGTGCTAATTATTGCTGCTACTAAACATTATTCTAGTTATTCTTACTACTTTTAACTTTAGTTAATCTAATCGTCTTATTTACTACTAACAGAACTAGAGTTGGTTGTCGCAAATCTTCTGCAGGTTTTTTCTGTTTCTTAAAAAAAAACATTAATTACTACACTCGACTTTATTAATAATATTTAGATTTACTAATTGTTGCTAATTTTTTTGGTAGTTAAACATTAAATTAAGTTAAAACAATAATTTAATGCACTTGACTCTATTTTTATTTCACCGGTCAAATAAACTATGGTTTACAGTAACGAATGTTACCGAAACTCAACGAAAGTTACCCAATAATTTCCGACGCTATATCGTGATTTTACCCTAGATAGATCTAGTACGTTAAGTTAAAGTAAGTAGATCTAGAATCTAGATCTAGATCTAAATTCTAGGTCTAGCTAGTGACTAGTCAGTAGTCAAGCACCTGCCATTCTGCATCGGAAGTTTGCCCGCACTTCTGCCTTGATTCTCTGTTCCGTAAGGCTTGAATCTAGAATATCGTGACGGTATTTCTTTTTAAATCTCTCTTTAATAATACATGGTTTCCCATAAAAATCATACGAGTATAATTTTGCTTCAGCTCCTTGCTTGAGTGGTATCATTGTTGATTTTGTTTCGGTAACATTTTTATTAGTTACGGTAAACGCCATACTTAAAAATTAATAGAAAATTTTGTATCGCATTTTTATACAGTATACATACAGTATTATATTTTTGTATCGCCATTCAAAAACAATATTTAAAAACTTTTAGTCAATATGAATTTTCCTGTTGATTTAATGTTTTTAACCCAAAACAATCTTCATTTTAAATATACAGTGATTTTAAGAAGACAAAGTATGCTACTTATTAAAATTGCGAATAAATTATTAAGGCCATTCGTTTTATTTTTTGTGATACCAAGGATACCGTCCCTTGTGTTACGTAATTGATTTCTGCGTATCTAAATCATTTTGTTTACACACAACTAGATCTAGATCTAGACTAGAGTCTGGATCTAATTTATGCCCAAGAAAACCAAGAAATACGTAGATTAGTCTACATTGAAATTAAATTTTCCTGTTAAAAAAAACACACACAATGGATGCGTACAGTTTTTATTTAGCCACTCTTCGATATGTAATGAACGTAACTGTTGAGGACAGATTAACTTGGTGTGATATTTTCAAATATATTCCTTGTCTTCGTCAAATGCTTTCGTGTTGTGTATGCGGAAGCATTTTAATGCGACCCCATGGTCCTGCACATAGCATTTGTTTACATCATGTTTGTTATCAGTGTATTGGAGGAAGGATGCGTTTGCGCCCTTCTTGTAGTTGGTGTAAAGATCATAGTGAATTTGTTGAAAATAAAAAGTTGCGCATTTTGATAATTTGTTTTAAAAGATTGTGTTCCTACATCTCTAACAGTCGACTTGGCTCAGAAATATGTAAAGCCTCTGTTAATGGGTGTGGAAATGAGGCAGAGCGAACAATGCATATCTTGAGAGAAGCTGAAGTCTTTTCAGATAACTATATTTTTACTCCTCCACCATGTAAGTTGCCAATTGTTTCGAAATCAATTGCAAAGAAGATTAAATTATTTAACAATTCTCCAACAGTATCCACTAAAGAAGGAAAAGAAACATTCAAAAGAAAGAGAGGAAGACCAAAAACAAATGTTAATTCTGAATTCAATAAACGAAGATTGGCAGAACATGCAAAGAGACTAAAGAGAAGAGCTTTAACTACAACTGTTCACAAAGCTAATAAAAAAACATTTGTTAAAAATTTTTTACAGAAGGGTCGTCCCAGGACACAAACTAGTTCAGTATCCAGTAACACAACGACATATCTAGTTTCTCAAAGGCCACACAGAGAAAGGTCAGGAAAATATAGTATAGGTCAGCTATGGCGGGAGACATTTCTGGAGGAAACACAACAAGAATCATACCCTGATTCTGGAGTGGAGGTAGGAAACTCTAATGATGATCATTATCCACCAGCACTTTCTAGACATGAAGGTGAATCTGTTGACATGTCAAATAAAAAACAAGATCGAAAAGAGACTCGCCATTATAAGAATTTCAATTATGACAAAATGGGAGCTTTATCTGTAAATGATGTTACAAGTTCCACAGATGAAGTTGATAAACCCAGGCTTACTTTGACAATATCAAAAAAAAGGTTTCAAGACATTTCATTGCGACGTGATCGGGAGGGGTGTACATCTGGTGTTCAAGAGGCTGGCAAAAATAAATTATCTGCTAGTAGTTTGTCTGGAAGTAAACGAATAAACTCTAAAGTTGTCTCCCCTATCAAAGCTGGCAAAGAGTGGGAGTGCAAATGTTCCAGACAACCCAATCAGTTGACCTGTTCTGGCCAGAAATGCCCCTGCTTCAGTGGAACTCGGCCTTGCATTGATTGTTTGTGCACTGGCTGCAAGAATCCCATCAGAACGCCAGACTCTGCCCCACCTTTAATGCACCTTATAAAAGATGGGGACAGTCTTGACCATAGTTTAGATAGGAGTATGCCAAGGCTGTCACCTATTCCAAGAATGTAACTGGCCAGATACATGGTGTGATTTGTGAAGAGCTGAATCTTGGTCATATTTTAGATTCTAGTCCAGCATTCTATAATGCTTACACACTTTTTCTCACATTTATTTTATGTAGGCCTATAGAAAATGTATTGCTTTAAGTCTAGTACTGCTCTGTTGTTCAAAGTTTTAGCTACGAAGATTTTGGAGCTGATCTAAATTTACTAAGAACAAAATAAATGTTTGCTAGTGTTATGGGAACTTTATTGTAGTTTGCTTTTTATAAAGTTGTTCCAACATGGAATTTTAGAATTTTGAGAATTGAAAAGAGATGTTTTGTTTATTAATCATTACTGTATTTTCATTGCCATTTATTTAGAAAAAAACTATTTGTAAATCTCAAAGATTACATTTTTAAAAAGTGTAACTTAAGTGTCAGTTAATCTCATATTAAGTTATTTTATTACCAAATGTTATTTTTACTCAGTAAAATTTTTTAGCAGTAAAATGAGATAATGGTTATAAGTGATTATAATAACATCAGTTGAATATTACTAAAATTACTATTTTATTGAATGTGCAGTCCTGTTATCATGGGACCACTCTGCCTAGTGCTAGACCACTAGACTGATAACCCTTAAAGTCTTGAGTTTGAATCTGTGTTCAAGTCAGTGGAACATCCCTGAGTTCACCCCGCTCTGATGGGTACCTAACTCACATTAGGGAAAATAAAGGTGGCTGGGCTTAGTATATTTGTTATTGATGACTAGTGCAAAAATCAAGTTAAAATCATTGGTATATTTGTTATTGATGACTAGCAAAAATCAAGATGTTTGAAAAATGAAGCTTTTTTAACACCTATGGCTGGATGTAACTTTTTGATGTTTGCAGTTTCTCATTTCTGTTCTTTATTCTTTATAATTGTTCATTTTTTTTCTGTAGTGCTGTAATATTCATTCAGTGAAACCATTGCCTTGTGTAATGGTTTTTTCTTGATTGGTTGAAAAAACCTGTTTTATAATCACTTTCTCTGTTTCCTGGAAATAGAAATCTTTTAAAAATGTTAATGTTAACAGAATTCTTTAAACATATTTATTAAATTGATATTTTCTGTTAAATTAAAAAAAAAATATGACCAAACAAGAAAATCTTTTCTAATATAAAACAGAATTTTCATATAGCAGTAGTATTATTCTTACAAGTTGAAGCTACCTAAACCTTGTACCAGTAGCCAGATAATGTTTGGTGACATTTTATTCTGTTTTCTTTTTCTTTTAATCTTGCCACACTGACCAGGAATAGGGTGAGTTACAACTTGTATACAATGGCATACTTCTTGTATAATGTAGGCAATACACACAGCTGACTATCAGCATGTTTTATTATTATTATTATTATTATTTTGAACCCAATTTATTACATGTAGATAAAAAAAAGTTGTGTTGTACTTTTGAAGTTTTTAACCAATTTATTTCTCAGAATCTCAGTTTTTGTTGAAGCTAATTACACAAATACTGCTACCACATATGCTTGTTAACAACCAATGATTTTTTTCAGTTTTATCTACAAAATGTTATGTTGGTACTTAAAAGTAAATATTGTTTTATAAATATTTTTGAAAAAAAAAAAACCTGTAAAAAAAAAGGCAAATGTTGCCCATATGGAGGATTGTTTTCTCGCATACCGGTACGTTGTTAGAAATTTTGCAGTCCAGTAAATTGGGCTTTGGTCTTTCCCACATTGGCTAGTCTCAAATTACATTGTCTCTTAAATGTACATTTTATTCTCACCCCACCACATTTTTTTAATGGTCCATGTGTACACCTTGTGTCCTTGTCTCACCACTGTTCCATGTGTACACCTTGTGTCCTTGTCTTACCACAAGTCCATGTGTACAAGTTGTGTCCTTGTCTCACCACTGTTCCATGTGTACAAGTTGTCCTTGTCTCACCACTAGTCCTTGTGTACAAGTTGTCCTTGTCTCACCACTGTTCCATGTGTACAAGTTGTCCTTGTCTCACCACTAGTCCTTGTGTACAAGTTGTCCCACCACTGGTCCATGTGTACAAGTTGTCCCACCACTAGTCCATGTGTACAAGTTGCCCTTGTCTCACCACTGATCCATGTGTACAAGTTGCCCTTGTCTCACCACTGATCCATGTGTACAAGTTGTCCCACCACTGGTCCATGTCTACAAGTTGTCCTCATGTCACCACTAGTCCATGTGTACAAGTTGTCCTTGTCTCACCACTAGTCCATGTGTACAAGTTGTCCTTGTCTCACCACTAGTCCATGTGTACAAGTTGTCCTTGTCTCACCACTAGTCCATGTGTACAAGTTGTTCTTGTCTCACCACTAGTCCATGTGTACAAGTTGTTCTTGTCTCACCACTAGTCCATGTGTACAAGTTGTCCTTGTCTCACCACTAGTCCATGTGTACAAGTTGTTCTTGTCTCACCACTAGTCCATGTGTACAAGTTGTTCTTGTCCCACCACTGGTCCATGTCTGCAAGTTGTCCTCATCTCAACACTAGTCCATGTCTGCAAGTTGTCCTCATCTCACCACTAGTCCTTGTGTACAAGTTGTCCTCATGTCACCACTAGTCCTTGTGTACAAGTTGTCCTTGTCTCACCACTGTCCATGTGTACAAGTTGTGTCCTTGTCTCACCACCATTTTTAACAGTCCATCTGTACACTTTCCTCACATCGCAGCTTTAATTAAATGTTGATTGTTTTTGCAATAAGTCTCTGGTCATTGATATCTTTGATATCTTATGTTTAGTCATCTGTATAAAGAAAGTGGACAATCTTAAAATGATGTTGTAAGAAAAAGATGTTTTAAAATGTTTTCATGCTATTGACAATTTGTTAAGATGGTGAGGGGTGAGATTTGCCACTTTTAAAAATGACTTTTCTCCTCTTTAAAGCTTTGACAAATGAAATCACAGCTTAGTACCTGATTTTGCTCATTTATCTTGAAAAAAACTCTTCATTAATTAACAAGTAGCTGACCAGCATTTTTTATCTCCTACAAGAGATCAACTTTCAATATTTTAGAATTAGAAGACGGCACAGAGCAGGTTAAGTTAGGCCTTTTGTTTCTTCCATTACACATTTTAAAATGTTAGTTACACAGTTGAACAGTGACTATTTCGATGTTGTGTCAATCATATTAAAAAAGTCTAAGGATGGCAAGGACAAGATTTCCTATATTATTTTCTGTTTGAAGCCACAAGCTTCATGTTACAACCAGGGCTCAATATTTTAAGCCATAGGCTAAATGTTATCAGTCATAGGCTAATGATACTATTTGGTCATACAAGTATCCAATCTTTTCTACACCTTTTTTCTACATTTACCCTAAATCTTATTTCCGAACAAACTTCAATTCACAGAAATATCTTACACAATATGGGTTTTTACTGGACAGTATAGGACACACAATGTCTGAGAGAGATCTTGAAGGCAGGTCCCAGCTCCCATATCCTTATGATGTCACTGAGTCCACCCAGCTCTGATAAGAACTTGACTCAAGTTAGAGAAAGTAAAGTTGACTCAACATAAAACTGAACACTATCTCTTCAGAAGCTGAGGTTACAGCAACATGGAAACTCTGCTTCCTCATGTTAGTCATGACCATAACCATGCTATAATAGATTTTTTTAAAAATCATTTGTCACTGTTTTTTTTATTTTCATTCAATCCCGGTGATTAGCATGCAAATCTATGGTTTTAAAAATATCTTACTGAGATTTGAATAGGAGTAATGCATTGTTCTTGTTACTTAAAGTTTATGGTTTCAATTTAATGATGTGGACCCTGAATCACATATATGATGTGGCTGGTGTACCACCACATGTATGATGTGGCTGGTGTACCACCACATGTATGATGTGGCTGGTGTACCACCACATGTATGATGTGGCTGGTGTACCACCACATGTTTGATGTGGCTGGTGTACCACCACGTTTGGTGTGGCTGGTGTACCACCACATGTATGATGTGGCTGGTGTACCACCACATGTATGATGTGGCTGGTGTACCACCACGTTTGGTGTGGCTGGTGTACCACCACATGTATGATGTGGCTGGTGTACCACCACATGTATGATGTGGCTGGTGTACCACCACGTTTGGTGTGGCTGGTGTACCACCACATGTATGATGTGGCTGGTGTACCACCACATGTATGATGTGGCTGGTGTACCACCACATGTATGATGTGGCTGGTGTACCACCACATGTTTGGTGTGGCTGGTGTACCACCACGTTTGGTGTGGCTGGTGTACCACCACATGTATGATGTGGCTGGTGTACCACCACATGTATGATGTGGCTGGTGTACCACCACGTTTGGTGTGGCTGGTGTACCACCACATGTATGATGTGGCTGGTGTACCACCACATGTATGATGTGGCTGGTGTACCACCACGTTTGGTGTGGCTGGTGTACCACCACATGTATGATGTGGCTGGTGTACCACCACATGTATGATGTGGCTGGTGTACCACCACATGTATGATGTGGCTGGTGTACCACCACGTTTGATGTGGCTGGTGTACCACCACGTTTGGTGTGGCTATAAAACATGTGGTTGAAGTGGATGCAATATTGCGATTATGTTTCTGAACCTTTGTTTGTTCATACTGAAAGTGTGTCCTGCCCATTGTAACATCAAACATTGTTTAAAAAATAATCTAATGTTACATTCAAGTCTGGAGAGAGATGTGCCGTGTAGATTTCATTCAAGAAACTCTGACAAAATTTCCTTGGTTATATGATTTCATTAAAAAAGCTAACAAAATTTCATTGATTATGTTGTACATTGTTAGAATTTTTTTTTCATGTTGGATTTTTGTTGTTGTTGTTGCAATGTTTAAAGTTTTATGCTATCTTTAACACCATGTTAGGTCAGACCTAGGCCACAGCTAGAAAACAAATACCAAACACATTTCAACCTTTTAGGTCAGACCTAAGCCACAGAACAAATACCAAACACACATTTCAACCTTTTAGGTCAGACCTAGGCCACAGCTAGACATCAAATACCAAACACACATTTCAACCTTTTAGGTCAGACCTAAGCCACAAGCCATGTCTGATTAGCTGTTTTGATATGTGGAATAAAATCAGGATGAAAAAGACAAACTTATTTAATTTATTAGTCATTGAATGTTTACTGGTTAAAGATTCACCAATCAATTTGCTATCAAAAATATGTTATAACAATTTGCTATCAAAAATATGATTATAACAAAATTTGCTATCAAAAATATGATTATAACAATCTAAAAATTAAAAGACTGGTTGTTTTAAATGAATAATATTTTCACTAGCAAATTACTTTTAAAATGTTGAATCCTACAGTAGTTATTATGAAACTCTTCAGTCAGATTGTGTTGACTTGAAGTTCAGTCAAATTGTGTTGACTTTAAAAAAATATCCATTCGCCAACAGCATCAAGAGTTGAGCACGTCTTTTCTAGATAAAATAACTGGTACTAGAGTGAAAGGTCAGTGTATGGGATTTATAATATGGGGTCAGAATGGTACGGGTGTATCTTCATCGCTTAATGATAAGCCTTGGCTCCACTCATAAAGATTATCTGCTTCATAGTCCCAATCATCACCACTGTCACCATGCTGGCATGTGTCACCATTTTGGAATGTGTCACCATCGGCTATATGTCTGGGAGAGTTGTAGTGCTTACAATCATCTTGCCCTTCAGTTAATGCTTGATCCTGCTGCTAAAAAAACAAATTTTGTTAACCCAGAGTTTGGTGAAAGTATATATGTAATTCAACACAAATAGAATTACAGAGCATAGTATAACAAAGTATATCAAGCACGCAGGCCAATATATTAGCAAGACCTACATAGTGTTTGCTGTAAAACTGTCTCATTTTCATTGCCCTCTGTACGGCTCTCTTGTTTCTCCTACTGGAGTAATGGCTTGACCTGCTGGTGCAGGGTGGGGCGTAGGAGGGGCTTGTCAGCATTCTGAGGGTGGGGAGATGCAGAAAATAGACCTTATTCATCTTTCATCTATGCATGGCGACTGAAGTAATTTTATAATGTGGTGTGGTGACTGAGGTCATTTTACAACCTGTGGTGTGGTGAGTGAAGTCATTTTATAATGTGGTGTGGTGAGTGAAGTCATTTTATAACGTGTGGTGAGTGAAGTCATTTTATAACGTGTGGTGAGTGAAGTCATTTTATAACGTGGTGTGGTGACTCAAGTCATTTTATAACGTGGTGTGGTGACTGAGGTCATTTTATAATGTGGTGTGGTGAGTGAAGTCATTTTATAACGTGGTGTGGTGAGTGAAGTCATTTTATAACGTGGTGTGGTGACTCAAGTCATTTTATAACGTGGTGTGGTGAGTGAAGTCATTTTATAATGTGGTGTGGTGACTCAAGTCATTTTATAACGTGGTGTGGTGACTCAAGTCATTTTATAACGTGGTGTGGTGACTGAGATGAAACTGCGTGGATGTGTTGAAGTTGTGTACTCACCTGAGTTTTGAGATGGCGTGGATGTGTTGAAGTTGTGTACTCACCTGAGTTTTGAGATGGCGTGGATGTGTTGAAGTTGTGTACTCACCTGAGTTTTGAGATGGCGTGGATGTGTTGAAGTTGTGTACTCACCTGAGTTTTGAGATGGCGTGGATGTGTTGAAGTTGTGTACTCACCTGAGTTTTGAGATGGCGTGGATGTGTTGAAGTTGTGTACTCACCTGAGTTTTGAGATGGCGTGGATGTGTTGAAGTTGAAGTTTTTCAGTGACAGGTTGGGTGAGAAGTAAAGCCATTTCCTTTCTTAGACTTTCTGAGATGTGGTTGTTGTAGGCGTAGTCAACAACATCAAAAAACATGGTGTGTCTAGAGAGTACTGACATTCAAACAAATTTATGAAACTTACTCTTATATCCTAATATCTAAAACTAGAACATTTAAAAAGTATTATAATTACAAGGTTTCAAATGCAAAAGTAATAAAATAAATTTCTTGAGTACTTAATGCAAATACTGGTTGCTCTTGAAATTATTTTGCTACCAGCACTATTAGAGCTCTGTTAATTTACCTCTAATTTTACTTAAAGTGCATTAAAAAACATGTAATTGTTTTATATTTGTCTATTTTAATCACTGAAACAATATGTATAAAAAGTTAGACAAGCATAAGGAAGTGAACATTTGACAACAAAGTTAGACATGCTAAAGTTATATGCAGCTCTATAAAAAAGTTAGACAAGTATAAGGAAGTGAACATATGACAACAAAGTTAGACATGCTAAAGTTATATGCAGCTCTATAAAAAAATACCGTCCAGTGTTAGCCGCCTCCAGTAATTTTCTTTTCCACCTTGGCAGGCTGGGCTTTCATCAAGGTTGGACAAGTACTGAAGACAGCATTGGTTACACTTTTTATACAAGATACACCAGCTATTGGACAAGTACTGAAGACAGCATTGGTTTGGTTACACTTTTTATACAAGATACACCAGCTATTGGACAAGTACTGAAGACAGAATTGGTTACACTTTTTATACAAGATACACCAGCTATTGGACAAGTACTGAAGACAGCATTGGTTTGGTTACACTTTTTATACAAGATACACCAGCTATTGGACAAGTACTGAAGACAGCATTGGTTACACTTTTTATACAAGAACAAACCAGCTATAACAGGTTATAATATATGGCTATAACTAGTGGTGGATTAAGGGGGGGGGGGGGGGCTGAGAGTCAGCAGCCTGGGGCCCTTGACGGTTAGGTTAGGTTTGGTTAGGTTTGGTTAGGTTTGGTTAGGTTAGGTTTGCCTGTCGTCCCTCCTGGGACATAGGCTACTGACAAGAGCTTTCCAGGCACCTCTGTCCTGGGCTAGTCTCTCCAACTTTCCCCAGGTGTATCCAATCTTCTTGGTGTCTTTAGGGGCCCTTAAAGTCTTATAATAAATAGTAAATCTTATTTTCCAACAGATCTTTGTTTCTATTAGTAAAGTGATCATTGTTTACCCAACAAATATGAGTTGTTCACCATTATTAAAAAAATATCAAAATGCCAGACTGTACTGAAGTAACAAAATATGACCGTACTGAAGTAACAAAATGTGACTGTGTACTGTAGTAACAAAATGGGACTGTGTACTGTAGTAACAAAATGTGACTGTGTACTGAAGTAACAAAATGTGACTGTGTACTGTAGTAACAAAATGGGACTGTGTACTGTAGTAACAAAATGTGACTGTGTACTGTAGTAACAAAATGTGACTGTGTACTGTAGTAACAAAATGTGACTGTGTACTGTAGTAACAAAATGTGACTGTGTACTGTAGTAACAAAATGTGACTGTGTACTGTAGTAACAAAATGTGACTGTGTACTGTAGTAACAAAATGGGACTGTGTACTGTAGTAACAAAATGGGACTGTGTACTGTAGTAACAAAATGTGACCATACTGAAGTAACAAAATGTGACTGTACTGTAGTAACAAAATGGGACTGTGTACTGTAGTAACAAAATGGGACTGTGTACTGTAGTAACAAAATGGGACTGTGTACTGTAGTAACAAAATGTGACTGTGTACTGAAGTAACAAAATGGGACTGTGTACTGTAGTAACAAAATGTGACTGTGTACTATTTTAACAAAATGTGACTGTGTACTGTAGTAACAAAATGGGACTGTGTACTGTAGTAACAAAATGTGACTGTGTACTGTAGTAACAAAATGTGACTGTGTACTGTAGTAACAAAATGTGACTGTGTACTGTAGTAACAAAATGTGACTGTGTACTGAAGTAACAAGATGTGACTGTGTACTGTAGTAACAAAATGTGACTGTGTACTGTAGTAACAAAATGTGACTGTGTATTGTAGTAACAAAATGTGACTGTGTACTGTAGTAACAAAATGTGACCATACTGAAGTAACAAGATGTGACTGTGTACTGTAGTAACAAAATGTGACTGTGTACTGTAGTAACAAAATGTGACCGTACTGTAGTAACAAAATGTGACTGTGTACTGTAGTAACAAAATGGGACTGTGTACTGTAGTAACAAAATGGGACTGTGTACTGTAGTAACAAAATGTGACTGTGTACTGTAGTAACAAAATGTGACTGTGTACTGTAGTAACAAAATGTGACTGTGTACTGTAGTAACAAAATGTGACTGTGTACTGTAGTAACAAAATGTGACTGTGTACTGTAGTAACAAAATGTGACTGTGTACTGTAGTAACAAAATGTGACTGTGTACTGTAGTAACAAAATGTGACTGTGTACTGTAGTAACAAAATGTGACCGTAAGTAACAAAATGTGACTGTGTACTGTAGTAACAAAATGTGACCGTAAGTAACAAAATGTGACTGTGTACTGTAGTAACAAAATGTGACCGTAAGTAACAAAATGTGACTGTGTACTGTAGTAACAAAATGTGACTGTGTACTATTTTAACAAAATGTGACTGTGTACTGTAGTAACAAGATATAAACTAAAAAAAAACCTGCATATAATCTTTCATGGTTGTGACATCCACCTCATCACACACTGGCCTCTGATTGTGTTGTAGTGTGTCCTGTAGTATCTGCTGGTAAAAGTTTCGGTTTCCCATCTGCTGCAGAGCGTCTGAGGCAGCCTAGCATGATTAAATTTTAAAAAAAACTAGAGACAGCTGGAGTGCACATCAGATCAGATCAATTTGAATCAAATTTAGCCATGTTTTTTTTAAAATAGTTTTAAATGCAATTTTATTTGTTCACATCAGCTAATGATTAAAATTATTTCAATTTTTTAACTCACCTCAGTTAAGGTCATGGGCGGGTGATCAGTACCAAGTCAGCCACAATGCTTATTTCTAAACCTAATACTATCATATAGCATATAATTATAACTTAAAGAGTTAAGTCTAAAAATTAAAAAATAGACACAAATTTCTTGCAGTTGCCATGGTGATGGTGACCATCTTGGTTGTTTTTTTTTTTTAAATTTTAACATTGAAATAACTTTCTTAATTATTAATACAATTGATCCAAATTTTCTCTAGTTATTCTGTATACACATAACAAAAAACTGATAGAAATTTTTTTTTAAAAATTTGTCTGGTTTTTCTTTAACAGTTAAAATGGTGATTTTTTTTTTTGCACAAATTTAGATTTTTTTTAAAGTGATTTTCAGAACAAAAATTGTAAAAGCATAAGTATTTTTAAAATTTGAAAATATTATCTATCAGAATTGTTACCAATATGTATCTCAATACTCCTGTAAGTTTTTATTGAATTTGCATAAGGGGTCATCCATAAATGACGTCACACTCGTAGGGGGAGGGGGTCCATAATTTTGTGACAATGTGTGATGAGGGGGGGGGGGGGGGATCAGATGTTGCGACGTCACATTTTTGCATTATAAAAAAGCAATGTTAGAAAACGAATTTTAGACGCTGTTTTAATAAATTGTAATAGTTTAGACAAGATTTTGGAAAAATATCGATGTTTTAAAAACATTCAACTGCAATTTTGAGGGGGGTTGTAGGTTGAGGTGTGACGTCATTTTAGGGGGGGGGGGGGTCTGGCTTTTTGCGACGACTGTGACGGAGGGGAGGGGGGAGGTAAAAATCGTCAAAAAAAGCGTGAAGTCATTTATGGATGACCCCTAAGCCACCTTTGCGTTGTTTCAATTTTACAAAGGTAAATAAAATCCAATACAGTCACCATCACTATGGCAACAACAGGAAATTTTAGGCATTTTTTTTTATTTTTAAACTTAACTCTTGGAGCTATAACTGTGTGCAAAATATGATAGCATTAGGTTTAGAAATTAGCATTTTGGCTGATTTAGTACTGATCACATTGCCCATTAATGGTTTTTATCAATTTTTAACTCACCTCAGTTAGTGGTTTTATCAATTTTTAACTCACCTCAGTTAGTGGTTTTATCAATTTTTAACTCACCTCAGTTAGTGGTTTTATCAATTTTTAACTCACCTCAGTTAGTGGTTTTATCAATTTTTAACTCACCTCAGTTAGTGGTTTTATCAATTTTTAACTCACCTCAGTTGGTGGTTTTATCAATTTTTAACTCACCTCAGTTAGTGGTTTTATCAATTTTTAACTCACCTCAGTTAGTGGTTTTATCAATTTTTAACTCACCTCAGTTAGTGGTTTTATCAATTTTTAACTCACCTCAGTTAGTGTTTTTATCAATTTTTAACTCACCTCAGTTAGTGTTTTTATCATTTTTTAACTCACCTCAGTTAGTGTTTTTATCATTTTTTAACTCACCTCAGTTAGTGGTTTTATCAATTTTTAACTCACCTCAGTTAGTGGTTTTATCAATTTTTAACTCACCTCAGTTGGTGGTTTTATCAATTTTTAACTCACCTCAGTTAGTGGTTTTATCAATTTTTAACTCACCTCAGTTAGTGGTTTTATCAATTTTTAACTCACCTCAGTTAGTGGTTTTATCAATTTTTAACTCACCTCAGTTAGTGTTTTTATCAATTTTTAACTCACCTCAGTTAGTGTTTTTATCATTTTTTAACTCACCTCAGTTAGTGTTTTTATCATTTTTTAACTCACCTCAGTTAGTGTTTTTATCAATTTTTAACTCACCTCAGTTAGTGTTTTTATCATTTTTTAACTCACCTCAGTTAGTGGTTTTATCATTTTTTAACTCACCTCAGTTAGTGTTTTTATCATTTTTTAACTCACCTCAGTTAGTGTTTTTATCATTTTTTAACTCACCTCAGTTAGTGGTTTTATCATTTTTCGCCCACTCAAATACTTCACCTTCAGAGCTTTGCTATGTACAAAGATCTTAAAAAAAATCATCGGTGGAAATTCACTGCCTCCAAATCTAAAATACAAAAAAAAATTACTGGTTCAAATTTTTAAAGTTAAGGCAATGCTCCTGGGGCAATAAAATTAAATGTATCATCCAGTAAAATGATTTGTATCATCCCAGACTAACTTTGTTTACCTGAATCTAACTCGGACTTCTTGGCTTCTGTCTTTGAAAAACTCAGCTTCTCTTGGACACACTTTTCTCAGGATTTCATAAGAAAGTGAACTTTCCTGAAAAATGTTACACTTAAGTTCTACACAAGTTCAAGTATGTGTAGCATTTAATTTATGTACACAACATGTTTATGTACACAAAAAGTTTATGTACACAACATGTTCATGGGTACAATATTGTGTTATAACGCTCATGTTAAAAATGTGAATGGAAAAAAAGTCACAGGTAAAAAAAAAAACAGAAAAAAAGTCACAGTTTTTGCTAGGAAAAAAGTCACAGAAAAAAGTCTCAAAAGAAAAATTTTATCAGAAAAAAAATCATAGAAATATTCACAGAAAAAAGTCACAAAATATTCTAAGAAATATTTTGATTTTATCGTTGCTTGGTAATTTTTTCCGTAGCATATTTGTAAACTTTAAAAGCATTATGGTTTATAACAATCTGAAGTTAAATTCTGTAAGATAATGTACATAGCAACATTACATATCGTTACATATTCAGTTAAACATGCGATGGAAAATTATTATAAAATAAATTTTGGCTCATCATTGTGTTTGCATGTTTTTGGCGTAGGCCTTATCTTGGTCGGCTTCTCCTCAGTCGGCTTTGCCGTCCATATTGTGTGTTGTTTGCCTTTTGTGTCAAGCACAGCCTTTGTACAGTGTCAGCTATCTCTTTTGATCCTAGGCTTTGTTATGTAAAGAGTGTGATAAATGTGGGCAGTAAAGGTGGTTGGACTACTGTTGTGATTAGTTGAGGACAGTAAGTCACATTAACTTTGTCTTTATGCTATTTCACACCAATTTAAAGTTAGTATTTGAAAAACACTATTGAAACCGAGAAGGTTCGAACATTATATTAAATTCTATTAAATATTATATTGTAAAACAGAATTACAATTAAAACTTACAAACTTTATACTAAAATCTTTTATGTGTGTTGTAAATATTACTATATGCATACAACCCACACATATATATCTAAAATGATTACATTACATTTAATTAATTGTACGTTGATTAGCATAATACATAAAAGTATTTTAAAATTCACATTTGAGACTTTTTTCCTGTGGCTTTTTTTCATGAGGCTTTTTTCATCTAATTTTTTTCTGTTTTCTTTCCTGTGGTTTTTTTTCCCGGTGACTTATTTTCCTACAATCATTAAAATACCAATAGTATAAACTATAAAGTCTAACCCCAGGACTAAATCTTGGTGTAACTGACCATAGGACTAAATCTTGGTGTAACTGACCATAGGACTAAAGCTTGGTTGTAACTGACCCCAGGACTAAATCTTGGTGTAACTGACCCCAGGACTAAATCTTGGTGTAACTGACCATAGGACTAAATCTTGGTGTAACTGATCATAGGACTAAATCTTGGTGTAACTGACCATAGGACTAAATCTTGGTGTAACTGTAACTGACCATAGGACTAAATCTTGGTGTAACTGTAACTGACCATAGGACTAAAGCTTGGTGTAACTGACTTCAGGACTAAAGCTTGGTGTAACTGACCCCAGGACTAAATCTTGGTGTAACTAACCATAGGACTCAATGTAAATAACAAACTAAAGGTAAAACTGGGGTGCCAAAAGTACTTACAGCTGCACAAATGGAATGCTTCAACAGCTTGAACATTTGTTTATCTCTGTAACTAATCCATGCTCTCTCTATGGCCCTAGCAGCATCTGATCTACAAACAAATAATTTCTTTCAAATTTCTATTTGGTGTCCTTTGCTTTTAATTAAATATAATAATAATTAAATATTGAACTTTTAAAAAAATCTAATTAAATATAGAGTTTTATCACCAAGTCTGCCTAAATTGTTGCATGAGCATCAACCTGCAAAACAGGGGCGTAGCGAGGGGGGGGGGGGGGGCGGGGGGTGCGGACCGCACCGGGTCACACCATTTAGGGGGGTGACACCAAGGCAAAAAATAGCACAATATATAGAGAAAAACTTTGGGGGGGGGGGGGGGGGGGGGGGTTAGAAAACAATTATTTCTTTACAGCATTTTTAAGGTACATCAGCATATGTGTTTCCACTAAAATAAAATTGGTGGAAAAATCTTTGTAACTGTGACAACGGCAGCCATCTTGAAAAATTAACCCCTTCGTAGGTTTTCCACCATTCATAAAAAATGGATAAAGGGTAAAGTACTACTTTCGGTCACCAAAAATTACTCAAAATTTGTTGGGAAAACAGAGAATTAAATCTCCTACATATATAGCTGAAAGAGTACTTAGGTTGTAGGTTTTTGAAAACCAAGGTAGAACAAGTTCCACTTCAGGTTACTGGATCGCTGAATAGTGGATACAGAGTTACAAACTTGAGATAATACTTATATATGAAACTTTGTCATCCTAGCTGTAACAGTACTCAAGATATCGTGTTTACAGACATACAGATATGATTGCAAAATTAAGTTTTTATGACTCAGGGAGGTCTAAAATGTCAAGATTTGTGAAACCTAGATTAACTATTTAATAGCCTGGACATCAAAATTATTTTTCTTTCCCTTACTGGCGAGTGAAAAGACGAAGACGATGCATTTTTTAACCACGGCATTTTTAAAAAATAATTTTTGTTTAAAATAACCACTTATGTTAAAAAAAAAGCAATATACACAAAACTAGGCCAAGTTTATTACGCATTAAGTTAAATAGCTTAACAATTTACTTAGGCTTATAATTAATAAAAATAACACTAATCCCAGACAACGTAAACAAAACACTACTTCAAATATAATTTATATAAAAAAAATTATTTTAAATGCTAAAAAAAATTCAATGTAGTCACTGGAGCTACTTTCTTTTTCAATAATTATATTATAAATAATGCCCATTTCAAAGGCAGAAGAACTTTAATTAGATTTAATTTCACTAATTAAAAATTTATATTGCCCATAATTTTGAGAAATTTTTTTTGAAAAATCGTAGATAATGGATTACTAGTAATTGAACAATGAGAAAACAACGTAAATAATATTTATTATTTCCCGCTTCCGCTGGCGAACCGGACTGTACCACAAAAAAATTTTTTTTTAGGCCTGTAAAGTAAGGTAGGTGGAGAGAACATTCTGGTTCTAATGAGATTTATAAATTATATTTACCGATCTTTGTCAGAGAAGAATTTTGTTTCCTGTACAAAATTTTCTTGGTTTTCAAAAGTTCTAAATGATGTAGATATATCAGTTGACCTAGTTTCTTGTTTAATATTTATACTGTCATCCATTTTATACATATTTTTATTATTTTCTACATATTCATGCTTTTTATAATTTAGTTTATTCAAACTATCAGAAGTAAATTTAGTTCTTTCTGTTGTGGTGGGTGCAACTGAAATTGCTGCAATGTCTACAACTGGCGGAATTTTTATTTTTACACTGAGCTGATTTCTAGGACTAGACATCTTCAAACTAAATATAATATATTTCAGTGTTCCAAGCAAGTTAGATCTATACTGAATTAATAATTTTACGAGCGTTATTTTTCATGAATTTGGATAATTTAAAACTCATCATCCACATTACAATACACAGGCCAATATATAATATTGTATATTAAATATTATAATATAAATTCATGTTGTACGCCATATTGTAACTAGAGTAAACAAAGTAATAAAACTTGAACTTGATAAGGATCAAAATTATACAGAACAAAATAATGTTTCCTGACGAACAAGTTAGTGTTATTTCTTTACAACTTCTTAATTAATACGTGTTTATATGGATTAGGCCTAATTAGAGATGATTATAAATTAGGCATAGTATATATATAATAGGACCTATATTTTGGAGGCTGTATTAACTCTTAGATAGTGTTTCTTTCAGACACGTTTCTCCGGTAGTGCACTTGAAACTTAAGGGGTTTCTGGTTGGGGTTGTGGCTGACACTGGTAGAAGTAAAGTCCTATATTATGTATAGATTTTGATGTTTGTATCGTTTGGAGGGAGGGGTGTCAGTGGACGTGCTTTGCGGGGATGGTTGTCCTCCGATAGAGAAAAAACATATAATTTAAATTGAAAATATATAGGTTACTTATATACTTTAACCAGTGTCCACTCCCTCTGAAATAAAGAAAACAACAACCATAACCCAAGTCCCCCCCCCCTCCCCCTGTACATATATCCAGGCATTCCTTAGTATTGTATTTTCAGATGGACTGCATTTTGTTCTGATTCGTAAATTCAACAAAACATTTTCTTTTCTTTGTAAATCTTGTAGTTTGTGCCCCCCCCACCCCCCCCCCCCCACCATTTCTGGATGATTATAAAAAAATATGGAATGGCGTGGTCAGAAATGTTTCTTTCAGTCACTGCACCCTCTCTCCCCGACACGAAGCACGATCTCTATCCCTCCCCCAGGATCAAAAATATATACATATACAGAAGGTATGGGCTATACTTTAAGCACTGTCCACCCCCGCCTCATATAGAAGTTTTAAATGCACCACTCTCACCCCTACCCTCCCAATCTAAAAGTTTCAAGTTTTTAATAAAATGAAATATTATTTTTGTTTCAGAGCACTAAATATAGTTTTATATAAACTGTTGCGCATGCTTAGTTGAGAAATTCCCAAAGTTCGAACGGGAAAGCGATGTTTACCTGAGTTACTGAAAACCTCCGTTTCCTAAAAAAATATTAACAAATAATATACCGAGATCTAACTAGATTTCTCTAAATCTATAGAATCTTTAAAATGAGATTGAAAACAACTCTTCAAAAGGAACCAAAACATATCCTTTTATGAAAGTTAAATCTGCTTAAAATTTAAAATATTTTTTTTTTGTTTAGGCCTAGGCTAGGGGCCTCTAGGGCAGACCAGAGACCTACCTAGATCTAGATCTAGATCTACTACCTAGGCCTAGGCAGACCTCTTTTTAAATTTTTATTGAAATTTTATTGGTAATCTATCGTTTTAGGTAAGCCTACGTAAAATCGTCCGAGACTAGTAATGTGAAAAACAGGTGCCTCCTTAAATTTTAATAGGCCTAATTATTTTACATTGTTAGGAGGATTTATGTTTTGAAATTTACAAAGATGTTTCAGAGTTTCACCTGTTTTTAAACAATTGAATTAAAACTTTTCAGTAATAATTTAGCAATAAATGAAGACTAGTGATGTTTTCATACTCATTTACTGTAGCAGCCATCTTGTTCAAGTTTTATTTTGGTAAACTTATAGCAGGAGATTCAGGGGAGGCCACTCTATTTTACAAATGGTTGCTGTTTATATAGCAAATCTTGCTCGCAAACACTGCTGTTTAAAGTTAATTTCTGGCCTATATTGACATATTTAGCCATTGATTTTGGTTTATTTTTCAGTTATCTATAATATTTGACACAAATATATCACAATATACTTCCATTAAAGCCTTGACAATGAGGTAACTTTTTCGTATATTACTAGCCGCGGGCGATTTTACGTACCTGTAGCGACAGATTAACTTTTTATTTTATAATTATAATTTTAGTTACATAAAAAATTTTAGTAGATAAACTTGCTAAATCTTAATTCAATAAATTTAGTTGTTTTTAAATTTAAACAATACCAATGAAAACTAGAGATATATCTCTAACCAACCAGGCACTACATTTGATGGTTCTAGCTAATTAGGGGCTAAAATACATGATTTTAATTATTGGTACCATACAGCTTAGCTGGGAAATGTTTTTCCGTGACAACTTTTTGAGGATCTGGTTCCTAAAGTAAAACTGAAACCAACCTAGTAGGATGTTCGTAAGGATCATGTGTGGGAAGGGGGGGAGTGGAGGTATGCTGCGATAAAACGTAATCAAAAGGATACTCGTAACTTGGTTATGTAACCTATTTTCTATATTATATATTTTAGTATAGGCCAAATGAAGAAAGTTAAAAAATAATCATGTTTTATTGTTTGAAATATATAGATCTAAACTTTTTAAAATTTAGTTATGATTATGATTAATCATTGTATTTTAGCAAGGTTTAATTAATGCTACTATTGATCTTAGGCTAATCAATAATGATTGATTGATTAGGCTTAATATTGAATAAATGATTAATGTTTGGAATGTTTGTAGAATGTAAATATAATATGTAGATTGTTAATTTGTTAGAATTTAATGGACTCTCCGAAAATAGTCTTGAGAGGTCCATTAAATATTTTAAAATCATGCACAGTGTAATTAAAATTATAATTAGGCCTTATATGTAAATATAGTTAGGCCTATAAATCCTGACTGGTTTATGATGGACTTCCATAAAGATTTGATATATTTGTTTTAGTATTATCTGTTATTAAACACAGCATTTCTTTTCAATTGGACGATTGCGCTATGTCTGACGGTGCTGGATTAAGATTACATGTAGGTAAAGATTCAGAATTTCTGTGGATTTCCGAATTTTTTAGTCCACATTTTCCGCTCATATTTTCAGTTAAATATTTATAAAAAAACAGAGAAAAAGTAGTCTAAAATAATGCTGTTCTTCAATTGAAACTTACATCTCCCAAATCCGGTTTCTTTACCGTTAATCTCGCACGTACTGTAGTCTAGCTATAGCCTAATTTATCTAACGGTATTTTTAACTCGATCAAAGCTACCGTTTCTCTCTGCTTCTAACTATATTTTGTTTTGCAATCTCAAATAAATATTGAAATCCTTGCAAAAGGTGACTATTAAGGCTAGACTCTCCTTCTAGCAATATTGGTGGCTCTCATGACCCGAAGTAGGTGTTAGGTACTGCTTGTTTGACTGATGTCATTTTTATTGTTCCCCAATCTCAAATATCTATATTGTACTGTGACATATGCTATAGCCCAGGCCTACTGATTTAAAAAGTGATATGAACTCAACATGACCCCGATCTTGTCTTGTTTGTGGAAAAAAAATATGATACGAACTGTTTTTAAAAAGGGGTCTTCCATAAATGATGTAACTCGAGGAGGGGGGGGGGTCCGTAATTTTGTGATGTGCGATGAGGCTGAGGACGGTCCAGATAGTGTGACGTCACGCTTTTGCATTTTAAAACAGTTTTGCTAGAAACTGAATTTTATCTGTTTATTTGGGTTTTAGAAACCTGTTTCAATAAATTATAATGTAGATTGATTAAAATGTGTGAATTTCTATGTCTGGAAAAAATTTGATAAAACATCGAGTTTCTGTCCGAAAAAAAATTTGATAAAACATTGAGTTTCTGTCCGAAAGTTTTGTATAAAAGTAAAAATTTTATCTGTTAAGTTTTGTATAAAAGTAAAAATTTTATCGGTAAATTTTTGTATAAAAGTAAAAATTTTATCAGTAAAGTTTTGTATAAAAGTAAAAATTTTATCAGTAAAATTTTGTATAAAAGTATAAATTTTATCAGTAGAGTTTTGTATAAAAGTAAAATTTTATCAGTAAAGTTTTGTATAAAAGTAAAAATTTTATCAGTAAAGTTTTGTATAAAAGTATACATTTTATCAGTAAAGTTTTGTATAAAAGTAAATTTTTTTATCCCCACCTGACTCAGACAGCACCCACACCTCCCCACCTCAGGCAGCACCCACACCTCCCCACCTCAGACAGCACCCACACCTCCCCACCTCAGGCAGCACCCACACCTCCCCACCTCAGACAGCACCCACACCTCCCCACCTTAGGCAGCACCCACACCTCCCCACCTGACTTGGCTCACATTATTTGCGCTCATGTAAGCTGAGCAACTCTTGCCTCTTATACTGTCCTCGTCCAGAATTTCATTGCCTAGTGAAAGTATTGCAGTGCTGTGTTCATGATATTTAGATTTTCCTTAACTAAAGCTCACATTCTGAGTTGGTTAGCTGTGTAGGGTGGACCTCACCAGATGAAGTTTATTCCTGCGCTGATGATCATGGTGTCTTGAAGTGGAACTTGACAAACAATGAAACAGCCTCTGTCATGGATCTGCCTAAGGATTGTTTTCCTACAAGTATGCACTGGTTCCCCAAGTCTGCACAGGGAGGGGGAGCTAAGAAGTCAACATCTGATGTGTTTGCTCTCACATCCACTGATGGTGGGTATACAACATCCTTTGGGTAGATTTACACTGATGGTGGGCATACAACATCCTTTGGGTAGATTTACACTGATGGTGGGCATACAACATCCTTTGGGTAGATTTACACTGATGGTGGGCATACAACATCCTTTGGGTAGATTTACACTGATGGTGGGCATACAACATCCTTTGGGTAGATTTACACTGATGGTGGGTATTCAACATCCTTTGGGTAGATTTACACTGATGGTGGGTATTCAACATCCTTTGGGTAGATTTACACTGATCATGGGCATACAACATCCTTTGGGTAGATTTACACTGATGGTGGGCATACAACATCCTTTGGGTAGATTTACACTGATGGTGGGCATACAACATCCTTTGGGTAGATTTACACTGATGGTGGGTATACAACATCCTTTGGGTAGATTTACACTGATCATGGGCATACAACATCCTTTGGGTAGATTTACACTGATCATGGGCATACAACATCCTTTGGGTAGATTTACACTGATCATGGGCATACAACATCCTTTGGGTAGATTTACACTGATCATGGGCATACAACATCCTTTGGGTAGATTTACACTGATGGTGGGCATACAACATCCTTTGGGTAGATTTACACTGATGGTGGGCATACAACATCCTTTGGGTAGATTTACACTGATGGTGGGCATACAACATCCTTTGGGTAGATTTACACTGATGGTGGGCATACAACATCCTTTGGGTAGATTTACACTGATGGTGGGCATACAACATCCTTTGGGTAGATTTACACTGATGGTGGGCATACAACATCCTTTGGGTAGATTTACACTGATGGTGGGCATACAACATTCTTTGGGTAGATTTACACTGATTGTGGGCATACAACATTTTTTGGATTCCTGTAGAAAAACTATTTTTAAAAATCAGTCTTTGTTAGTGATGTAGGAACTTCACTAAATCAGCCATTCTTGATATGTGAACTTTATTATTGTAGGAAAATTCCACTTTATGAGCCATTCTTGATATGTGAACTTTAAAATTGTAGGAAAATTCCACTTAATGAGCCATTTTTGATATGTGAACTTTATTATTGTAGGAAAATTCCACTTAATGAGCCATTTTTGATATGTGAACTTTATTATTGTAGGAAAATTCCACTTAATGAGCCATTCTTGATATGTGAACTTTATTATTGTAGGGAAATTCCACTTAATGAGCCATTCTTGATATGTGAACTTTATTATTGTAGGAAAATTCCACTTAATGAGCCATTCTTGATATGTGAACTTTATTATTGTAGGAAAATTCCACTTAATGAGCCATTCTTGATATGTGAACTTTATTATTGTAGGAAAATTCCACTTAATGAGCCATTCTTGATATGTGAACTTTATTATTGTAGGAAAATTCCACTTAATGAGCCATTCTTGATATGTGAACTTTAAAATTGTAGGAAAATTCCACTTAATGAGCCATTCTTGATATGTGAACTTTATTATTGTAGGAAAATTCCACTTAATGAGCCATTCTTGATATGTGAACTTTATTATTGTAGGAAAATTCCACTTAATGAGCCATTCTTGATATGTGAACTTTATTATTGTAGGAAAATTCCACTTAATGAGCCATTCTTGATATGTGAACTTTATTATTGTAGGAAAATTCCACTTAATGAGCCATTCTTGATATGTGAACTTTATTATTGTAGGAAAATTCCACTTAATGAGCCATTCTTGATATGTGAACTTTATTATTGTAGGAAAATTCCACTTAATGAGCCATTCTTGATATGTGAACTTTATTATTGTAGGAAAATTCCACTTAATGAGCCATTCTTGATATGTGAACTTTATTATTGTAGGAAAATTCCACTTAATCAGCCGCTCTGGTAGGCTTGAGAAGAGTGTTGAGGCCCACAAGGGAGCAGTTTTGTGTGGGAGGTGGAGCCCTGACGGCACCGCACTGGTCACTGGTGGCGAGGACGGACAGGTCAAAATTTGGTCTCGAAGTGGCATGTTGCGCTCCACTCTCTCACAGAACAGTATGTCCATTCTTTTATCTGCGCTCCACTCTCTCACAGAACAGTATGTCCATTCTTTTATCTGCGCTCCACTCTCTCACAGAACAGTATGTCCATTCTTTTATCTGCGCTCCACTCTCTCACAGAACAGGATGTCCATTCTTTTATCTGCGCTCCACTCTCTCACAGAACAGTATGTCCATTCTTTTATCTGCGCTCCACTCTCTCACAGAACAGTATGTCCATTCTTTTATCTGCGCTCCACTCTCTCACAGAACAGTATGTCCATTCTTTTATCTGCGCTCCACTCTCTCACAGAACAGTATGTCCATTCTTTTATCTGCGCTCCACTCTCTCACAGAACAGGATGTCCATTCTTTTATCTGCGCTCCACTCTCTCACAGAACAGTATGTCCATTCTTTTATCTGCGCTCCACTCTCTCACAGAACAGGATGTCCATTCTTTTATCTGCGCTCCACTCTCTCACAGAACAGTATGTCCATTCTTTTATCTGCGCTCCACTCTCTCACAGAACAGGATGTCCATTCTTTTATCTGCGCTCCACTCTCTCACAGAACAGTATGTCCATTCTTTTATCTGCGCTCCACTCTCTCACAGAACAGTATGTCCATTCTTTTATCTGCGCTCCACTCTCTCACAGAACAGTATGTCCAATCTTTTATCTGCGCTCCACTCTCTCACAGAACAGTATGTCCATTCTTTTATCTGCGCTCCACTCTCTCACAGAACAGTATGTCCAATCTTTTATCTGCGCTCCACTCTCTCACAGAACAGTATGTCCAATCTAGAACAGTATGTCCAATCTTTTATCTGCGCTCCACTCTCTCACAGAACAGTATGTCCAATCTTTTATCTGCGCTCCACTCTCTCACATCAACTTAAACACATACACCATCACCTCCAATGTAAACATACACCATCACCACCAACGTAAACACATACACCATCTCAACCAACGTAAACACATACACCATCACCTCCAATGTAAACATACACCATCACCACCAACGTAAACACATACACCATCACCTCCAACATAAACACATACACCATCTCCACCAACGTAAACACATACACCATCACCTCCAACATAAACACATACACCATCACCTCCAACGTAAACACATACACCACCACCTTCAATGTAAACACATACACCATCTCCACCACTGTAAACACACAGACCTGGGTGCCACCACCACTGTAAACACATAGACCTTGATGTCACCACCACTGTAAACACATAGACCTTGATGTCACCACCACTGTAAACACATAGACCTTGATGTCACCACCAATGTAAACACCTAGACCTTGGTATCACCTCTGTAAACACAGACCTTTGTGTCACCACTGTAAACACAGACCTTTGTGTCACCACTGTAAACACAGACCTTTGTGTCACCACCACTGTAAACACACAGACCTTTGTGTCACCACCATTGTAAACACAGACCTTTGTGTCACCACCACTGTAAAAACAGACCTTTGTGTCACCACCACTGTAAACACAGACCTTTGTGTCACCACCACTGTAAACACAGACCTTTGTGTCACCACCACTGTAAACACACAGACATTTGTGTCACCACCACTGTAAACACAGACCTTTGTGTCACCACCACTGTAAACACAGACCTTTGTGTCACCACCACTGTAAACACACAGACCTTTGTGTCACCACCATTGTAAACACAGACCTTTGTGTCACCACCACTGTAAACACAGACCTTTGTGTCACCACTGTAAACACAGACCTTTGTGTCACCACCACTGTAAACACATAGACCTTGATGTCACCACCACTGTAAACACATAGACCTTGATGTCACCACCACTGTAAACACATAGATCTTGATGTCACCACCAATGTAAACACCTAGACCTTGGTATCACCTCTGTAAACACAGACCTTTGTGTCACCACTGTAAACACAGACCTTTGTGTCACCACTGTAAACACAGACCTTTGTGTCACCACTGTAAACACAGACCTTTGTGTCACCACCACTGTAAACACACAGACCTTTGTGTCACCACCATTGTAAACACAGACCTTTGTGTCACCACCACTGTAAAAACAGACCTTTGTGTCACCACCACTGTAAACACAGACCTTTGTGTCACCACCACTGTAAACACAGACCTTTGTGTCACCACCACTGTAAACACACAGACCTTTGTGTCACCACCACTGTAAACACAGACCTTTGTGTCACCACCACTGTAAACACAGACCTTTGTGTCACCACCATTGTAAACACAGACCTTTGTGTCACCACCACTGTAAAAACAGACCTTTGTGTCACCACCACTGTAAACACAGACCTTTGTGTCACCACTGTAAACACAGACCTTTGTGTCACCACCACTGTAAACACAGACCTTTGTGTCACCACCACTGTAAAAACAGACCTTTGTGTCACCACCACTGTAAACACAGACCTTTGTGTCACCACTGTAAACACATAGACCTTGGTATCACCACCACTGTAAACACAGACCTTTGTGTCACCACCACTGTAAACACAGACCTTTGTGTCACCACCACTGTAAACACAGACCTTTGTGTCACCACCACTGTAAACACAGACCTTTGTGTCACCACCATTGTAAACACAGACCTTTGTGTCACCACCACTGTAAACACAGACCTTTGTGTCACCACTGTAAACACATAGACCTTGGTATCACCACCACTGTAAACACAGACCTTTGTGTCACCACCACTGTAAACACAGACCTTTGTGTCACCACCACTGTAAACACAGACCTTTGTGTCACCACCACTGTAAACACAGACCTTTGTGTCACCACTGTAAACACAGACCTTTGTGTCACCACTGTAAACACAGACCTTGGTGTCACCACCACTGTAAACACAGACCTTTGTGTCACCACCACTGTAAACACAGACCTTTGTGTCACCACCACTGTAAACACAGACCTTTGTGTCACCACCACTGTAAACACAGACCTTTGTGTCACCACCACTGTAAACACAGACCTTTGTGTCACCACCACTGTAAACACAGACCTTTGTGTCACCACCACTGTAAACACAGACCTTTGTGTCACCACCACTGTAAACACAGACCTTTGTGTCACCACTGTAAACACAGACCTTTGTGTCACCACTCCGCAGGTATCCCGGTGTACAGTGTTGCCTGGGGCCCTGACTCTGATCAAGTCTTGTTTACAAATGGGAGGCAGTTGGTCATCAAACCTCTACAAGCTAACGCCAAGCCACAAATGGTGAACACCCCCCCCCCCCCTCCCCTTTATACCAGTTTTGTTATCCATTTCAATTTTATTTTGTGTCATTCAGTTTTATGTTGTTTTATTAATTTTGTTTTGCATCTTTCAATTTTATGTAGCATCATTCAATTTTTTTTTAATGTTATCAAAAGTATGTGATTTATTTAGCCATTTGATATGTCTTCCTGTAGCACACATAGTATGTTCAGTAGTGAGTAAAACTGTCAAAAAATATTGATTCTAATTCAGTGGAAAGCTCATGAAGGAATAGTTCTGTGTGTGGATTGGAACGCTGTCAGTAACTTCATTTTGTCTGGCGCTGAGGACAAGAGATACAAGGTAAACAACATTAACCCTACAGGGCTGTCAAGGTAAACAACATTAACCCTACAGGGTTGTCAAGGTAAACATTAACCCTACAGGGCTGTTAAGGTAAACATTAACCCTACAGGGCTGTCCAGGTAAACAACATTAACCCTACAGGGCTGTCAAGGTAAACATTAACCCTACAGGGCTGTCCAGGTAAACATTAACCCTACAGGGTTGTCAAGGTAAACATTAACCCTACAGGGCTGTCCAAGTAAACATTAACCCTACAGGGTTGTCAAGGTAAACATTAACCCTACAGGGCTGTCAAGGTAAACAACATTAACCCTACAGGGCTGTTAAGGTAAACAACATTAACCCTACAGGGCTGACCAGGTAAACAACATTAACCCTACAGGGCTGACCAGGTAAACAACATTAACCCTACAGGGTTGTCAAGGTAAACATTAACCCTACAGGGCTGTCCAAGTAAACATTAACCCTACAGGGTTGTCAAGGTAAACATTAACCCTACAGGGCTGTCAAGGTAAACAACATTAACCCTACAGGGCTGTTAAGGTAAACATTAACCCTACAGGGCTGTTAAGGTAAACAACATTAACCCTACAGGGCTGACCAGGTAAACAACATTAACCCTACAGGGCTGACCAGGTAAACAACATTAACCCTACAGGGTTGTCAAGGTAAACATTAACCCTACAGGGTTGTCAAGGTAAACATTAACCCTACAGGGTTGTCCAGGTAAACAACATTAACCCTACAGGGCTGTCCAGGTAAACAACATTAACCCTACAGGGCTGTCAAGGTAAACATTAACCCTACAGGGCTGTCAAGGTAAACATTAACCCTACAGGGCTGTCCAGGTAAACAACATACATGAGCCCTACACAACCACTTCCTACATGTCAGTCTTGTAGGGTTCATGGCTAGTATATCTACTACTACTACATCTAGCTAGTATATCTACTACTACTAAATCTCAGGTTACTGGTTAACTTTAAAAAAAAATGTAAGCTGACATTAAGCAATATTTAAATGTAGCCTAGAGGCTAGTTATATATGACTAGAAGCCTACTAATGTCATTAGAGTAATTTTTAATTAATCATTTTTATTTTTGACTTAGTAAAGTAGCGTCCGCGCGTATGTTCCTCAATTTGGCTACAAATTCCTCTTTTTAGGCATGACTGTTCCTACTTTTGGCTGACAGGGGTAGGCATGTCTGCCAGATCCATTCCTACCCCCCTCTCATATTGTCAAAAACCTAACATATTGCTATAACCCAGATCCATTCCTACCCCCCTCTCATATTGTCAAAAACCTAACATATTGCTATAACCCAGATCCATTCCTACCCCCCTCTCATATTGTCAAAAACCTAACATATTGCTATAACCCAGATCCATTCCTACCCCCCTCTCATATTGTCAAAAACCTAACATATTGCTATAACCCAAATCCATTCCTACCCCCCTCTCATATTGTCAAAAACCTAACATATTGCTATAACCCAGATCCATTCCTACCCCACCTCTCATAGTAGTATATATGCGAGCATCTCTGCTTCATTTAAAATCCAATTGTATAACCTCAATAATAACCTCAATAATAATCTCAATAATAATCTCAATAATAATCTCAATAATAACCTCAATAATAATCTCAATAATAATCTCAATTAACAGCCACACACAGCTGTCTGCTGCATAAAATGATTTTTGACTGAAGGAATTTTCTTGAACTCAGAGCTTTCTGACAGATTCAATGTTTTTTTTTTTTACCCGCAGGTCTGGGACACGTATGGACGGCAACTCTACTGCAGCAGCAGTCATGAGTACCCCATCACATCGGTGGCTTGGACACCAGATGGTGAAATGTTTGCAGTTGGTTCCTTCAACACCATGCGGCTCTGTGACAGAAGTGGGGTTTGTATTCATGTGTGACAGAAGTGGGGTTTGTATTCACGGCTGTGTGACAGAAGTGGGGTTTGTATTCATGTGTGACAGAAGTGGGGTTTGTATTCATGTGTGACAGAAGTGGGGTTTGTATTCACGTGTGACAGAAGTGGGGTTTGTATTCACGTGTGACAGAAGTGGGGTTTGTATTCACGGCTGTGTGACAGAAGTGGGGTTTGTATTCACGTGTGACAGAAGTGGGGTTTGTATTCATGTGTGACAGAAGTGGGGTTTGTATTCACGTGTGACAGAAGTGGGGTTTGTATTCACGTGTGACAGAAGTGGGGTTTGTATTCACGTGTGACAGAAGTGGGGTTTGTATTCACGTGTGACAGAAGTGGGGTTTGTATTCATGTGTGACAGAAGTGGGGTTTGTATTCATGTGTGACAGAAGTGGGGTTTGTATTCACGTGTGACAGAAGTGGGGTTTGTATTCATGTGTGACAGAAGTGGGGTTTGTATTCATGTGTGACAGAAGTGGGGTTTGTATTCATGTGTGACAGAAGTGGGGTTTGTATTCACGTGTGACAGAAGTGGGGTTTGTATTCACGTGTGACAGAAGTGGGGTTTGTATTCACGTGTGACAGAAGTGGGGTTTGTATTCACGTGTGACAGAAGTGGGGTTTGTATTCACGTGTGACAGAAGTGGGGTTTGTATTCACGTGTGACAGAAGTGGGGTTTGTATTCACGTGTGACAGAAGTGGGGTTTGTATTCACGTGTGACAGAAGTGGGGTTTGTATTCATGTGTGACAGAAGTGGGGTTTGTATTCACGTGTGACAGAAGTGGGGTTTGTATTCATGTGTGACAGAAGTGGGGTTTGTATTCACGTGTGACAGAAGTGGGGTTTGTATTCACGTGTGACAGAAGTGGGGTTTGTATTCATGTGTGACAGAAGTGGGGTTTGTATTCATGTGTGACAGAAGTGGGGTTTGTATTCACGTGTGACAGAAGTGGGGTTTGTATTCATGTGTGACAGAAGTGGGGTTTGTATTCATGTGTGACAGAAGTGGGGTTTGTATTCATGTGTGACAGAAGTGGGGTTTGTATTCACGTGTGACAGAAGTGGGGTTTGTATTCACGTGTGACAGAAGTGGGGTTTGTATTCACGTGTGACAGAAGTGGGGTTTGTATTCACGTGTGACAGAAGTGGGGTTTGTATTCACGTGTGACAGAAGTGGGGTTTGTATTCATGTGTGACAGAAGTGGGGTTTGTATTCATGTGTGACAGAAGTGGGGTTTGTATTCATGTGTGACAGAAGTGGGGTTTGTATTCACGTGTGACAGAAGTGGGGTTTGTATTCACGTGTGACAGAAGTGGGGTTTGTATTCATGTGTGACAGAAGTGGGGTTTGTATTCACGTGTGACAGAAGTGGGGTTTGTATTCACGTGTCTGCTGCACGGTTGTGTTGTACACATTTGTCTATTTCCCCAGTGGTCCTACATGTAAATGTCTATTTCCCCAGTGGTCCTACATGTAAATGTCTATTTCCCCAGTGGTCCTACATGTAAATGTCTATTTCCCCAGTGGTCCTACATGTAAATGTCTATTTCCCCAGTGGTCCTACATGTAAATGTCTATTTCCCCAGTGGTCCTACATGTAAATGTCTATTTCCCCAGTGGTCCTACATGTAAATGTCTATTTCCCCAGTGGTCCTACATGTAAATGTCTATTTCCCCAGTGGTCCTACATGTAAATGTCTATTTCCCCAGTGGTCCTACATGTAAATGTCTATTTCCCCAGTGGTCCTACATGTAAATGTCTATTTCCCCAGTGGTCCTACATGTAAATGTCTATTTCCCCAGTGGTCCTACATGTAAATGTCTATTTCCCCAGTGGTCCTACATGTAAATGTCTATTTCCCCAGTGGTCCTACATGTAAATGTCTATTTCCCCAGTGGTCCTACATGTAAATGTCTATTTCCCCAGTGGTCCTACATGTAAATGTCTATTTCCCCAGTGGTCCTACATGTAAATGTCTATTTCCCCAGTGGTCCTACATGTAAATGTCTATTTCCCCAGTGGTCCTACATGTAAATGTCTATTTCCCTAGTGGTCCTACATGTAAATGTCTATTTCCCCAGTGGTCCTACATGTAAATGTCTATTTCCCCAGTGGTCCTACATGTAAATGTCTATTTCCCCAGTGGTCCTACATGTAAATGTCTATTTCCCCAGTGGTCCTACATGTAAATGTCTATTTCCCCAGTGGTCCTACATGTAAATGTCTATTTCCCCAGTGGTCCTACATGTAAATGTCTATTTCCCCAGTGGTCCTACATGTAAATGTCTATTTCCCCAGTGGTCCTACATGTAAATGTCTATTTCCCCAGTGGTTCTACATGTAAATGTCTATTTCCCCAGTGGTCCTACATGTAAATGTCTATTTCCCCAGTGGTCCTACATGTAAATGTCTATTTCCCCAGTGGTTCTACATGTAAATGTCTATTTCCCCAGTGGTCCTACATGTAAATGTCTATTTCCCCAGTGGTCCTATGCCCTAGAGAAGCCCAATACAGGAAGTATCTTGAGCCTGGCCTGGTCAGGAGATGGCACACAGCTAGCTGGAGCTTGTGGCAATGGCCAGGTTATTTTTGCCAATGTCATTGAGATGTGAGTCACTGTTTGTTGTTTTCTTTTATAACATTTAAAATGTTTCAAACACAGAGGGGGGGGGGGGGGTAGCAATCCCACACACTACCAGGGTCTACCCCACCACACACCACCAGGGTCTACCCCACCATACACCCCACCACACACCCCACCACACACTACCAGGGTCTACCCCACCACACACCACCAGGGTCTACCCCACCACACACCACCAGGGTCTACCCCACCATACACCCCACCACACACCCCACCACACACTACCAGGGTCTACCCCACCACACACCACCAGGGTCTACCCCACCATACACCCCACCACACACCCCACCACACACCACCAGGGTCTACCCCACCATACACCCCACCACACACCCCACCACACACCACCAGGGTCTACCCCACCACACACCACCAGGGTCTACCCCACCACACACCACCAGGGTCTACCCCACCATACACCCCACCACACACCCCACCACACACCACCAGGGTCTACCCCACCACACACCCCACCACACACCACCAGGGTCTACCCCACCACACACCCCACCACACACCACCAGGGTCTACCCCACCATACACCCCACCACACACCCCACCACACACCACCAGGGTCTACCCCACCACACACCCCACCACACACCACCAGGGTCTACCCCACCACACACCCCACCACACACCACCAGGGTCTACCCCACCATACACCCCACCACACACCCCACCACACACCACCAGGGTCTACCCCACCATACACCCCACCACACACCCCACCACACACCACCAGGGTCTACCCCACCACACACCCCACCACACACCACCAGGGTCTACCCCACCACACACCCCACCACACACCACCAGGGTCTACCCCACCATACACCCCACCACACACCCCACCACACACCACCAGGGTCTACCCCACCACACACCCCACCACACACTACCAGGGTCTACCCCACCACACACTACCAGGGTCTACCCCACCACACACCACCAGGGTCTACCCCACCACACACCCCACCACACACCACCAGGGTCTACCCCACCACACACCCCACCACACACCACCAGGGTCTACCCCACCACACACCCCACCACACACCACCAGGGTCTACCCCACCATACACCCCACCACACACCACCAGGGTCTACCCCACCACACACCACCAGGGTCTACCCCACCACACACCCCACCACACACCACCAGGGTCTACCCCACCACACACCACCAGGGTCTACCCCACCACACACCCCACCACACACCATCAGGGTCTACCCCACCACACACCCCACCACACACCACCAGGGTCTACCCCACCACACACCCCACCACACACCACCAGGGTCTACCCCACCACACACCCCACCACACACCACCAGGGTCTACCCCACCACACACCCCACCACACACCACCAGGGTCTACCCCACCACACACCACCAGGGTCTACCCCACCACACACCCCACCACACACCACCAGGGTCTACCCCACCACACACCACCACACACCACCAGGGTCTACCCCACCACACACCACCAGGGTCTACCCCACCACACACCCCACCACACACCACCAGGGTCTACCCCACCACACACCCCACCACACACCACCAGGGTCTACCCCACCACACACCACCAGGGTCTACCCCACCACACACCACCAGGGTCTACCCCACCACACACCACCAGGGTCTACCCCACCACACACCCCACCACACACCATCAGGGTCTACCCCACCACACACCCCACCACACACCACCAGGGTCTACCCCACCACACACCCCACCACACACCACCAGGGTCTACCCCACCACACACCCCACCACACACCACCAGGGTCTACCCCACCACACACCCCACCACACACCACCAGGGTCTACCCCACCACACACCACCAGGGTCTACCCCACCACACACCACCAGGGTCTACCCCACCACACACCACCACACACCACCAGGGTCTACCCCACCACACACCACCAGGGTCTACCCCACCACACACCCCACCACACACCCCACCACACCCCACCACACCCCACCAGCAGAGTTGACCCACTATCTCATTAAGAAACCAATTATAATTTGTAGTCGCCTGGAATGGAAGAACTATGAAGCCACATTGGTAGCCAGCAAGCAGATCCATGTCAGGAATGTCATGAACGACGCCAAGGAGAAGCTAGACTTTAGGGACCGCGTCATCAAGCTCTCGCTGGGGTACAGCCACCTCATCGTAGCCACATCCTCTCAGTGTTATATATACAAGTAAGTTTATAAATTCACACCTTCTCATTTTTATATATAATTAAGTTTATAAATTCACACCTTCCTATTGTTATATATACAAGTATGTTTATAAATCCACACCTTCCTATTGTTATATATACAAGTAAGTTTATAAATTCACACCTTCCCATATATACAAGTAAGTTTATAAATTCACACCTTCCTATTGTTATATATACAAGTAAGTTTATAAATTCACACCTTCCTATTGTTATATATACAAGTAAGTTTATAAATTCACACCTTCCTATTGTTATATATACAAGTAAGTTTATAAATTCACACCTTTCCATATATACAAGTAAGTTTATAAATCCACACCTTCCTATTGTTATATATACAAGTAAGTTTATAAATCCACACCTTCCTATTGTTATATATACAAGTAAGTTTATAAATTCACACCTTCCCATATTTACAAGTAAGTTTATAAATTCACACCTTCCCATATATACAAGTAAGTTTATAAATTCACACCTTTCCATATATACAAGTAAGTTCATAAATCCACACCTTCCAATTGTTATATATACAAGTAAGTTTATAAATCCACACCTTCCTATTGTTATATATACAAGTAAGTTTATAAATCCACACCTTCCTATTGTTATATATACAAGTAAGTTTATAAATCCACACCTTCCTATTGTTATATATACAAGTAAGTTTATAAATCCACACCTTCCTATTGTTATATATACAAGTAAGTTTATAAATCCACACCTTCCTATTGTTATATATACAAGTAAGTTTATAAATCCACACCTTCCTATTGTTATATATACAAGTAAGTTTATAAATCCACACCTTCCTATTGTTATATATACAAGTAAGTTTATAAATTCACACCTTCCTATTGTTATATATACAAGTAAGTTTATAAATTCACACCTTCCCATATATACAAGTAAGTTTATAAATTCACACCTTTCCATATATACAAGTAAGTTTATAAATCCACACCTTCCTATTGTTATATATACAAGTAAGTTTATAAATCCACACCTTCCTATTGTTATATATACAAGTAAGTTTATAAATTCACACCTTCCCATATTTACAAGTAAGTTTATAAATTCACACCTTCCCATATATACAAGTAAGTTTATAAATTCACACCTTTCCATATATACAAGTAAGTTCATAAATCCACACCTTCCAATTGTTATATATACAAGTAAGTTTATAAATCCACACCTTCCTATTGTTATATATACAAGTAAGTTTATAAATCCACACCTTCCTATTGTTATATATACAAGTAAGTTTATAAATCCACACCTTCCTATTGTTATATATACAAGTAAGTTTATAAATCCACACCTTCCTATTGTTATATATACAAGTAAGTTTATAAATCCACACCTTCCTATTGTTATATATACAAGTAAGTTTATAAAGTCACACCTTCCTATTGTTATATATACAAGTAAGTTTATAAAGTCACACCTTCCTATTGTTATATATACAAGTAAGTTTATAAATTCACACCTTCCTATTGTTATATATACAAGTAAGTTTATAAATCCACACCTTCCTATTGTTAACACGTTTTTCTTAACTCAGCTTCGCGTTTGTGGATTTGTGGATTTGTTTGTTTGTTGTTAAAATTGACATCGAAAATTAGCCCACTTCTGATTGCTCAATAGATCTGAAATTTGGCATGTAGGCTACTTTCGCCTAACAATTTCAGATGCAATCATAAAAACTAGCAATTAGAGACCGTAATTAGCTTAATTTAATTACGCCCCAAGGACCATAAAATTGAGGACATGATTTCTAAAGATACTGACAAGACTGGAGGCCTATTGGCACAGTTACTTCGGCCCCAATCGCTGTGAGCGCGCTGGCCGTGATCGTATAGTGGTTAGTACTTCGCGTTGTGGCCGCGACAACCCAGGTTCGAATCCTGGTCGCTCAAGATTTTTAGTCCGTGTATTTATAAACACTTAGTCAAGTCATACTTAATCAAGTCATTAGATATAGTAGCAAATAAACTATATAAAAAACTTTTTTAAAAACAACGTTTTTCATGTGTAGCAACGGACTAAAAAGGAGAAAATAAAATACTTAAAAAAAACTTTTTTAAAAACCACGTTTTTCTTGTGGACTAAAAAGTAGAAAATAAATTTTCATACATTTGATGACAAAAAACGTGGGTCGGGCAGATGGGTCGGGAAATTTGATGGTGAACGTACCCACGTTTTTTGTCATCAAATGTATGAAAATTTATTTTCTACTTTTTAGTCCACAAGAAAAACGTGGTTTTTAAAAAAGTTTTTTTTAAGTATTTTATTATATATACAAGTAAGTTTATAAATCCACACCTTCCTATTGTTATATATACAAGTAAGTTTATAAATCCACACCTTCCTATTGTTATATATACAAGTAAGTTTATAAATCCACACCTTCCTATTGTTATATATACAAGTAAGTTTATAAATCCACACCTTCCTATTGTTAATGAGACGACCCTCTGCATATCTGGTTTTTAGTGTCGGGTGAAGATATCCTGAAAGACAGTTGTCCGAATGGGGTGGGTGGGTACACTGTTGTGCGTCCATGGAAAGCGAGGGAGGGGGTAGGAGGATGGTTAGAGACTTGGCGTTCGTGCTGCACTTGACCTTTTTGAGTTCAGTCAATTGTTTAAAAAGTATAAATATATGATGAGCTATTTTTACTTTCTCGTAAATCTGAGTGTAGAGAAAGTGTTTTAACCATGCAAAAAATTTGATGTTTTACATTTTCCTGATTAAAAAAAACCCAGAATTTTTCAAACTTTTAAAGTATTTATGTGTGTATGTAAACTTGATAACTTGCTTACAGTTTCAGTTAGGTTGTTGAAATTTCATAAATAAATATTATTCCCAATTTGTAGTTTTTTTTCAACTGTTGAGCAATTTTGGTAGCTGGAAGGGATAGGTCTTTTAGAGTCTGCTTCCAGTTTCTAAAAATAACCTGAGTAGCGTCAACGTTTGGTGCAACCACCCCCCACCCTATGAATAGACCTATGTAGCGTCGAAGTTAGGCGCAACCCCCCCCCCCCATGACTAGACCTAAGTAGTGTTAAAGTTTGGTGCAACCCTCTTCCCCCCCCCCCCCCACCCCATGACTAGACAACCCCCTCTACACTTGATCATTATTTGCTCCCCTAGATCTGTTTATAATGTCCTTGACAATTTTTCTCAGCACAAAGAACTGGAACACGCCCATGATCTTTGATCTTAAAGAAGGGGGAGTCACTCTCATAAAGCAAGCTGAGAAGTAGGTCACGTGTGTTGTCAAATCATTTTTTTTCTGCTATCTGTTGATGACTGCATAATTTTAAAAAAAAATTATTGTGTACACAGGCATTTTACATTTAGAGCAACTTGTACGCCAGTGTCTATGTATTGTCTATGTATTGCGTGAATGTGACTGACCAACTTAAAACATGTACACCTGACTGACCAACATGTACACCTGTCTGACCAACATGTACACCTGTCTGACTGACCAACATGTACACCTGTCTGACCAACATGTACACCTGTCTGACTGACCAACATGTACACCTGTCTGACCAACATGTACACCTGTCTGACCAACATGTACACCTGTCTGACTGACCAACATGTACACCTGTCTGACTGACCAACATGTACACCTGTCTGACTGACCAACATGTGCACCTGACTGAGCAACATGTACACCTGACTGACTGACATGTACACCTGACTGATCAACATGTACACCTGTCTGACCAACATGTACACCTGTCTGTCTGACCAACATGTACACCTGTCTGACTGACCAACATGTACACCTGTCTGACCAACATGTACACCTGACTGATCAACATGTACACCTGTCTGACCAACATGTACACCTGACTGAGCAACATGTACACCTGACTGACTGACCAACATGTACACCTGACTGATCAACATGTACACCTGTCTGACCAACATGTACACCTGTCTGTCTGACCAACATGTACACCTGTCTGTCTGACCAACATGTACACCTGACTGACCAACATGTACACCTGACTGAGCAACATGTACACCTGTCTGACCAACATGTACACCTGTCTGACCAACATATACACCTGTCTGACTGACCAACATGTACACCTGTCTGACTGACCAACATGTACACCTGACTGAGCAACATGTACACCTGTCTGACTGACCAACATGTACACCTGTCTGACTGACCAACATGTACACCTGTCTGACTGACCAACATGTACACCTGACTGACCAACATGTACACCTGTCTGACTGACCAACATGTACACCTGACTGATCAACATGTACACCTTACTGACCAACATGTACACCTGACTGACCAACATGTACACCTGACTGACCAACATGTACACCTGACTGACCAACATGTACACCTGACTGAGCAACATGTACACCTGACTGACCAACATGTACACCTGACTGACCAACATGTACACCTGACTGACCAACATGTACACCTGACTGACCAACATGTACACCTGTCTGGCTGACCAACATGTACACATGACTGACTGAGCAACATGTACACCTGTCTGACCAACATGTACACCTGACTGACCAACATGTACACCATTTGCAGGCACTTCCTGCTAGTTGATGGGTCTGGTGTGTACGTGTTCTCCTATGATGGCCGCCTGGTCTGTTCGCCCAAATATTCTGGCATGAAGGCAGAGATTTTAAATCATCAGACAGTGGCCCTCTGCAATGATACAGTGGCCATCAGGGATAAAACCGATGAAAAAGGTATTCACCAACCTAGTTTGTACATTTTTTATTCCTTATCCGTGTATTTAAATGAATTCTTCTGCTTCTTATCAAGGGAAAGAGAAGAGTACCAAACCTTTTGTATCAAATATCAACACCAAATGTACTAAGAGATTGCTATATATTCATGGATGTGACTCCCGATTTTTACCGGAAATCAAATTTTTCTGTTTCATCTGCAATTTTCCGCAGCTAGTTTATTTTTCTCCTAATTTTTCCACTTATTTTCTTTTAATTTTTGCAGATCTTTGATGAAGTTTTAGAAATGTGAAAAAACAATTAAATGACCTCTAAGGAAACATGTGCATTCCACACATTTATATTTAAATAGAGTATTACGCTATGCATACAGTACAGATACATGATTAAACTAATGCTACATTTATACTTGATCGTAAACAATATTTAGTATAAATTTTCTGATGATATTTTCAGTTAAATCCTTTAAAAAAAGTACAGAAAAAGTAAGCGTTAAACTAGTTATAAAAAAATTTATCTACCGGTAAATTAACTCGGCCTCTGTTTTTAAAATTACCCCATCTATCGCTTCTCTTAGCCTTCATTTTATTTTTCAACGTCAAATGAATTTTGAAATCATTGCTAAAGGTTACAAACCCACCCCTCCTTGTAGCAATTGTGGCTCTTGTGACCTCACCATGACCCCAAGTATGTGTTTGGTACTGCTTGTTTGGGGAAAAACAAAAATGACGTCGCAGCTAATATCGACTGCTATGTTCCTTCATTGACTTTTGTGGAAGAAAAAAAAGGATAGCGACTATTTTTAATTTTAGTCTAAAGCCATTCCAAAAGCATAAATAATGATGTGGCTTGGCTATCAAAATTGTTAATTTTGGTTCAAATGTTTTTACAACTATTAATTTCAAAATACTTTTTCAAATGAATATCAAATCCTTTCTAATTTTAACTAATTTGGTTAGTTTCCATCCCATGAACTAAAACTTTCAAATAATTTAAATCTACGCTCCTTACAGTTGATGTCTTATTTAAATCTACGCTCCTTACAGTTGATGTCTTATTTAAATCTACGCTCCTTACAGTTGATGTCTTATTTAAATCTACACTCCTTACAGTTGATGTCTTATTTAAATCTACGCTCCTTACAGTTGATGTCTTATTTAAATCTACACTCCTTACAGTTGATGTCTTATTTAAATCTACACTCCTTACAGTTGATGCCTTATTTAAATCTACACTCCTTACAGTTGATGTCTTATTTAAATCTACACTCCTTACAGTTGATGTCTTATTTAAATCTACACTCCTTACAGTTGATGTCTTATTTAAATCTACGCTCCTTACAGTTGATATCTTATTTAAATCTACACTCCTTACAGTTGATGTCTTATTTAAATCTACACTCCTTACAGTTGATGCCTTATTTAAATCTACACTCCTTACAGTTGATGTCTTATTTAAATCTACACTCCTTACAGTTGATGCCTTATTTAAATCTACACTCCTTACAGTTGATGTCTTATTTAAATCTACACTCCTTACAGTTGATGTCTTATTTAAATCTACACTCCTTACAGTTGATGTCTTATTTAAATCTACACTCCTTACAGTTGATGTCTTATTTAAATCTACACTCCTTACAGTTGATGTCTTATTTAAATCTACACTCCTTACAGTTGATGTCTTATTTAAATCTACACTCCTTGCAGTTGATGTCTTACATTTTTACCACGCTCATCTTTAAAAATATATAAAAAATATATAACTTATATTCTAAAGGAATAATTGAAAACTAGAGTACAACTAGATCATAACATTCTAAATTTCCTTAAGGTTCAAATGAAATTTTAATTTCCGTTTTTGTTAAATTATAAAATTCAGTTTTTGAAAAAGTTGTTTATAAAAGAAACATTAAATTGCAATTAGACAGGACTTTCATTGTTATTTTAGAGTAACATAAACTTCTTTTATTTGATTAAACATTAGTAAAACAACAGTGTTAATAGAAATTTATTAAAAACAGAACTCAAAGTTTTATAGAAGTTAAATCAGTCTATTATTTTTCATGCTCTAGTCATATCCCTGTATGTCATATTTTTATGTCTGGCCACATTGCTGAATATTAGAGCCACATTGCTGAATATTAGAGCCACATTGCTGAATATTAGAGTCACATTGCTGAATATTAGAGCCACATTGCTGAATATTAGAGCCACATTGCTGAATATTAGAGCCACATTGCTGAATATTAGAGTCACATTGCTGAATATTAGAGCCACATTGCTGAATATTAGAGCCACATTGCTAAATATTAGTGTCACATTGCTGAATATTAGAGCCACATTGCTGAATATTAGAGCCACATTGCTGAATATTAGAGCCACATTGCTAAATATTAGTGTCACATTGCTGAATATTAGAGTCACATTGCTGAATATTAGAGCCACATTGCTGAATATTAGAGCCACATTGCTGAATATTAGAGTCACATCTTTGAAAATATTTATTGTATGAGATTCTCTTTATCACTTGTAGTACATTTTAAAACACTTAAAAAAAATAATTTTTTCCTCCATTTCCTTTGTAAGGAAAATGTGTAGTTTGACTATAGTTGATAACAAAAATTATTTCAATATTTCATACTCATATAGCAGCAACAAGAGAAGTTTAGATTTACATAACACTTGCGATATTCTTTGTTTTTATATGTTAATATTAGACAATATTAGCTTATGTAAATACAAAAACTTCTGTAACTTATTAAACCCCTAAAAATTAAGAAGAAAAATTACTGCAAAACTAGGCCCTAAAAGAGTTAATTTCATATTTTTTATCCATCCAAGATATGGGTCATCCATTTATGAAGTCCACTAATATTTTGAATTTTAACCCAGCCCCCCCCCCCCCCCCCCCCCCCTTTCACTTGCCTCCACTTTTGAAAAATGATGTCTTATATAGTAAGGATGACCCCAGTTTAGGTGTGTACCGTGATTTATTTACCCGTTGAGCTGGGTTTACAAGAGCATTGCCGTTATATTTGTATGCAGGTTTAGAATAATGTTCCTTATAAAATGTAAGTGCTTCAATGCTAATTTGAACTTGTAGACCCGCACCACCCCCCCACCCTAACCACATGTCCATCTGTAAAAATAAACTTTTTTGGGCTCCTCCCCCCCCCCTGTGTGTAGATGTCACAAATGGATGACCCCATTTTAATTTACATTTCTAATTTTGTATTGATCTAATCCACCAATTCTTCTGTTCCCCAGTGATTTATGTTTTTGATGCACAGACAGGAAAAACAATGGGAGATGGCAAACCTATCACTCATAAGGTAGGTCAATGTTGCCTGCTGAATGGAGGTAGAATTTAACCACTCCCCTGTTGTCTGAAATGCTGTTTTAATGTCTGAAATGCTGTCTTGTTGTCTGAAATGCTGTCTTGTTGTCTGAAAGGCTGTCTTGTTGTCTGAAATGCTGTTTTAATGTCTGAAATGCTGTCTTGTTGTCTGAAATGCTGTCTTGTTGTCTGAAATGCTGTCTTGTTGTCTGAAATGCTGTCTTGTTTGAAATGCTGTCTTGTTGTCTGAAATGCTGTCTTGTTGTCTGAAATGCTGTCTTGTTGTCTGAAATGCTGTCTTGTTGTCTGAAATGCTGTCTTGTTGTCTGGAATGCTGTCTTGTTGTCTGAAATGCTGTCTTGTTGTCTGAAATGCTGTCTTGTTGTCTGAAATGCTGTCTTGTTGTCTGAAATGCTGTCTTGTTGTCTGAAATGCTGTCTTGATGTCTGAAATGCTGTCTTGTTGTCTGAAATGCTGTTTTAATGTCTGAAATGCTGTCTTGTTGTCTGAAATGCTGTCTTGTTGTCTGAAATGCTGTCTTGTTGTCTGAAATGCTGTCTTGTTGTCTGAAATGCTGTCTTGTTGTCTGAAATGCTGTCTTGTTGTCTGAAATGCTGTTTTAATGTCTGAAATGCTGTCTTGTTGTCTGAAATGCTGTCTTGTTGTCTGAAATGCTGTCTTGTTGTCTGAAATGCTGTCTTGTTGTCTGAAATGCTGTCTTGTTGTCTGAAATGCTGTCTTGTTGTCTGAAATGCTGTCTTGTTGTCTGAAATGCTGTCTTGTTGTCTGAAATGCTGTCTTGTTGTCTGAAATGCTGTCTTGTTGTCTGAAATGCTGTCTTGATGTCTGAAATGCTGTTTTAATGTCTGAAATGCTGTCTTGTTGTCTGAAATGCTGTCTTGTTGTCTGAAAGGCTGTCTTGTTGTCTGAAATGCTGTTTTAATGTCTGAAATGCTGTCTTGTTGTCTGAAATGCTGTCTTGTTGTCTGAAATGCTGTCTTGTTGTCTGAAATGCTGTCTTGTTTGAAATGCTGTCTTGTTGTCTGAAATGCTGTCTTGTTGTCTGAAATGCTGTCTTGTTGTCTGAAATGCTGTCTTGTTGTCTGAAATGCTGTCTTGTTGTCTGGAATGCTGTCTTGTTGTCTGAAATGCTGTCTTGTTGTCTGAAATGCTGTCTTGTTGTCTGAAATGCTGTCTTGTTGTCTGAAATGCTGTCTTGTTGTCTGAAATGCTGTCTTGATGTCTGAAATGCTGTCTTGTTGTCTGAAATGCTGTTTTAATGTCTGAAATGCTGTCTTGTTGTCTGAAATGCTGTCTTGTTGTCTGAAATGCTGTCTTGTTGTCTGAAATGCTGTCTTGTTGTCTGAAATGCTGTCTTGTTGTCTGAAATGCTGTCTTGTTGTCTGAAATGCTGTTTTAATGTCTGAAATGCTGTCTTGTTGTCTGAAATGCTGTCTTGTTGTCTGAAATGCTGTCTTGTTGTCTGAAATGCTGTCTTGTTGTCTGAAATGCTGTCTTGTTGTCTGAAATGCTGTCTTGTTGTCTGAAATGCTGTCTTGTTGTCTGAAATGCTGTCTTGTTGTCTGAAATGCTGTCTTGTTGTCTGAAATGCTGTCTTGTTGTCTGAAATGCTGTCTTGATGTCTGAAATGCTGTTTTAATGTCTGAAATGCTGTCTTGTTGTCTGAAATGCTGTCTTGTTGTCTGAAATGCTGTCTTGTTGTCTGAAATGCTGTCTTGTTGTCTGAAATGCTGTCTTGTTGTCTGAAATGCTGTCTTGTTGTCTGAAATGCTGTCTTGTTGTCTGAAATGCTGTCTTGATGTCTGAAATGCTGTTTTAATGTCTGAAATGCTGTCTTGTTGTCTGAAATGCTGTCTTGTTGTCTGAAATGCTGTCTTGTTGTCTGAAATGCTGTCTTGTTGTCTGAAATGCTGTCTTGTTGTCTGAAATGCTGTCTTGTTGTCTGAAATGTTGTCTTGTTGTCTGAAATGCTGTCTTGTTGTCTGAAATGCTGTCTTGTTGTCTGAAATGCTGTCTTGTTGTCTGAAATGCTGTCTTGTTGTCTGAAATGCTGTCTTGTTGTCTGAAATGCTGTCTTGTTGTCTGAAATGCTGTCTTGTTGTCTGAAATGCTGTCTTGATGTCTGAAATGCTGTCTTAATGTCTGAAATGCTGTCTTGTTGTCTGAAATGCTGTCTTGTTGTCTGAAATGCTGTCTTGTTGTCTGAAATGCTGTCTTGTTGTCTGAAATGCTGTCTTGTTGTCTGAAATGCTGTCTTGTTGTCTGAAATGCTGTCTTGTTGTCTGAAATGCTGTCTTGTTGTCTGAAATGCTGTTTTAATGTCTGAAATGCTGTCTTGCTGTCTGAAATGCTGTCTTGTTGTCTGAAATGCTGTCTTGTTGTCTGAAATGCTGTTTTAATGTCTGAAATGCTGTCTTGTTGTCCGAAATGCTGTCTTGTTGTCTGAAATGCTGTCTTGTTGTCTGAAATGCTGTCTTGTTGTCTGAAATGCTGTCTTGTTGTCTGAAATGCTGTTTTAATGTCTGAAATGCTGTCTTGTTGTCTGAAATGCTGTCTTGTTGTCTGAAATGCTGTCTTGTTGTCTGAAATGCTGTCTTGATGTGACAGGTTGAGGTGATGGATATAGGACTTGACCAATGCGGTGTTACGGCGGAGAGAAGGATCTCACTCGTGGACAAAAACAGAGACCTCTTCATCACGTCTGTCAGGATCTTTGGCACAGAGAGGAAAATCATTAAACTTGGTAACTGTTTCATACACTACATGATCCAATAACCTCAGCCAACATGATCCAATATTTTAACCTCAGTCAACATGATCCACTATTTTAACCTCAGCCAACATGATCCAATATTTTAACCTCAGCCAACATGATCCAATATTTTAACCTCAGCCAACATGATCCAATGTTTTAACCTCAGCCAACATGATCCAATGTTTTAACCTCAGCCAACATGATCCAATATTTTAACCTCAGCCAACATGATCCAATATTTTAACCTCAGCCAACATGATCCAATATTTTAACCTCAGCCAACATGATCCAATATTTTAACCTCAGCCAACATGATCCAATATTTTAACCTCAGCCAACATGATCCAATGTTTTAACCTCAGCCAACATGATCCAATGTTTTAACCTCAGCCAACATGATCCAATATTTTAACCTCAGCCAACATGATCCAATATTTTAACCTCAGCCAACATGATCCAATATTTTAACCTCAGCCAACATGATCCAATATTTTAACCTCAGCCAACATGATCCAATATTTTAACCTCAGCCTACATGATCCAATATTTTAACCTCAGCCAACATGATCCAATGTTTTAACCTCAGCCAACATGATCCTATATTTTAACCTCAGCCAACATGATCCAATATTTTAACCTCAGCCAACATGATCCAATATTTTAACCTCAGCCAACATGATCCAATATTTTAACCTCAGCCAACATGATCCAATATTTTAACCTCAGCCAACATGATCCAATATTTTAACCTCAGCCAACATGATCCAATATTTTAACCTCAGCCAACATGATCCAATATTTTAACCTCAGCCAACATGATCCAATATTTTAACCTCAGCCAACATGATCCAATATTTTAGTTATCCACTATGTTAACCTCAGCCAACATGATCCAATATTTTAACCTCAGCCAACATGATCCAATATTTTAACCTCAGCCAACATGATCCAATATTTTAACCTCAGCCAACATGATCCAATATTTTAACCTCAGCCAACATGATCCAATATTTTAGTTATCCACTATGTTAACCTCAGCCAACATGATCCAATATTTTAACCTCAGCCAACATGATCCAATATTTTAACCTCAGCCAACATGATCCAATATTTTAACCTCAGCCAACAGGATCCAATATTTTAACCTCAGCCAACATGATCCAATATTTTAACCTCAGCCAACATGATCCAATATTTTAACCTCAGCCAACATGATCCAATATTTTAACCTCAGCCAACATGATCCAATATTTTAACCTCAGCCAACATGATCCAATATTTTAACCTCAGCCAACATGATCCAATATTTTAACCTCAGCCAACATGATCCAATATTTTAACCTCAGCCAACATGATCCAATATTTTAACCTCAGCCAACATGATCCAATATTTTAACCTCAGCCAACATGATCCAATATTTTAACCTCAGCCAACATGATCCAATATTTTAACCTCAGCCAACATGATCCAATATTTTAACCTCAGCCAACATGATCCAATATTTTAACCTCAGCCAACATGATCCAATATTTTAACCTCAGCCAACATGATCCAATATTTTAACCTCAGCCAACATGATCCAATATTTTAACCTCAGCCAACATGATCCAATATTTTAACCTCAGCCAACATGATCCAATATTTTAACCTCAGCCAACATGATCCAATATTTTAACCTCAGCCAACAGGATCCAATATTTTAACCTCAGCCAACATGATCCAATATTTTAACCTCAGCCAACATGATCCAATATTTTAACCTCAGCCAACATGATCCAATATTTTAACCTCAGCCAACATGATCCAATATTTTAACCTCAGCCAACATGATCCAATATTTTAACCTCAGCCAACATGATCCAATATTTTAACCTCAGCCAACATGATCCAATATTTTAACCTCAGCCAACATGATCCAATATTTTAACCTCAGCCAACATGATCCAATATTTTAACCTCAGCCAACATGATCCAATATTTTAACCTCAGCCAACATGATCCAATATTTTAACCTCAGCCAACATGATCCAATATTTTAACCTCAGCCAACATGATCCAATATTTTAACCTCAGCCAACATGATCCAATATTTTAACCTCAGCCAACATGATCCAATATTTTAACCTCAGCCAACATGATCCAATATTTTAACCTCAGCCAACATGATCCAATATTTTAACCTCAGCCAACATGATCCAATATTTTAACCTCAGCCAACATGATCCAATATTTTAACCTCAGCCAACATGATCCAATATTTTAACCTCAGCCAACATGATCCAATATTTTAACCTCAGCCAACAGGATCCAATATTTTAACCTCAGCCAACATGATCCAATATTTTAACCTCAGCCAACATGATCCAATATTTTAACCTCAGCCAACATGATCCAATATTTTAACCTCAGCCAACATGATCCAATATTTTAACCTCAGCCAACATGATCCAATATTTTAACCTCAGCCAACATGATCCAATATTTTAACCTCAGCCAACATGATCCAATATTTTAACCTCAGCCAACATGATCCAATATTTTAACCTCAGCCAACATGATCCAATATTTTAACCTCAGCCAACATGATCCAATATTTTAACCTCAGCCAACATGATCCAATATTTTAACCTCAGCCAACATGATCCAATATTTTAACCTCAGCCAACATGATCCAATATTTTAACCTCAGCCAACATGATCCAATATTTTAACCTCAGCCAACATGATCCAATATTTTAACCTCAGCCAACATGATCCAATATTTTAACCTCAGCCAACATGATCCAAGCCCATGTCTGGAATGATGAGACCAACATGCTGGCTGCCATGACAGATGGGAAGATCCTGGTCTGGTACTACCCTAACGCTGTCTATGTGGACAAAGACCTGCTGCCTAAAACCTTGTTTGAGAAAGACTCAAGGCATGAGCTAGTTTTCATTGGATGTCAGCACATCAGCTTCACAACACACCTCAAGACAAGCACTACACATCAGCTTCACAACACACCACAAGACAAGCACTACACATCAGCTTCACAACACACCACAAGACAAGCACTTCACATCAGCTTCACAAGACAAGCACTACACATCAGCTTCACACCACAAGACAAGCACTACACATCAGCTTCACACCACAAGACAAGCACTACACATCAGCTTCACAACACACCACAAGACAAGCACTACACATTAGCTTCACAACACACCACAAGACAAGCACTACACATTAGCTTCACAACACACCACAAGACAAGCACTACACATCAGCTTCACAACACACCACAAGTCAAGCACTTCACATCAGCTTCACAACACACCACACCACAAGACAAGCACTACACATCAGCTTCACAACACACCACAAGTCAAGCACTTCACATCAGCTTCACAACACACCACAAGACAAGCACTACACATCAGCTTCACAACACACCACAAGACAAGCACTACACATCAGCTTCACAACACACCACAAGACAAGCACTACACATCAGCTTCACACACCACAAGACAAGCACTACACATCAGCTTCACACACCACAAGACAAGCACTACACATCAGCTTCACACACCACAAGACAAGCACTACACATCAGCTTCACACACCACAAGACAAGCACTTCACATCAGCTTCACAAGACAAGCACTACACATCAGCTTCACACCACAAGACAAGCACTACACATCAGCTTCACACACCACAAGACAAGCACTACACATCAGCTTCACAACACACCACAAGACAAGCACTACACATCAGCTTCACAACACACCACAAGACAAGCACTACACATCAGCTTCACAACACACCACAAGACAAGCACTACACATCAGCTTCACAACACACCACAAGACAAGCACTACACATCAGCTTCACAACACACCACAAGACAAGCACTACACATCAGCTTCACAACACACCACAAGACAAGCACTACACATCAGCTTCACAACACACCACAAGACAAGCACTACACATCAGCTTCACAACACACCACAAGACAAGCACTACACATCAGCTTCACAACACACCACAAGACAAGCACTACACATCAGCTTCACAACACACCACAAGACAAGCACTACACATCAGCTTCACAACACACCACAAGACAAGCACTACACATCAGCTTCACAACACACCACAAGACAAGCACTACACATCAGCTTCACAACACACCACAAGACAAGCACTACACATCAGCTTCACAACACACCACAAGACAAGCACTACACATCAGCTTCACAACACACCACAAGACAAGCACTTCACATCATCTACACCAGATGGCATATACCACACATCATACACATGTCATCTACACCACGTCATATGTCACAAACATCACAACTTATATTTCAACTATCTTTTTCCCTGCAGTGAGTTTGGCAAATCTCCTCAGTTGGTAGGTTTTTTGGGCAGCCATCTTATCCTGCGCAGATCGGAGGGGTCCCTTGTGTCCGCATCCATCAGCCCCTACCCCACAGTGCTGCACGCGTACACCATGAACAACAAGTGGGATGATGCTGTCAGGCTCTGCCGGTTTGTCAAGGTCACTTCTTTTCTTATCTCACTGGCTCAATAGTAGTAGGTGACCCACTGGTGGTGATCCCATGGTGACCCACTGGTGGTGATCCCATGGTGACCTGCTGGTGGTGATCCCATGGTGACCTGCTTGTGGTGGTGATCTCATGGTGACCTACTGGTGGTGATCCCATGGTGACCTACTGGTGGTGATCCCATGGTGACCTACTGGTGGTGATCCCATGGTGACCTACTGGTGGTGGTGATCCCATGGTGACCTGCTTGTGGTGGTGATCCCATGGTGACCTGCTGCTGGTGGTGATCCCATGGTGACCTGCTTGTGGTGGTGATCCCATGGTGACCTGCTGGTGGTGATCCCATGGTGACCTGCTTGTGGTGGTGATCCCATGGTGACCTGCTGGTGGTGATCCCATGGTGACCTACTGGTGGTGATCCCATGGTGACCTGCTGGTGGTGATCCCATGGTGACCTGCTGGTGGTGATCCCATGGTGACCTGCTGGTGGTGGTGATCCCATGGTGACCTGCTGGTGGTGATCCCATGGTGACCTACTGGTGGTGATCCCATGGTGACCTGCTGGTGGTGATCCCATGGTGACCTGCTGGTGGTGATCCCATGGTGACCTGCTGGTGGTGGTGATCCCATGGTGACCTCCTGGTGGTGATCCCATGGTGACCTACTGGTGGTGATCCCATGGTGACCTGCTGGTGGTGGTGATCCCATGGTGACCTACTGGTGGTGATCCCATGGTGACCTGCTTGTGGTGATCCCATGGTGACCTGCTGGTGGTGATCCCATGGTGACCTGCTTGTGGTGGTGATCTCATGGTGACCTACTGGTGGTGATCCCATGGTGACCTACTGGTGGTGATCCCATAGTGACCTACTGGTGGTGATCCCATGGTGACCTACTGGTGGTGGTGATCCCATGGTGACCTGCTTGTGGTGGTGATCCCATGGTGACCTGCTGGTGGTGGTGATCCCATGGTGACCTGCTTGTGGTGGTGATCCCATGGTGACCTGCTGGTGGTGATCCCATGGTGACCTGCTTGTGGTGGTGATCCCATGGTGACCTGCTGGTGGTGATCCCATGGTGACCTACTGGTGGTGATCCCATGGTGACCTGCTGGTGGTGATCCCATGGTGACCTGCTGGTGGTGATCCCATGGTGACCTGCTGGTGGTGGTGATCCCATGGTGACCTGCTGGTGGTGATCCCATGGTGACCTACTGGTGGTGATCCCATGGTGACCTGCTGGTGGTGATCCCATGGTGACCTGCTGGTGGTGATCCCATGGTGACCTGCTGGTAGTGGTGATCCCATGGTGACCTCCTGGTGGTGATCCCATGGTGACCTACTGGTGGTGATCCCATGGTGACCTGCTGGTGGTGGTGATCCCATGGTGACCTGCTGGTGGTGATCCCATGGTGACCTGCTTGTGGTGATCCCATGGTGACCTGCTGGTGGTGATCCCATGGTGACCTGCTGGTGGTGATCCCATGGTGACCTACTGGTGGTGGTGATCCCATGGTGACCTCCTGGTGGTGATACCATGGTGACCTACTGGTGGTGATCCCATGGTGACCTACTGGTGGTGGTGATCCCATGGTGACCTCCTGGTGGTGATTCCATGGTGACCTACTGGTGGTGATCCCATGGTGACCTGCTGGTGGTGATCCCATGGTGACCTGCTGGTGGTGGTGATCCCATGGTGACCTCCTGGTGGTGATCCCATGGTGACCTACTGGTGGTGATCCCATGGTGACCTGCTGGTGGTGGTGATCCCATGGTGACCTGCTGGTGGTGATCCCATGGTGACCTGCTGGTGGTGGTGATCCCATGGTGACCTGCTGGTGGTGGTGATCCCATGGTGACCTGCTTGTGGTGATTCCATGGTGACCTACTGGTGGTGATCCCATGGTGACCTACTGGTGGTGATCCCATGGTGACCTGCTTGTGGTGATCCCATGGTGACCTGCTTGTGGTGATTCCATGGTGACCTACTGGTGGTGATCCCATGGTGACCTGCTTGTGGTGATCCCATGGTGACCTGCTGGTGGTGATCCCATGGTGACCTGCTGGTGGTGATCCCATGGTGACCTACTGGTGGTGGTGATCCCATGGTGACCTCCTGGTGGTGATACCATGGTGACCTACTGGTGGTGATCCCATGGTGACCTACTGGTGGTGGTGATCCCATGGTGACCTCCTGGTGGTGATTCCATGGTGACCTGCTGGTGGTGATCCCATGGTGACCTGCTGGTGGTGATCCCATGGTGACCTGCTGGTGGTGATCCCATGGTGACCTGCTGGTGGTGGTGATCCCATGGTGACCTCCTGGTGGTGATCCCATGGTGACCTGCTGGTGGTGGTGATCCCATGGTGACCTGCTGGTGGTGATCCCATGGTGACCTGCTGGTGGTGATCCCATGGTGACCTGCTGGTGGTGGTGATCCCATGGTGACCTGCTGGTGGTGGTGATCCCATGGTGACCTGCTTGTGGTGATTCCATGGTGACCTACTGGTGGTGATCCCATGGTGACCTACTGGTGGTGATCCCATGGTGACCTGCTTGTGGTGATTCCATGGTGACCTACTGGTGGTGATCCCATGGTGACCTGCTTGTGGTGACCTACTGGAGGTGATCCCATGGTGACCTACTGGTGGTGATCCCATGGTGACCTGCTTGTGGTGATTCCATGGTGACCTACTGGTGGTGATCCCATGGTGACCTACTGGTGGTGGTCCCATGGTGACCTGCTTGTGGTGATCCCATGGTGACCTACTGGTGGTGGTCCCATGGTGACCTGCTTGTGGTGATGCACTGTTGGTGATTCCATGGTGACCTACTGGTGAGCTATTGATGGTTGTGCTTGCGTTGAATTCACTGATGGCATTGATGGTTAACTATTTTGTTTTTAATTTCAGGAAGAAAATCTGTGGGCTTGTTTAGCTGCTATGGCAACCTATGCTAAAGATTTAAATACAGCAGAAATCTCTTACGCAGCCATACAAGAGGTCAGGCAGACATTTGTTCTAGTGTGGGTGGTTGTCAGTGTTGTGTTGTGTGGGTATGTGGTTGTCACTGTTGTGTTGTGTGGTAGGTGGTTGTCAGTGTTGTGTGGGTAGGTGGTTGTCAGTGTTGTGTGGGTAGGTGGTTGTCAGTGTTGTGTGGGTAGGTGGTTGTCAGTGTTGTGTTTAGGTGGTTGTCAGTGTTGTGTTGTGTGGTAGGTGGTTGTCAGTGTTGTGTGGGTAGGTGGTTGTCAGTGTTGTGTGGGTAGGTGGTTGTCAGTGTTGTGTTTAGGTGGTTGTCAGTGTTGTGTTGTGTGGTAGGTGGTTGTCAGTGTTGTGTGGGTAGGTGGTTGTCAGTGTTGTGTTGTGTGGGTGGGTGGTTGTCAGTGTTGTGTGGGTAGGTGGTTGTCAGTGTTGTGTGGGTAGGTGGTTGTCACTGTTGTGTTGTGTGGTAGGTGGTTGTCACTGTTGTGTTGTGTGGTAGGTGGTTGTCAGTGTTGTGTGGGTAGGTGGTTGTCAGTGTTGTGTTTAGGTGGTTGTCAGTGTTATGTGGGTAGGTGGTTGTCAGTGTTGTGTGGGTAGGTGGTTGTCAGTGTTGTGTGGGTAGGTGGTTGTCATTGTTGTGTTGTGCGGGTGGGTGGTTGTCAGTGTTGTGTGGGTAGGTGGTTGTCCGTGTTGTGTTGTGTGGGTAGGTGGTTGTCAGTGTTGTGTTTAGGTGGTTGTCAGTGTTGTGTGGGTAGGTGGTTGTCACTGTTGTGTTGTGTGGTAGGTGGTTGTCAGTGTTGTGTGGGTAGGTGGTTGTCAGTGTTGTGTTGTGTGGGTAGGTGGTTGTCAGTGTTGTGTTTAGGCGGTTGTCACTGTTGTGTTGTGTGGGTAGGCGGTTGTCAGTGTTGTGTGGGTAGGTGGTTGTCAGTGTTGTGTTGTGTGGTAGGTGGTTGTCAGTGTTGTGTGGTAGGTGGTTGTCAGTGTTGTGTTGTGTGGGTAGGTGGTTGTCATTGTTGTGTTGTGTGGGTAGGTGGTTGTCATTGTTGTGTTGTGCGGGTAGGTGGTTGTCAGTGTTGTGTGGGTAGGTGGTTGTCATTGTTGTGTTGTGTGGGTAGGTGGTTGTCATTGTTGTGTTGTGCGGGTAGGTGGTTGTCAGTGTTGTGTTGTGCGGGTAGGTGGTTGTCAGTGTTGTGTGGGTAGGTGGTTGTCATTGTTGTGTTGTGCGGGTAGGTGGTTGTCAGTGTTGTGTGGGTAGGTGGTTGTCAGTGTTGTGTTTAGGTGGTTGTCAGTGTTGTGTTGTGTGGTAGGTGGTTGTCAGTGTTGTGTTGTGTGGGTAGGTGGTTGTCAGTGTTGTGTTGTGTGGGTAGGTGGTTGTCATTGTTGTGTTGTGCGGGTAGGTGGTTGTCAGTGTTGTGTGGGTAGGTGGTTGTCAGTGTTGTGTTGTGTGGGTAGGTGGTTGTCAGTGTTGTGTTTAGGTGGTTGTCAGTGTTGTGTGGGTAGGTGGTTGTCACTGTTGTGTTGTGTGGGTAGGTGGTTGTCACTGTTGTGTTGTGTGGGTAGGTGGTTGTCAGTGTTGTGTGGGTAGGTGGTTGTCACTGTTGTGTTGTGTGGGTAGGCGGTTGTCACTGTTGTGTTGTGTGGGTAGGCGGTTGTCAGTGTTATGTGGGTAGGTGGTTGTCAGTGTTGTGTTGTGTGGTAGGTGGTTGTCAGTGTTGTGTGGGTAGGTGGTTGTCAGTGTTGTGTTGTGTGGGTAGGTGGTTGTCAGTGTTGTGTTTAGGCGGTTGTCACTGTTGTGTTGTGTGGGTAGGCGGTTGTCAGTGTTGTGTGGGTAGGTGGTTGTCAGTGTTGTGTTGTGTGGTAGGTGGTTGTCAGTGTTGTGTGGTAGGTGGTTGTCAGTGTTGTGTTGTGTGGGTAGGTGGTTGTCATTGTTGTGTTGTGTGGGTAGGTGGTTGTCATTGTTGTGTTGTGCGGGTAGGTGGTTGTCAGTGTTGTGTGGGTAGGTGGTTGTCATTGTTGTGTTGTGTGGGTAGGTGGTTGTCATTGTTGTGTTGTGCGGGTAGGTGGTTGTCAGTGTTGTGTTGTGCGGGTAGGTGGTTGTCAGTGTTGTGTGGGTAGGTGGTTGTCAGTGTTGTGTTGTGTGGGTAGGTGGTTGTCAGTGTTGTGTTGTGTGGGTAGATGGTTGTCAGTGTTGTGTGGGTAGGTGGTTGTCAGTGTTGTGTTGTGTGGGTAGGTGGTTGTCAGTGTTGTGTGGGTAGGTGGTTGTCAGTGTTGTGTTGTGTGGGTAGATGGTTGTCAGTGTTGTGTGGGTAGGTGGTTGTCAGTGTTGTGTGGGTAGGTGGTTGTCAGTGTTGTGTGGGTAGGTGGTTGTCAGTGTTGTGTTGTGTGGGTAGGTGGTTGTCAGTGTTGTGTGGGTAGGTGGTTGTCAGTGTTGTGTGGGTAGGTGGTTGTCAGTGTTGTGTTTAGGTGGTTGTCAGTGTTGTGTGGGTAGGTGGTTGTCAGTGTTGTGTGGGTAGGTGGTTGTCATTGTTGTGTTGTGCGGGTAGGTGGTTGTCAGTGTTGTGTGGGTAGGTGGTTGTCAGTGTTGTGTTTAGGTGGTTGTCAGTGTTGTGTTGTGTGGTAGGTGGTTGTCAGTGTTGTGTTGTGTGGGTAGGTGGTTGTCAGTGTTGTGTTGTGTGGGTAGGTGGTTGTCATTGTTGTGTTGTGCGGGTAGGTGGTTGTCAGTGTTGTGTGGGTAGGTGGTTGTCAGTGTTGTGTTGTGTGGGTAGGTGGTTGTCAGTGTTGTGTTTAGGTGGTTGTCAGTGTTGTGTGGGTAGGTGGTTGTCACTGTTGTGTTGTGTGGTAGGTGGTTGTCAGTGTTGTGTGGGTAGGTGGTTGTCACTGTTGTGTTGTGTGGGTAGGCGGTTGTCACTGTTGTGTTGTGTGGGTAGGTGGTTGTCAGTGTTGTGTGGGTAGGCGGTTGTCAGTGTTGTGTGGGTAGGTGGTTGTCAGTGTTGTGTTGTGTGGTAGGTGGTTGTCAGTGTTGTGTGGGTAGGTGGTTGTCAGTGTTGTGTTGTGTGGGTAGGTGGTTGTCAGTGTTGTGTTTAGGCGGTTGTCACTGTTGTGTTGTGTGGGTAGGCGGTTGTCAGTGTTGTGTGGGTAGGTGGTTGTCAGTGTTGTGTGGGTAGGTGGTTGTCAGTGTTGTGTTGTGTGGGTAGGTGGTTGTCATTGTTGTGTTGTGTAGGTAGGTGGTTGTCATTGTTGTGTTGTGCGGGTAGGTGGTTGTCAGTGTTGTGTGGGTAGGTGGTTGTCATTGTTGTGTTGTGTGGGTAGGTGGTTGTCATTGTTGTGTTGTGCGGGTAGGTCGTTGTCAGTGTTGTGTTGTGCGGGTAGGTGGTTGTCAGTGTTGTGTGGGTAGGTGGTTGTCATTGTTGTGTTGTGCGGGTAGGTGGTTGTCAGTGTTGTGTGGGTAGGTGGTTGTCAGTGTTGTGTTTAGGTGGTTGTCAGTGTTGTGTTGTGTGGTAGGTGGTTGTCAGTGTTGTGTTGTGTGGGTAGGTGGTTGTCAGTGTTGTGTTGGTAGATGGTTGTCAGTGTTGTGTGGGTAGGTGGTTGTCAGTGTTGTGTGGATAGGTGGTTGTCAGTGTTGTGTTGTGTGGGTAGGTGGTTGTCAGTGTTGTGTTGTGTGGGTAGGTGGTTGTCACTGTTGTGTTTAGGTGGTTGTCAGTGTTGTGTGGGTAGGTGGTTGTCAGTGTTGTGTGGGTAGGTGGTTGTCAGTGTTGTGTTTAGGTGGTTGTCAGTGTTGTGTGGGTAGGTGGTTGTCAGTGTTGTGTGGGTAGGTGGTTGTCATTGTTGTGTTGTGCGGGTAGGTGGTTGTCAGTGTTGTGTGGGTAGGTGGTTGTCAGTGTTGTGTTTAGGTGGTTGTCAGTGTTGTGTTGTGTGGGTAGGTGGTTGTCAGTGTTGTGTTGTGTAGGTAGGTGGTTGTCAGTGTTGTGTTTAGGTGGTTGTCAGTGTTGTGTGGGTAGGTGGTTGTCAGTGTTATGTGGGTAGGTGGTTGTCAGTGTTGTGTGGGTAGGTGGTTGTCACTGTTGTGTTTAGGTGGTTGTCAGTGTTGTGTGGGTAGGTGGTTGTCAGTGTTCTGTGGGTAGGTGGTTGTCAGTGTTGTGTTTAGGTGGTTGTCAGTGTTGTGTGGGTAGGTGGTTGTCAGTGTTGTGTGGGTAGATGGTTGTCAGTGTTGTGTGGGTAGGTGGTTGTCAGTGTTGTGTGGGTAGGTGGTTGTCAGTGTTGTGTTTAGGTGGTTGTCAGTGTTGTGTGGGTAGGTGGTTGTCAGTGTTGTGTGGGTAGGTGGTTGTCAGTGTTGTGTGGGTAGGTGGTTGTCAGTGTTGTGTGGGTAGGTGGTTGTCAGTGTTGTGTTGTGTGGGTAGGTGGTTGTCAGTGTTGTGTTTAGGTGGTTGTCAGTGTTGTGTGGGTAGGTGGTTGTCAGTGTTATGTGGGTAGGTGGTTGTCAGTGTTGTGTGGGTAGGTGGTTGTCAGTGTTATGTGGGTAGGTGGTTGTCAGTGTTGTGTGGGTAGGTGGTTGTCACTGTTGTGTTTAGGTGGTTGTCAGTGTTGTGTGGGTAGATGGTTGTCAGTGTTGTGTGGGTAGGTGGTTGTCAGTGTTATGTGGGTAGGTGGTTGTCAGTGTTGTGTGGGTAGGTGGTTGTCACTGTTGTGTTTAGGTGGTTGTCAGTGTTGTGTGGGTAGGTGGTTGTCAGTGTTGTGTGGGTAGGTGGTTGTCAGTGTTGTGTTTAGGTGGTTGTCAGTGTTGTGTGGGTAGATGGTTGTCAGTGTTATGTGGGTAGGTGGTTGTCAGTGTTGTGTGGGTAGGTGGTTGTCAGTGTTGTGTTTAGGTGGTTGTCAGTGTTGTGTGGGTAGGTGGTTGTCAGTGTTATGTGGGTAGGTGGTTGTCAGTGTTGTGTGGGTAGGTGGTTGTCAGTGTTGTGTTTAGGTGGTTGTCAGTGTTGTGTGGGTAGGTGGTTGTCAGTGTTGTGTTGTGTGGGTAGGTGGTTGTCAGTGTTGTGTTTAGGTGGTTGTCAGTGTTGTGTTTAGGTGGTTGTCAGTGTTGTGTTGTGTGGGTAGGTGGTTGTCAGTGTTGTGTGGGTAGGTGGTTGTCAGTGTTGTGTGGGTAGGTGGTTGTCAGTGTTGTGTGGGTAGGTGGTTGTCAGTGTTGTGTGGGTAGGTGGTTGCAGTAGCTTTGGGGGGGGGGGGGGGGGACATATGTCCCTGGGTGCTGACCTTAGGGGGTGCCAAAATGGGTTGGAAAAATAAATTGAAAGGTTGAGGGGGGGTGCAAATGGAAATCTGGGTCGCTACACCTCTGGGTGGTTGTCAGTGTTCTGTGGGTTGGTGGTTGTCAGTGTCTTTGTTTCATTTGTTGGTGAAAGCTTATCATTATTTGGTCTTTAGGCTGATAAAGTGCAGCTTATCATCATTTGGTCTTTAGGCTGATAAAGTGCAGCTTATCATCATTTGGTCTTTAGGCTGATAAAGTGCAGCTTATCATCATTTGGTCTTAGGCTGATAAAGTGCAGCTTATCATCATTTGGTCTTAGGCTGATAAAGTGCAGCTTATCATTTGGTCTTAGACTGATAAAGTGCAGCTTATCATCATTTGGTCTTTAGGCTGATAAAGTGCAGCTTATCATCAACATCAAAGAAATTCCAGTGAAGGAAGCCAGGAATGCCGAGATGGCACTTTTGTGTGGCAGCCAGCAAGATGCTGAGGCCATCTTACTGCAGGCGGGTCTCATCTTCCGCGCTATCATGTTGAACATACAACTCTATAACTGGGACAGGTACATACATCTTTATAACTGGGACAGGTACATACATCTTTATAACTGGGACAGGTACATATATCTTTAGCTCTATAACTGGGACAGGTACATACATCTTTAACTCTCTGAGACAGGTACATACATCTTTAACTCTATAACTGGGACAGGTACATACATCTTTAACTCTATAACTGGGACAGGTACATACATCTTTAACTCTCTGAGACAGGTACATATATCTTTAACTCTATAACTGGGACAGGTACATACATCTTTAACTCTCTGAGACAGGTACATATATCTTTAACTCTCTGAGACAGTTACATATATCTTTAACTTTCCAACTGAGACAGGTACATATATCTTTAACTCTCTGAGACAGGTACATATATCTTTAACTTTCTAACTGAGACAGGTACATATATCTTTAACTCTCTGAGACAGTTACATATATCTTTAAGTCTCTGAGACAGGTACATATATCTTTAAGTCTCTGAGACAGTTACATATATCTTTAAGTCTCTGAGACAGGTACATATATCTTTAACTCTCTGAGACAGGTACATATATCTTTAAGTCTCTGAGACAGGTACATATATCTTTAACTCTCTGAGACAGGTACATATATCTTTAACTCTCTGAGACAGGTACATATATCTTTAACTCTCTGAGACAGGTACATATATCTTTAACTCTCTGAGACAGGTACATATATCTTTAACTCTCTGAGACAGGTACATATATCTTTAACTCTCTGAGACAGGTACATATATCTTTAACTCTCTGAGACAGGTACATATATCTTTAACTCTCTGAGACAGGTACATATATCTTTAACTCTCTGAGACAGGTACATATATCTTTAACTTTCCAACTGAGACAGGTACATATATCTTTAACTCTCTGAGACAGGTACATATATCTTTAACTTTCTAACTGAGACAGGTACATATATCTTTAACTCTCTGAGACAGGTACATATATCTTTAACTCTCTGAGACAGGTACATATATCTTTAACTCTCTGAGACAGGTACATATATCTTTAACTTTCCAACTGAGACAGGTACATATATCTTTAACTCTCTGAGACAGGTACATATATCTTTAACTTTCTAACTGAGACAGGTACATATATCTTTAACTCTCTGACTGAGACATCATACGGCCACCATTATAACTCTCTAGAACTAGCAGGTCTGTTCCTGTATTCTGTCTAGTCGTCTGTTCCTGTATTTGTAATGCTCTGTATTTCCTCAGAGCTCTAGAGCTAGCAGTTAAAAACAAAACCCATGTTGACACAGTGCTTGGCTTTCGGATGAAATTTTTGTCAAGGTTTGAGAAATCTGAGACAAATAAAAGATATTTACAGTACAAGGAAGGGGTAAGTAGAAAGAAGGGAGGAGGGGGGGGGGGGAGTAAGGTAAATTAGCACATGGTCCTTTGTTTTTAAAACAAGTTTTCGATTTCAATTTTAAATATTAGAATTGTTATTGAGCTCAAGTTTTGCCCCTTTGTGTGATGCAGGTAGAGATAGACTGGGATAAAATCACCAACAAAATTGAAATGGAATACCAGAAAGAGAGGGAAAGACCAGCAGCAGTGCCCCGCAGCACTAAAACTTGATTGGGCATTTTATACACATTTCTTTTACCCTCTTAGTTCTTTGAGTACCAAAACATACCAAGGTTGCACTTCAAAATTTTCTTGAGAATTATTTTCAAATGTTTAAAAAAAAAAAATTTGACTGTAAAGACCATAGATAGATCCAGGAAACTTGACTGTAAGTAAAGACCATGGTTTGACTAGGGAATCCAAGAACCAATGCTGACACTGCTACAGTATCTTTATCCTGTCCTAAATGCTGATCATTTGAAATCTGTGATATAATATATGGAATGTTTAAATGTTCAACCCTGTTCATGTTGTTCTGTGGTGTCACCATCTGTGGTGTGACATCACCAGTTAGCCGTCTGTCCATTTGTGACATCACCAGCCAGTCTGTCCACTTGTGACATCACCAGTTAGCCGGCTGCCTCTTGTGTAAAAATGTTTCTCAGCCTCATCTTGTGCAACATTTTTCAATGAAAGCTTGTTTGTGTTTGTTTGTCTTTCCTCTTTGATTTGAATACTGGTAGAACATTGAGCACTGTTTTATATTTTTAAATAAATTTTATTGATGTAACTCTCTCAGGAGTTTTGTTTTCACTTTTTTCAAGCTGAAACTTTTTTTATTTTAAACCAGAGGAAAAACCAAACAGCTAGACAAAAAATAAAAAAAAAATAATCCTAATTGTTTTCCAAATAGCAACTATTTTTTATTATGAGGGAAATCTCTGTAAAATTGCAAATGGTTAAATTACCTCCCTTACATCATTCAAGCAAAGGTCAATTTCCCATGGAAGTTTAAAGGTCACAGAAATGTAAGTTTGACCTGTAAACCTTCCCTACTATTTCAAGGTCAATAGTTTTGGTTCCATTAACATGCTACATTTTGATTGGTTTATTTCAAATGTTGATGAAGGAATACTCAACTTGACTGTAGGTATGTCCCTATTCTGTATTGTAAGCATTGAAGCCTATACAAATTTGTTTTAATTTAACTTCAGTCCTGCTAAATGCTTTCTTCAAATGACCAGTGCAAGACATAAATAAAATAATTTAAAAAAAAAAAAAACAACTTGCAATGAACACAAGATGGTAAGGTCCATTTCTTGTGACATATACAAATTACATAGCCAGCTTGTGTCACTCAATTATTTTTTTTTTTTTTTACAATAAATCTGTATTACATTAGATATATAGATCTCTAATAAATCCGTATTACATTAGATATAGGCCTATAGATCTACAATAAATCCATATTACATTAGATATATAGTTCTATAATAAATCCGTATTACATCAGATTAATAGATCTATAATAAATCCGTATTACATTAGACATATAGATCTATAATCAGTGTTTCTTTCAGACTTTTTCTCCGGGGGAGGGGGGTCAGCCCCCCCCCCCCCCCCCCCCCCCCCCCCCCCCCGCAGAGATGCCTGGAAGAAACTGTCTATAATAAATCCGTATTACATTTGATCTATAGATCTATAATAAATGAGTGTGATAACGATTTGCATGAATCAGATAGATTAGACTTGTTTTTTTTTATTTAGCTCAATACAAAAATAAAGATGATAAGAATAATGGCATTGACAAGGTGGCACTGACAATGATCCCAAACTAAAACAGCAAAACAGCTCTTGTTTCTGTGTTCTTCCAAGGGATAAACAAGGGAATAAAAAATTACCCATATATTTCTGTCTGTCTTTTATTATTGGGATGTTACTAGAACTTTTGAACTCAGCTTTAGTTCATGAGATCACTACATGTTCTAGCGACCAAATACTTTAATAAAGCAAGGGTGTTTATTTTTAGTGCATTTAAAAAGCTTTTTATTCAATTATTATCAAGGTTTTTATATTTGCTTCTTCTCAATGCCTAGTCCCTAAAGTTACAAGTTTTTTTTTTACTTTCTCGTATATACAAAGTGTAGAGAAAGTATTGTAATCGTGCAAGAAAAAAGAAATCGGGATTTTTTGCAAATCTCAATGTTTTACACCTCCCTGAGTTGGAAAAACATATTTTGCAATATTGTCCATATGTCTGTCTGTGTGTGTATGTGTGTCTGTAAACACAAAAACTTGAGTACTGTTACAGCTAGGTTGATGAAATTTCATATATAAGTATTATATCAGATTTGTAGATCCATATCAACTTTTCAGCAATTTTTGATAACCGGAAGTCGAACTTTTTCTACTTTGAATTTTTCAAAAGCCTATAACTTGAGTACTATTGCAGATAGAAAAAATTTCATATATAAGTAAAAGATATAATTCTCTGCCTTCTATAAAATTTTGAGTAATTTCCGTTGACCGGAAGTAGTAATTTACGCTATTTCCGATTTTTCTAAAAACGTATGTGAATTTATGAAGTAATAATAATATCCTGCACTATTATGCACATTTTATTTGGCGTTCACTTGGTGTGCAATTCTTTTTTTTACGAGATTCCATTCTATTTTAAAAAGTTTAAGAATATTTGAGAAAGTTTAGGGGAGATCACTCCCGGTTTATTTTATTTGTGTATTCATACATTTTTTAAACAAATGAAATTCTTTCAATGTATAACCACCTTTAGTTAAAATAATGTTAGTCTACTACATAATTTCTGCCCATAATTCAGAATTTGGGAGCTGAGTACATGGATGGTATCTGATGGATGTTTATATTTATAGTTCTGGGAAGAGTAGCAAGAATTGTAGAATCTACATAGAACTACTATAATTAGGCTATACCTAATAGGGAAAGATTTGATATCAAATCGCCACTAAAATTATAAGTCTGGTCAACAGTAACAGATCCCTCGGTACAAGTGGGTGGGGTAGAAGTGAAAGGGCAGGCTCCTGGCTTACATGATTCAAATGGGTTTAAACTTTTACGTTTCATAAATCTGGCCAGTTGACTCCCAAAAGTGTTCTAATTGCTCCAACATCTGTTATGCAATGTCTAAATATACTCATTTGCCCTTGCACTGATATTCACGAGTTCTAGAAAGAAATTATTTGGTTTTTCAAAATAGATTTTCATTCTAATTGAAACTATCTTTGTTTTACCCCATTATCTTGATTTAATTATCTTTTCATCTTGCTACCTGTAAAGAATCTTTGCTTTCTACAAGCATGGAACCAACAGATGGGTTGGGTGGCACCAGGCAAGATGAGATTGATTAAAAACACAGTAGAAAGATGAGGTTCAAATTCATAACAAATGTTTATTACACAGAAAAAGAAAAATAAAATGTGTGAAGGACCTTCCTGTAAATAACAATATGAAAAATATGACAGACAGTATGTATTTATGTTGAAAGAAAACAGATGTTTGACAGGTCGTTATCACATCATTGTTGTATTATTTCTTCAATGGTCAAAATTAGAAAAAGTTCAAAGGTAAGTTTGATCCTAGCAATCTCTATACCAATGGTATCAATTAATGTTGTATTTAAATGTCTGCAGATTCAGACAAATGGGTAAAACAGACATTCCACCAGTTACTGGTTGGTCCCCATTCCCCAAAAATAAATGCCTTCAAAAACATCTGCCATTTTGAATGGTTTCAGATGTGTTATGTGTAGTGCTAGTGTTTGTGTAATGTGTTTGGCTAGTCTCTCACCTAAGACTGATGTAGTACTCATCAACAATACTTTTTGAAAGATTCTGGGGAGGGCTTAACAAAAATATAACATGACATGACTTTATATAACATGACATGGCTTGACGTGTATTTTGATAAATAATAAATCACAATACTAAAAGATTTTTGTCTTGTAAAAATGTCTGTTGAACATATTGCATGGCAAAGCCACACCGATCCAAGGAACTGGGAGCAGGACATTTAACTGTAGGAACACTACTCAATACTTTTTTACTAGTTCAATTGTAAGTTCAAAGTTTGGAGATCATATATCAAATATATATTATATAAACATAATATGCTTTCATTGGGTTAGGTATGGTAAAAAAAAAAAAAAAAGATAAAAATATATGAAAAGGACTAATGGTTTCTCTTGAGCCATTAACCTCAGCACCATTTTGAAAAAGGGTAGTTTGTTTTAAGAAATAAACAAAACTTAATTGCGTAGTGACAAGTGATTTATCCTATGCGCAAAAGGAAAAAAAAATGTTTAAAATAGGCATTAAACACTAGCAAGCAGCATACGTGTAAGCAAGCTGGAATATTGTGAAAGGTAGGTCACTATTCAGTCATAGTGTGGAATAATGTGAAACTACTTCCCTGTTCAGTCAGTGTGTGGTATAATGTGAAAGGTCACTGTTCAGTCAGTGTGTGGCATAATGGCAGTGCTGCACCCTCTGGTCAGCTGGAAAAGGTCAGATAGAACCACAGGTCATTCAGGTTCTTGCTTCTGCCAGTTTCCCAACTTTATGGGACAGTCAGTAAAAATGGGTAGGTGTTTGGTCAGGTAAGTGTTGTTGAGTACAAATTTTTGGTCAGACAGTCAATTTATTTTTGTTGAGTACAAATTGTTGGTCAGACAGTCAATTTATTTTTGTTGAGTACAAATTGTTGGTCAGACAGTCAATTTTTGTTGAGTCATGGTGAAGAGAGTTTAGAAGGTTGTCAAACTTGAGCTAACAGAATGAAAAAAAAATTTTGTAAGCAAGTTACAAGGTTTAAAATCATCAAACTTAATTAGGAATGAAATAGGCTATGCTAGTAATAATAAAGCTGTAAGATTATTGAGTTCTAACTCTAGTCAGAAAAAGCCAGTACTACCAAACCAGAGTGCTAAAGGTGAAGCACTTGAGGCTAACAGACTCAAGCTGTGCTGTCAGTTGTATTTTACATGGCTAAACAAAACTTGAAGAAGTTGTCTTGGAAAAGAACACATTGGTATTACAAAAGTGATATATTTTTCTGTAAAGATGGAAATATTTGTGTGATTGCTTGTAGTGTAGGCACTAAAAAGACACTTAATTTTTGTAATCAAGAGCGCAATGGAGTAACATGCAAGTATATTCAAAGCAAGCATAGAAGAAAGGATAAAAAAAAGCCATAGAAACAACATATCAACAACTATCGCCAAGTTTATTGGTTTGAAGAAAATGACAAAGTATTTATTAATAAGCCAAATAAAATATGTATATCCCTTTATTTTCTTAAATTTCACATGACGGGGTCCACAGGAAAGAACAAAGATACTACACCCAATTAGAAGTTACTCATATGTACAATACAATCAAGCAAATAAAAATTGGGACCAGAATTTAGTATCACTAATGGGGGTAAATATGTAATATAAAAAAACAGCAACTACAAAAAGCAAGATGATGAAGCTTTTTTTGATACTACTTCAGCTTCTGTTCCCAATAGCTTCAGTTGATATGTAGCATTAGCATGGATAAAAATTTTTTTTAAAAATGTATGCTTAGTTAAAAAAGAAAGTTTTTCTAAAAACAAAAGTTGAATGCATAATGAAAAGCTAAAGTAACCATCTCATTGGATGACCTTAGCATTGTTTAAACCAAACTTGTATGGGCTTTAACTGAATTTTAATTTGATGGAATCTGTTCCAGAAGATATGAGTGGATGCTGTCAAGAGGGTCAAAGAATGCATATGTTAAATAAGCAAAAGCAGTCAGTACCAAACAAGAGCTAGTTGCTGTGCTAATTTATCATTGGCTAGCCAGTCATGTGATCAATGCTTGACAAACATGCTTTGCAGTACATGGTAGACACTGTGCTGTTTGAAACACATGCTAACACAACTTTGTCCCTATGACCAGTACATGGTAGACACTGTGCTGTTTGAAACACATGCTAACACAACTTTGTCCCTATGACCAGTACTTCTCTAGTTCTAAGTCTCTGTTTTAAAAATATTTCTACTAGCTATAAATCAAATACTTTTAAGATGAGGAACTAACATCAAATGAATACATATGCAGATCTCTAGCAACAGAGCATTTCTTTTCTTTGAAAATATTTTCAATCACTAAAATACTTATCAAGAAACTTCATTAGCTATGGAATGTTAAGTTTTCCTAAAAATTAACTTTAAAAAAATATAAATCTAACTTAATTCATCGACAGCTACTCAATTTCATTTCAAATATTAGGAACTAGCATTTTTATAAGTAACTAGAATACTTATTTAAGCAACTAGAATACTTAATTAGTATAATGAAACAAAGAGCTGAAGAGGAGGGGGGGGGGAGAAGAGATCTTTAACATTATGCCGTTGCGTTGATCATGTTCATGAAAAAAAAAATTAAATAAAAAAGCCTTCAAGCCAAACGTGCAAAGCAAAGAACTAAACGAGCTCCAACATTTGTAGACCCAATCCATTAGGATATTTGTGAGGCCTGACTTGTAGAAAAGAAATGTTAAGCAGTATAAATATATTCTTGTGGACTCTTTCTTATAAAGCTTTGTAGGGAACAAAATAGAGTTCAATCAAAATGAAATCTAAAATGTAACATAGTTACAGATTATGCGCCACCATGCGCAGGTGTTGTGTATATATCAACAGTCTAATTGGTAATTTTGGAATATCAAAGTTATAAATAGAAAAGTAATGCATTTCTCGGTCAACTTGTTGTCGCTATACAATCAAATCACGCAGCATCAATGTGTTCCCATGTAGGGACAGATAGAAAACAATAGTGCTAATAAAACAACTAATGTTAATACATCAACATGGCTCATCCAATCAAAACACAGCTACAAAATTAGTTCCATGGTGATAAAAATAGAGATAAGACATGTACCACTGGAAAAAGAATTGTATATATACACTCATATTTCACCAGCACACTAAGATGACATCAGAATAGAATAAACATAATCATTCATGTATAGAAACAGTGTATAATAATGGAGATAATATTGTCATAATAAACTAACAGTTACCACAAGATGGAAAGATACATTACACCAGCACAATAGTAAATAGACAACTCACCCTAGACAAAGTTGGAATAAAATATCAGAAGAATATGACAAGTATTCATAGTAACAATTCTCTGCAAATTTTAAAAATTTTCTTTTAAAAAACAATATTTGAGCTACAAGTAAATATGCAACTTGATACACTATATAAAGTACAAGTCAGTGGTGATAAAAACATGGAGGAAAATGGATATTAATAGTAGCAGATCCATCCGCAAGGTTATGCCCAAGAATTTTTTACCTCAATACTTCAATTTTTGTGACTAACATTGCAACATATTATTTCCAAATTCTAATTCACAGTTGAAAGTATGCACATTCCAGACCTAATCAATTCAACCAACAGCCGGAGAAAGAAATTTAAAAAGAAATTTCATGAGGCACTGAACAAATTGTCCAAATCAATGAATAAAAACAAGCATCTAACAACAAAGATAAGAAACCTCCAAACACAAATTGAAAAAATAGCCCTTCCCACACTTGAATAGAAAAGAATTTCCTCTTTTGAAATAAACAACCACAATACTTAATAATATAATAGTTTAGGAAACATGGCTACATCAGCATAAAATATCAGTTCTCTGTTACAGACTGATTATGGCTGGTTACTGAGAGTTACTCATATATAGCTTGATTTGATTAGAATAAAAATACATTCCATGAGTACATAGAATAATCAGTTATCTGCTCTTGTAAAAAAAAGTATTTTAAAGGCATCCTAATTTACATGCTACAATGTATTTGACACTAAATTGGGGCACATTTCTTAGTACTAATTGCAAGGATTTTCAAATAGAATAACATGTTTACTTTCGTGCCAAAACTTACTCTACAGAACTACTATCACTACTAAGTATTCATCAAGTTGGTTTCAAAAATGTATATATTGATTCAAACAGGCTACCATACAAGTTGAACTTTAACAGTTAACTCTGATAGGCTCAAAAACATTAGAAAGCCTAATAAAACCATCAGATGAAATCATTAAAAAATAGTCTAACCATCAATCCAACAAAAGAATGGCACAATTATTTGGTTTATAACACTAAATACAATTGGACATTTACAGATTAAAAAGACATCAAGTATAAGAGTATGTGAATGGCCAATGAAAAAAAAACACAAGTTGAGCCTTTCTTTTGTTTGGGGCACTAAGTAGGCTTGGTCATTGAACACCTCCCAGTTGCTGGGGTAGGAAATCAAAGGTACAGCTCAATAACTGAAACAGTGAACAGCTCCCTGCTGCTGGGGTAGGAAATCAAAGGTACAGCTAAATAACTGAAACATTGAACACCTCCCAGTTGCTGGGGTAGGAAATCAAAGGTACAGCTAAATAACTGAAATCAAATGCCAAAGTTTGACAAGTTGTAATTTTGGATTTCATTCTCAGCCAGCAGTAGGGCTAGAGTAGGCTGGAGGGAAGGACCAAGTCAGGTACATGTCAAGGAAAGGTGAGCTCAAAGACCAAGCAAAAATGGAGGGCAAGATGTACATCTGGATACAAAGAATCTTGACATAAGAAAGACTTTGTTGAAAATGGAATTGTTCATATTGATAAATGCACAATTGTGTAACTTGAATGGCTCTAACATTGTCTAGCACTGCTCCTTCACTAAGGTGGACTTGCTGTTGCTGTCTTATACTTGTAAGCTTCAATATGACCACCACCACCACCTAATGTATACCTAACACTAACCCTACATATACATCTACCCCTACAGATACACCTAACTTGAATGTAAAACAATCCCTTAACTACCTCGAAGTGTACAACTACCCCTAGATGTACACATACCCCTACAGATACACCTACACCTAGATGTACACATACCCCTACAGATACACCTAGATGTACACATACCCCTACAGATACACCTACCCCTAGATGTACACATACCCCTACAGATACACCTACCCCTAGATGTACACATACCCCTACAGATACACCTAGATGTACACATACCCCTACAGATACACCTACCCCTAGATGTACACATACCCCTACAGATACACCTAGATGTACACATACCCCTACAGATACACCTACCCCTAGATGTACACATACCCCTACAGATACACCTACCCCTAGATGTACACATACCCCTACAGATACACCTAGATGTACACATACCCCTACAGATACACCTACCCCTAGATGTACACATACCCCTACAGATACACCTAGATGTACACGTACCCCTACAGATACACCTACACCTAGATGTACACATACCCCTACAGATACACCTAGATGTACACGTACCCCTACAGATACACCTACATGTACCCCTAACCTAAGCCCTACATGTCCAGCCACAAGTGAAACAGCAGGTACTCAGACAATTGTTAAGCTGCAGAGACTGGCACTACTCTTGTAAGATTGATATGTTTGATGAGAGGGAGGCCCTCTCTGATGACTTCAACCAGTCAATGCTAGACCACAGAAAACTAATTCAATCCAAGAAATGCATTGCATCAATGCTACAGTACAATCAAATCAATGACATTAAAAAAACAAGAGAATAAAAACCAAATCTGACCCTGATTGGAGGGCTATGGCACTGTGAAAAATGGTGGTCATGCATCTGGTTAAAATACAGGCTAGTAACTAGATCATCAAATGCTCACAAATTATCTAAACACTTAGTAACATTGAGTGCTTAAACACTTATTTAATATTGGATTAACAACCTTCTTTTAGACTATTTTGTAAGTTGAAGGATTTTTCTCAAATCTTCAAGTCTTTTGGACATCAGTCTGCTTTAAAAAAAGAAAAAAGTGCCAAAGACGAATTTTTTTTTAACAAGCCACTGGTCTTAGTGGAGCCTGCCACAAACAGCAAGCTGGGTTGTAGGAATAACAGTGGAGTCTTGTCATGTGACACCAAGATCTTGTCATGTGACCATATCAAGCCAGGTTCATGTGGCACTACTTTTGCTTCAGACAGCTGGTGCTGACAAATGTGATGCTGACACGAGTGCCAACCTGCTGGGATCCAAGCAACAAATTTGTTGACATGAGTGCCAACCTGCTGGGATCCAAGCAACAAATTTGTTGACATGAGTGCCAACCTGCTGGGGACCCAACAAATTTGTTGACATGAGTGCCAACCTGCTGGGGACCCAACAAATTTGTTGACATGAGTGCCAACCTGCTGGGGACCCAACAAATTTGTTGACATGAGTGCCAACCTGCTGGGGACCCAACAAATTTGTTGACATGAGTGCCAACCTGCTGGGGACCCAACAAATTTCTCACATTATCAAAAGAATGAGGGTTGGAGAAAAAAAAATACACCTAAAATATCAGTTTATAAAACTTATCAAACACATTTTATCAAATATATATTGTCAACATTTGGCCTAGGCTAAACATTATCAACATTTGGCCTAGGCTGAACATTGTCAACATTCGGCCTAGGCTGAACATTGTCAACATTTGGCCTAGGCTGAACATTGTCAACATTTGGCCTAGGCTGAACATTGTCAACATTTGGCCTAGGCTGAACATTGTCAACATTCGGCCTAGGCTGAACATTGTCAACATTCTGCCTAGGCTGAACATTGTCAACATTCTGCCTAGGCTGAACATTGTCAACATTTGGCCTAGGCTGAACATTGTCAACATTCGGCCTAGACAAAATATTGACAAGATTGACTAAACATAGTCAACTGAGAACAATGGCCAATATTTAAGTACAACTGAGCCAGTAGTGTTCTAGTAAGTTAGACAACTCTCACATCATATACTCAACAGTTGTAAAAAATATGATCAGACAGCTCCAAATGAGACCCAGGAAATATTGCTAAATCACCAGTCAAGGCACTTACTTTTCTTCTTGGGCCACCCAGACCATGAGCAACTCAAATGTGCATCCAACTCAGCCAAAAAATGTCTCAGTGTGTTTCTGAATGAGAACAACAAGTTGAGGCCAGAGCTGATCTCAGTACAAGTCCAAGCCTGGGTCTCATTTTTCACTGCCTCACCACAAGCTGGTAGAACAAGTTAAAAGCATTCAAACTCTAGACAGTCTAACATTGATTCAGGTCTAATCATACAAGTTGTTTGAAGACTATGAACAAGTCCATGTCATGAAGCTACAGTTTCATGATTCAGCCTTGACCTTGTGAAAGGTGAAGTGCAGCCTGGGAAGGTTATATTTGTATAGACAAACACAGCATCAAGTTACAAAAGTAGTTTCTAATGATGAGATGGTTGAATGAGAATGTACATCTTAAGGCCCAGCGAGTAGAAAGGCCTAAAGTATGCACCATATGGCAGCAGTACCCAGGCTGCAAGTCAGCTAGCTCAAGAGACTGGGACAATGTGGACCACTTGACACAAACACTTGGTGGCCACCTCAGGACCACAGCCAACTCTCAGAGCTTGGCCAGAGAAACTAAGATGGTGGCAGCTCAACAGGAATGTGGTAGTATTTGCAGCGAGAGCGTTTGCAAGTTTGGCGGGTGGCATAATCACGGCAAACTGTCACTTGCCCATTGTTAACTTCTACATAGTCTGAAAGTAAAAAAGATCCATTGTTAACTTTGTCAGTTGTAAGCCAGACTATCCTAGTGAAAACAAATGAGCACTATTTTATCTGCCCCATATGTCATGGTCACTCAATCACTAACGTGGCCCAATGGTAGCACCCAATCACTAACGTGGCCCAATGGTAGCACACAATCACTAAGATGGCCCAATGGTAGCACCCAATCACTAAGATGGCCCAATGGTAGCACACAATCACTAAGATGGCCCAATGGTAGCACCCAATCACTAAGATGGCCCAATGGTAGCACCCAATCACTAACATGGCCCAATGGTAGCACACAATCACTAAGATGGCCCAATGGTAGCACCCAATCACTAAGATGGCCCAATGGTAGCACACAATCACTAAGATGGCCCAATGGTAGCACCCAATCACTAACATGGCCCAATAGTAGCACCCAATCACTAGCGTGGCCCAATGGTAGCACCCAATCACTAAGATGGCCCAATGGTAGCACCCAATCACTAAGATGGCCCAATGGTAGCACCCAATCACTAACATGGCCCAATAGTAGCACCCAATCACTAGCGTGGCCCAATGGTAGCACCCAATCACTAAGATGGCCCAATGGTAGCACCCAATCACTAAGATGGCCCAATGGTAGCACCCAATCACTAACATGGCCCAATGGTAGCACCCAATCACTAACATGGCCCAATGGTAGCACCCAATCACTAAGATGGCCCAATGGTAGCACCCAATCACTAACATGGCCCAATGGTAGCACCCAATCACTAAGATGGCCCAATGGTAGCACCCAATCACTAAGATGGCCCAATGGTAGCACCCAATCACTAACATAGCCCAATGGTAGCACCCAATCACTAACGTGGCCCAATGGTAGCACCCAATCACTAACGTGGCCCAATGGTAGCACCCAATCACTAACATGGCCCAATGGTAGCACACAATCACTAACATGGCCCAATGGTAGCACCCAATCACTAAGATGGCCCAATGGTAGCACCCAATCACTAACATGGCCCAATGGTAGCACCCAATCACTAAGATGGCCCAATGGTAGCACCCAATCACTAAGATGGCCCAATGGTAGCACCCAATCACTAACATAGCCCAATGGTAGCACCCAATCACTAACGTGGCCCAATGGTAGCACCCAATCACTAACGTGGCCCAATGGTAGCACCCAATCACTAACATGGCCCAATGGTAGCACACAATCACTAACATGGCCCAATGGTAGCACCCAATCACTAAGATGGCCCAATGGTAGCACCCAATCACTAAGATGGCCCAATGGTAGCACCCAATCACTAAGATGGCCCAATGGTAGCACCCAATCACTAAGATGGCCCAATGGTAGCACCCAATCACTAAGATGGCCCAATGGTAGCACCCAATCACTAACGTGGCCCAATGGTAGCACCCAATCACTAAGATGGCCCAATGGTAGCACCCAATCACTAACATGGCCCAATGGTAGCACACAATCACTAACATGGCCCAATGGTAGCACACAATCACTAAGATGGCCCAATGGTAGCACCCAATCACTAACGTGGCCCAATGGTAGCACCCAATCACTAAGATGGCCCAATGGTAGCACACAATCACTAAGATGGCCCAATGGTAGCACCCAATCACTAACATTAGTGTTGTGTTCTTTCCGTAGTTTAAACATGTGACATCATTATTTGTCGAAAGTTTCAATGAATAACATCAACATTCTTTGGTTTTGGCCAACTGCCTTTTATATATTTAAAAGAAATTTTTTTAAAAGCCTTTTGAAGAGAATTTTTATGAATCACATTTTCACAACTTTGAACACAAGTGATACACTAGACTTGGATGTCACAAGAATATTGTATCAGTATACCAAGCAGTGGTTCAAAGTACAAAAATTGTGTCAATACCACTTAAAAAGTTTGAAACTTACCCTCAGAAAGATGCACTTGCTTGCAGTAGGGGCTAGAACACTGCCCACTCTTAAAATCTTGGCACACTGGGAGGGTGTCCAGCAACTAGAACCAAAGCATTCAGCCAGCATTAAAACTCTGCACCATGCACATCCAACAACACACAACAACAGACACAAGGGTTAAGGTTACTAGTTCATTATATCAAAGCTACTTTCATGCAGTGCAACATACTAATATAAGCATTGTGTTGATTAAAAAACAACAACCAAATTTGAAACTACCAACAGAAATGTTAACACAAACAATAACAAAGGCTATAAAACCACATCAAACACAACATAAAAAGCAGAGATAGTACAATCCATTGTGTAGTTAGTAGTACAGTTACATTGATAGTACTATGTATAAGATCAAATTGAATAAAGATGGTAGTTAGTATGATGATAACTACTGTTGTTTTTAGTCTGGTCTTTCAAAGGGAAGCATTAGTAGTTTGTAATGGATGGTTAAAAAACAACCTCAATGCATTAGTAGATTAGAAGTGTCATGTTTTTAAAGGCCCATTGATACATTTCTTTGACCTAAATTCATTGGGTCCCTTTTACCTGATATCTCCCTACAACTAAGTCAGATAAATTTCCTCTTCCTTTAAAGCTAACCAAGTACCACTTGCAGCAATCCCCCAATTAATGGAATAGCTGTTCATCTGGAAATATTTTTCATTTCATTGACCAAGTGTTAAAAGCTACTGCTAAAATGTTCTTGTAAAACTGTTTATGGTTGTTATCTTTTTAGCTGGGGTTGCTGATGTGTGGGAGTGTGTCATGTGTGGGAGTGTTGATGTGTGTGTGTCTGATGTGTGGGAACTTGCTGATGTGTGGGAGTGTCTGATGTGTGGGAACTTGCTGATGTGTGTGTCTGATGTGTGGGAGTGCTGATGTGTGTGTGTCTGATGTGTGGGAACTTGCTGATGTGTGGGAACTTGTTGAGGTGAGTGTCTGATGTGTGGGAACTTGTTGAGGTGAGTGTCTGATGTGTGGGAACTTGCTGATGTGTGGGAGTGTCTAATGTGTGGGAACTTGCTGATGTGTGGGAGTGTCTGATGTGTGGGAACTTGCTGATGTGTGGGAACTTGCTGATGTGTGGGAACTTGCTGATGTGTGGGAGTGTCTAATGTGTGGGAACTTGTTGAGGTGAGTGTCTGATGTGTGGGAGTGCTGATGTGTGGAAGTGCTGATGTGTGGGAGTGTCTAATGTGTGGGAACTTGCTGATGTGTGGGAACTTGCTGATGTGTGGGAACTTGCTGATGTGTGGGAACTTGCTGATGTGTGGGAACTTGCTGATGTGTGGGAACTTGCTGATGTGTGGGAACTTGTTGAGGTGTGGGAGTGTCTAATGTGTGGGAACTTGCTGATGTGTGGGAACTTGCTGATGTGTGGGAACTTGCTGATGTGTGGGAACTTGTTGAGGTGTGGGAGTGTCTAATGTGTGGGAACTTGCTGATGTGTGGGAACTTGCTGATGTGTGGGAACTTGCTGATGTGTGGGAACTTGCTGATGTGTGGGAACTTGCTGATGTGTGGGAGTGTCTAATGTGTGGGAACTTGCTGATGTGTGGGAGAGAAAGGAGTGAAGAAAAGAGACATGTTAGTATGGCAAAATACCTGTTTGTTATTTCCAAAATATTCTACAGAGTAAGCATTATGTGGGGTGGTGGGGAGGCGGGCTAGACCACTGGTGGCAGGCAGGCTGCTCAGGGTGCTACTCTGGCTGCTGACAGTGCTGACCGTACTGGACACTGCTGGGGCTACAGTAGGGGAGGTTGAAGGCACTAGGGTCGGTGATAAACTTGTCAATGGTGGAGCAAACATGGCGGGAGTCATGTGACTCAAGCCAGCATCAGAGGGGTAAACATAAGTGTCTGGTGTCATATGACAGGTGCATCCAAATTCAATGGGTTCAAACATATGTCAATAATGGTCATTCACCAAGTTCAATGTTGATTCATCATAAACATAATTAAGTTGAATGTTGATTCATCATACACATAATCAAGTTGAATGTTGATTCATTTCATCATACATATAATCAAGTTGAATGTTGATTCATTTCATCATACACATAATCAAGTTGAATGTTGATTCATCATACACATAATCAAGTTCAATGTTGATTCATCATAAACATAATTAAGTTGAATGTTGATTCATCATACACATAATCAAGTTGAATGTTGATTCATTTCATCATACATATAATCAAGTTGAATGTTGATTCATTTCATCATACACATAATCAAGTTGAATGTTGATTCATCATACACATAATCAAGTTGAATGTTGATTCATCATACACATAATCAAGTTGAATGTTGATTCATCATGCGCGCGAGGATAGCAAAATGAAATATATGTGATGTTGTCAACCAATGTTGGGCCCAGTGGCAAAAGGAAAGCACAATGGCATGCAGCAAGCACATGGTGAGAACAAAGAGGAAGTAAAAAAAAAACATCAGGCACAAAAGATAATGGAACTAAAAGAGAAAAAATGGCTGTCAAATAAAAAGTACATAATCACTAACCAAACCAATCAAGTAGCTTCCATCAATGATGTCATCTTTTAAATTGGGGAGGGGGTGTGTGTTCAGCAAATGTTTTTGATGGGGATCAAGCCAACCATGTTATGACACTGGACACTTTCATTGAATGACACTATGGTAATGTATGACGTTGGGCAATGTATGATGTTGGGCAATGTATGATGTAGGGCAATGTATGATGTTGGGCGATGTATGACGTTGGGCGATGTATGACGTTGGGCAATGTATGACGTTGGGCAATGTATGACGTTGGGCAATGTATGACGTTGGGCAATGTATGACGTTGGGCAATGTATGACGTTGGGCAATGTATGACGTTGGGCAATGTATGACGTTGGGCAATGTATGACGTTGGGCAATGTATGACGTTGGGCAATGTATGACGTTGGGCAATGTATGACGTTGGGCAATGTATGACGTTGGGCAATGTATGACGTAGGGCTATGTATGACGTTGGGCGATGTATGACGTTGGGCGATGTATGACGTTGGGCAATGTATGACGTTGGGCAATGTATGACGTTGGGCAATGTATGACGTTGGGCAATGTATGACGTTGGGCAATGTATGACGTTGGGCAATGTATGACGTTGGGCAATGTATGACGTTGGGCAATGTATGACGTTGGGCAATGTATGACGTTGGGCAATGTATGACGTTGGGCAATGTATGACGTTGGGCAATGTATGACGTAGGGCTATGTATGACGTTGGGCGATGTATGACGTTGGGCGATGTATGACGTTGGGCAATGTATGACGTTGGGCAATGTATGACGTTGGGCAATGTATGACGTTGGGCAATGTATGACGTTGGGCAATGTATGACGTTGGGCAATGTATGACGTTGGGCAATGTATGACGTTGGGCAATGTATGACGTTGGGCAATGTATGACGTTGGGCAATGTATGACGTAGGGCAATGTATGACGTTGGGCAATGTATGATGTTGGGCAATGTATGACGTTGGGTAATGTATGACGTTGGGCAATGTATGACGTTGGGAAATGTATGACGTTGGGAAATGTATGACAATGGACAATATGATACAATATGATACATTGACTGACATAGAGTGACAGTATCATCAAAGGGTGACTATCTGAGCAAAAGCGAACTAGGTAAAATCTTTTTAAAAATTATATGACATCATATTCAGAAGCCACCTAAGCATGTCAGTAAATCGTTGCAGTACAAAGCTAATTAATCCATTATTAATTAGTATCAGGTGGAAGCATATCACTCAAAGATTTTAAGAACTGAATAATTGAGTAAATAATTTCCATGCTTGAAAAGAGAAATTGTTGTTTTTTTTTAAAGTTGAGCATGGAGTGGATCAATGCTTCCACATGAGACCAACAAGCAAGCTATTATTAAAAAACCAATGGGTTAAGTTGAGTGATGCAACACACAACAACAATAATAATACAATTAGAGTATCCAAATAAACAAACTTAATTCAAACAATAATCAAATTGTAAATGCTATCAATTCACCTTAAGGGTTAGATACTATGTATAAGTACCAACGAATTAAACAAACTAACAAACAAGTTTTGAATAGTTACCTAGGGTTCAAGTCAAGTGTTGGAATAAAAAGATGAGTGTGTAAAAAAGTGTGAGCAACTTACAGGACATGGGGATATAGGATGGCTGCTGGAGCTGCAGCAGTGATGTGTGTTGTAGGGGGGCCATCAGCTGGCTGCTCTGGTACACAGGGATGCCCCCTTTGTTCATGTCTCCAATGGCTATCCTCTTGTAGGCTGGCATCATGCCAGGTATGGCACTTTGCTGTGTGGACAACCAACAGGAGGAGATGGTGAACATGGTGTCACATGGTGGTGTCACATGGTGGTGTCACATGGTGGTGTCACAAGGTGGTGTCACAAGGTGGTGGCACATGGTGGTGGCACATGATGAGGCATGACAGCACATGTCCAAGGTGGCAAGTCACAGGAGAAGAAAGAGAAAAAAACAATTAATCAGTCAATTGTTAACTTGAAATACATTTGGAACAAACATTTGCAAAAGACTGGACATATACAAACAAAAACAAGGGAAAACATGGATGTGATCTGTCAGTGCTTGGTTTAGTGTCAAGGAAAGACACAACTTGCAGTAGTGCACAAGGTGGAGAACATATTGGAGTCAAGTGTAGTAGATAGAAATGTGTACATCATTAGTAATGAAGCTATGAACTGTTTCAACTTGCAAGTTGTGACTTTCCCTGGGGCTGAACAATGGATGGACTGGTTGAATGCTTTGGTTTGGAGCACACAAGTTTTCTCCTGAATCAGTGAGCATGCCCAGGAAACATAACTCTGTTCTGGTAATCAATCTATGTGGGGAGGGGGGGGGGGGGGGTCATAGTTCAAGTGATCTCTACCCATTCCCTTGTCTCATACTTTGACTTCCTTACATCAATTATTAGCAACAAATCTTTGAAATGTCAAGAAAATATATTTGATAATAAAAAAAAAAAAAAGAAATAAAGGCAAGCCAAACTACTACAACAAGCTTATGTGGGCATGATATAAAAAAGTGTTTTGTGTTGGTAGGCCCAGCTCCATACAGAGTTATGATAACTTCACAAACATCCAAATATTGCTAATTGCATTCCAAGGGCAAATGGAGGAAAGTTTGTAAGAATTTGGGATGAATACATTGAAGCATATGCAGCATATGCAGGGAGAGTGAGAGTGGTAGTAGCCTTGATTTGTTTGTTTGTGTGGGACAGAAACAAATACCACCTGATCAACAACGCATGTCTAGAAACAAGTGACATAACACAGAATGCTTGGGTACACAAATATCAGTACCATAAATGTCTCAAATGGCATTCATAGAGAGCTTTGTACCAGTCATTAATAGCCAGCTAAATGCTTCTAAAACACTGCTAATTCAGCAAAGTTTACAATAAACATAGATTCTAAAATAAATCAATAAAAATGAATAGAATTAAAATATAGTTTCTACAGAAAGCATTTGTCTTCTAAGCAAGTAGCACACTTTAAAGCTGTCATGCAAGTGACACCAACAGTATCTGAGGCGGTCATTTAAAAAAATGTGGAGGAACAAAGGAAAGTGCTGCACTTAATGGAGGACAGTCAGCTTAGGTCCTTCATTATAAATTTGCTGAGGTGGGGGAAATGACATCAATTTGAAAAAAAAAGTTAATTTGCTTAGATTGAAAATGGTAGGAAAGCTCTCTATGAGCCACATGCAAAGCATGGTGGGATATACGTGATGTACCAGAAGTAGGTCGTCTGTGGGGTCACGCGCTCTCTTCTTGGCTAACACCAATTGGTGTGGCAGGGTGGCAGCACTCGTTGGCTAATTAGTGTAGTGGTAGTAGAAACAGCACATTTGTTTGGTCGACCCAACATATTTGAAAAGATGTCGCAGGAGCACAAAGGGAGGTCAGCAGTACAGAGACAACACAAGCAGCAAGCCAGGCATTGACGGGTGATGAAAATAAAAAAAAAGGCACCATCCATATAATAGAATGTCATCATGCATTTTATGAGAATAATAGAGATCTCATCAAGAAATGAATGATTAGTTTTTTTAAAATAGCTTGTGCTCCGGTCTTGGTAGCTAAAAGTAAACAAAACAATGTGCACCTCTTATAGGGTATTAATAAATGGGTGAAAGTTTTCAGTCTAATTGTGGAAACTTCATTTTGATAAGTAGCATTAGACATTAAAACCCACAAAAGGGCTTGTTCTTACATTTGCATTCATTAATTTCAATTTCTTATTAAGAAAATTATTTCAAAATTTCAATTAGACTTTTCTCAAAATAAAAAGAACTGGGTTCCATCTTGGGAATCAGTGAAGAAAAAAAGACATTTGTATGACATTCTTGTTTGTTAGCAGAGACACGTCTACTTGAAATAAAGCATTGTTAATTCATAGTTTATAAAAAGCTTTTTTTTAATGCCCCTGCACCTTTGTGTCTAGACTCAATGGCAAATAAAAGGGAGATAACCAACAGGAGAATCAAATGAGAATTCATCTCAGCTTCAGTTAACTTATAAAAGATGTGACTCATTGTCTAGTTTCTATCCCAAACATTTGCATCAAGTGAGTAAAAAATGTAAATGTCAGTCTTTCATTCCCACTGTTAAATCCCAGATGCTATGTATAATGCTACACAATCATTTCATTTGCCATAATGGACTTTGAACTGAACAAAAATAGGCAACACATACCACAAAATCTGGCCAGGGCAGTGTTTTATAAAGGATTAATCTAAACCAATGCAGCACTAAACAGACAATGAGTCCTCTTACAGACATTGTGGCTTAAGTGGTTTCAAAGAAAAATAATTGGAATAATAAAAAAAAAACACAAGTTAACTGGCTAAAGCTGTGTACTGGTCAAGGTGGTCATGCATGCCTTGTTACACATGAGCAAATCTGATGCTAACACAGTTGACACTGTGCCATCCATCAGAGTCACTGCCAGTATTAAATAGCTTTCATTGCTTGTAGAATGAGTCTGTGATAAAAATGCGTTGATTGAGTTAAAGCAGTTGACAGCAAGCGAGTTGAACTGGCATAAAGTTCAAAGAGTGACTACATAACAATCAAAGATTAGAATAAAATGTAGGCCAAAGGCAATCAATTAAATAAAAGCTCAGAATCAAGAATATACAGTGGATAAGTAATAGCTGTCAATGGTTAGAAAATCTGTGAATCCCTACAACTTGTGTGGATACAAAAAAAAAACAGAAGCAGCAGGACTTAGAGTAGCCATGTACTGAAAAAATATGGAGCTACAAAGTTGAAGTTGTAAAGCTAAAACCACAAGCTGGCAAACTACAACACATACAAGTACCACAGGAAGAGTAGAGTTACTCCCCAGGAAATGGGTAGATACAATGGAAATATTCTCACACAAGTGTGTGGGCATAGCTGCGGAGAATACCCATTCATGGCAAATAGTTCCCTAGAGGTATTTTCTTCTAAGAAAAGTTATGTGACATGGTTATGTGTATGTCAGTGTGGAAAAACAAAACACACAAAAATCGGAACTGTCAACAGGGCAAATATAAATGATACACACAAAAAACAGTATGACCAAAGTGGAATGACATAATAATGCATGCCTATTTTTGTCCATTAGTCCAGACAAAATCAAGTAAGCAAACATGAATGAATACCATAGGAAGTTGGCTTAAAAAAACAAGAGAAAAAAGCTTCTCATCTGGTTAAAAAAGAAACAAGTAAGTGACATAAAACAGTTGCAATCAGGGCAGATGTGCCAGAGCACTCTTCAATTTCTAGAAACAAAATATTCAAGATAAACTGTTACATTTAAATAATGTTCTTTGGAGATGTGAAATGTTTGGCAATCTTAATTTTTTTAGATCTAGTCTATCTTGTGAGCGTGAGAGAAAAGCAGGCATGCTCAATAATTGCCCTCCATATGATGATCTCCAGACCTGCAGAGAAACTTGACATTATTAAACCAATAGTGTGCACAATGGGATCTTTTCACTTTCTAACATGTTGAGTATTTGAGAATTTGTCTTTCTGATCAATGGCTAGCTGAAATTTGGAACAAAAGATAATGAAAAGTCTGTTGAAGCTGTTTTACTGCTCCACAAAACCAAGGACTGAGCTAAAACCTAAGGGATGTTTTGGACATGAGAACAAATGCATGCCACCATTAGATCAGAAAGACATTGCGGCATTTCAAACCAAACAACATGAGAAGCAAAGATATATAAAACCAAAAACTAAGTGCACATTATTGGCTTGTGTTAATAAGAAATTATGATTTGAAGCAAGTCATGATAAAAAACTTGATGTGACTAGAACGAGTCTGGCTAGTGATGCCACAGGCAGGCAGATGGGCCTGTAAGGAGCAAATGTACCTGGAGCATCTGCTCTGCTTCCAGCCAAGACAGGGGTCATGGAGAATGCTTCCATCTAACCATTCTCTCACTACTGCAGTCAGGCTAAACCCAGATCTAAATTATTTCTTTTTCTAATCTCTTTTCAATTAGTTGCTCGGGAGCATTCTACATCACAGGCTAGAAGGATAAAAATTCTCTGTCTGTCTCTCATTTTGTTAACTCTGAATTATTTCATCACTGAATTCTTATTGGGTCAATGTCAATCTTAGATTAAGTTTGTTGCAATGGGTGGGTAAGTCTGGTTACAATCATGGGCAACTACTGTGTAATGGGGGCAAAAGGATTTATAACTTGTTTTGAACATTTTTTATAAATTAAAAAAAAGATAAATGATGAGTTAATTAAAAAAAAAGTTTTCAAATCCTTGAGGTTGTTAAGGTGTGTGAAGTTATGTGGTGGATGAGGTTGGAACACACAAAGCATCAAGCAGTAGTCACAGAGACACAACATTGACTCAGCTCCGGGTGCAGCCCAACATTCAGGTTTATAATCATCCATTCAAGCAGCATCTAGATCTAACATTCCTGCTGGGGGGGGGGGGGGGGGGGGACGCCTGAGGGGACAAATTCTGGATCTAACATTCCTGCTGGGGGGGGGGGGGGGGGGGGGGACGCCTGAGGGGACAAATTCTGGATCTAACATTCCTGCTGGGGGGGGGGGACGGACGCCTGAGGGGACAAATTCTGGATCTAACATTCCTGCTGGGGGGACTGAGGGGGGGGGGGGGGGGGGGGATGACTGACTGAGGGGACAAATTCTGGATCTAACATTCCTGCTTGGGGGGGGGGGGGGGGGGGGGACGCCTGAGGGGACAAATTCTGGATCTAACATTCCTGCTGGGGGGACTGAGGGGGGGGGGGGGGGGGGATGACTGACTGAGGGGACAAATTCTGGATCTAACATTCCTGCTTGGGGGGGGGGGGGGGGGGGACAACTGAGGGGACAAATTCTGGATCTAACATTCCTGCTGGGGGGACTGAGGGGGGGGGGGGGGACTGAGGGGGGGGGGACTGAGGGGGGGGGGGGGACTGAGGGGGGGGGGGACTGAGGGGGGGGGGGACTGAGGGGGGGGGGGGGAACTGAGGGAGTGACTTATAGATCTAACATTCCTGCTGGGGAGGACTGGGGGACACGGGGGGGACTGGGGGGACACTGGGGGGGGGGGGGGGGACAACGGGGATGATGACTGAGGGAACAACTGGATCTAACATTCCTGCTGGGGGGATGGACAACTTGTGGAGACTTACTTTTAAGTACTTAAACTAGAATTATTTACTATTAATTTTAAATGAATGGTTCTATATATCTTATATATTTAAACTTGATCAGGGCTAAAAAAAAAACAAAAAAACCAAGGTTTGGGTATAACCACAGGATCATGTGACATTTTTAATCTTATGAGCTATTTAGGTGATTCTTGCACTCTAATACTTGTCTAGGGTGGGGGTGATAGAGGGTCTCAGTGCTAAATGTTAACTAAAGCACAGATATGTTTGTGAAACAATCAAACACACCAACACTGGATAACTGCAGCTTATTCAGATGCCATGCTCTACAGTTATATATATATATATAAAAAAAACAAAGCTTAAAATATATGATACACAATCCATGGATTAAAACAGTACACATTGGTATAGAAGTATTGCAGCAAGCAGAGGAGCTGGGATTCTTTGTAAGTTTTAAGTAGACAGGGTTTTCCCCATTTAAAAATAAGTATACAGGATTTTCCCCATTTAAAAAAATGTGTATATCTCCCAGATGATCCTAGATCTAGGAATCAAATTTAGCCTGGAGACCCTCCACACCACTCAGATGAAACCAACATCAACAGGACACACTCTCAAACAAAACAAAAGACAAAGCCCAACTTGCTGGAGCTTTTGGTTGAACAAAAAGATAAAAGGCAAACTAAAGCTGCAGAGCGGAGGGTGGAGATTACAATGTGGGTTATCTTGCTTCCTAAAGAGGAGAGTTGCAGAGTGACTTATCCATTGGTGTCTACTTCACACACAACTAGAGGCTCAAAATAAGCTACAAGTTTTCAATCTGTTATTATTAGACTTTGCTGACAGGTTTTTTAAAATTAAAATGATCTAGGCTAAAAAAGTGGTGCCCTAATAGGTTAGTGTTGAAATGTTTTGCAGGGACATAACTTAAACAGTAATGAAAAACAGACAGAGAGTTCTATGAGACAGTGTGCCACTCTGGGATTTAACACTAGAAAGTTTGGGCTCATTTGAGAGTAGTTTGAGTGGTTTAGATAGTAGCACACTCTCTCCTACAGCCTACCAGTGCCTGGCTGTTAGAATTATTGGAGGCCTGGTTGCGAGCATGAGCAGCGCGGACCAGAGCCTGCAGGTGGCTGGGCGGATGGAAGTATTTACACAGGTCCCGGGTACACTTGCTCTTTATAAAGTCCATACAGACTGTCACGTGGTTGTCTGTGGCATCAACTACAATGTGCTCAGCTGGGTGGGCATAGCGACACTCTGAAGTGGCACGCGAGCATGTGCCTCGCTGGAACTCACGACATACCTAGAAAAATAGAAAAGAATTCAACAATAAGTCATGCCCGCTTAAAATTCTTGTGACATTACATTTGCAATATTTACTGTCAATATTTCCTTATGTATTTGTAGTTGCTTACAGTATTTGAATGAAGAAAATTCTTCAAATTCTTTTTGATACATTATTTGTTTTCATGTGTCTTGTTTAGCTTTAGCACTGTTAGCATATTTTATTTCCTCAATCATAAACTTCTTCTATTGGTTCCAGACTACCTTTTTATCACTAGTTCAAATCTAATGGTCACTTTTTGATTGTCTCTAGTACAAATCTAATGGTCACTTTTTGATTGTCTCTAGTACCAATCTAATGGTCACTTTTTGATTGTCTCTAGTACAAATCTAATGGTCACTTTTTGATTGTCTCTAGTTCAAATCTAATGGTCACTTTTTGATTGTCTCTAGTACAAATCTAATGGTCAGTTTTTGATTGTCTCTAGTACAAATCTCATGGTCACTTTTTGATTGTCTCTAGTTCAAATCTAATGGTCACTTTTTGATTGTCTCTAGTACCAATCTAATGGTCACTTTTTGATTGTCTCTAGTACAAATCTAATGGTCACTTTTTGATTGTCTCTAGTACAAATCTAATGGTCACTTTTTGATTGTCTCTAGTACAAATCTAATGGTCACTTTTTGATTGTCTCTAGTACCAATCTAATGGTCACTTTTTGATTGTCTCTAGTACAAATCTAATGGTCAGTTTTTGATTGTCTCTAGTACAAATCTCATGGTCACTTTTTTATTATCTCTAGTACAAATCTAATGGTCACTTTTTGATTGTCTCTAGTACCAATCTAATGGTCACTTTTTGATTGTCTCTAGTACAAATCTAATGGTCACTTTTTGATTGTCTCTAGTACCAATCTAATGGTCACTTTTTGATTGTCTCTAGTACAAATCTAATGGTCAGTTTTTGATTGTCTCTAGTACAAATCTTATGGTCACTTTTTGATTGTCTCTAGTTCAAATCTAATGGTCACTTTTTGATTGTCTCTAGTACCAATCTAATGGTCACTTTTTGATTGTCTCTAGTACAAATCTAATGGTCAGTTTTTGATTGTCTCTAGTACAAATCTCATGGTCACTTTTTGATTGTCTCTAGTTCAAATCTAATGGTCACTTTTTGATTGTCTCTAGTACCAATCTAATGGTCACTTTTTGATTGTCTCTAGTACAAATCTAATGGTCAGTTTTTGATTGTCTCTAGTACAAATCTCATGGTCACTTTTTGATTGTCTCTAGTACCAATCTAATGGTCACTTTTTGATTGTCTCTAGTACAAATCTAATGGTCACTTTTTGATTGTCTCTAGTACAAATCTAATGGTCACTTTTTGATTGTCTCTAGTACCAATCTAATGGTCACTTTTTGATTGTCTCTAGTACAAATCTAATGGTCACTTTTTGATTGTCTCTAGTACCAATCTAATGGTCACTTTTTGATTGTCTCTAGTACAAATCTAATGGTCACTTTTTGATTGTCTCTAGTACAAATCTAATGGTCACTTTTTGATTGTCTCTAATACCAATCTAATGGTCACTTTTTGATTGTCTCTAGTACAAATCTAATGGTCACTTTTTGATTGTCTCTAGTACAAATCTAATGGTCACTTTTTGATTGTCTCTAGTACAAATCTAATGGTCACTTTTTGATTGTCTCTAGTTCAAATCTAATGGTCACTTTTTGATTGTCTCTAATACAAATCTAATGGTCACTTTTTGATTGTCTCTAGTACAAATCTAAAGGTCACTTTTTGATTGTCTCTAGTACAAATCTAATGGTCACTTTTTGATTGTCTCTAGTACAAATCTAATGGTCACTTTTTGATTGTCTCTAATTAAAATCTTTCTAATTATTGACTGTCAAATCAATCTTGATTAAATTTGTAATCCTTTAACTGCACGACTTGTGATTATCTAAACTCTAGTTTTGGTTGTACTATTGTCCTTCTATTTTGTCTTACCTGTCTGTTTGAAACACTTCCGACATGTTTCAGACAATTAGCAGTACACATTACATAGAGATGTGTATGTGAACCTACACATTACACTTAAATGTGTATGTATACATTATGTTTAGATGTATAAATACACATTAAGTTTAGATGTACACGTATACATTGTTTTTTTTTAATTATTATTATTATTTAAGCTTGTAGAAAAAAACCAAGTAACAGATGTAAGGACCTATATCAATATAAAAAATTAACTCCCATCTTTAGACTATTTCAACAGTCAAATCTTAGCTACCTAAACCTCTTAAACCACTGGAATCTTGAATACCTACATGTATAACACATTTAGGTACTCAAGATTAGATTCCAGTAATTCTACCTAGGCAGAAATGGTTTTCATTTCTCTTGTACCCATAGTTTCATAAAAGAATCTACAATTGTGAATTAAACAGTATGATAATAAAATAAAATATATATTTATACATGTATGTATAAAAAAATCATATATATATATATATATATATATATATATATATATATATATATATATATATATATATATATATATATATATATATATATATATGAAAAGAGAATGGCTAAACATGTTTAGATGAAAGAATTTACCATGCAAACCAAAGCATCACAACAAAAGACAGCATGCACAAAGCTAAGTAAAGCCATGGAATGCTTCAACCATTTACCATCTCATTTTCAAACATTACATCCGAATAGATGATCATATGGTTGTGCTGACAGTCATTTTAAAATGTTAGACTAAGTTAAGGATTTTCAAACATTGTATCTTTTTAAAATAATAAAAGTTGGAAAAAAGAAGTTTTTGTTCATGTTTAAGAGCCATTCACTAAGTGAAACTGTATTTATAAAATAAAATTGTTAACATGCAAATGCATAAGCTGTGAAGTTAACTAATGTGTAATTGCAGTTAAAAAAAACAATAGCTCTTCTGATGATGAAAAAGGGAAATAATTGATGAATGGAGGGGAACTAACCTGAGGAATATAAGTGGGGAAACTATAAGTGTCCACCAAAGGTGCATGGGACGTCACAGATTCACCATTTTCTGAAGTTGTCTAGGGAAGGATACAACAAGCACATCAAAACATACAACAGCCATTGGTTAGTTTGTAGTTCACACTATTAGTTTACACAGCAGATCTAGCATTTTTATAATCAGAAAACCAACAAATCTGGCATTATCCTAGGTGACTTTTAAAAACATTTTTTGAATAAACATGGGGATTGACATGAATACATGTCTCTTTAATTGTAAAAACTACAAACTAAGAAAATTTTATAATTTTATAAAATGTATCTAAAAATCTGGAATTATCCTAGGTGACTTTTAAAAACATTTTTTGAATTAACACGGAGATTGACATGAATACATATCTCTTTAATTGTAAAAACTACAAACTAAGAAAATTTTATAATTTTATAAAATGTATCTAAAAATCTGGAATTATCCTAGGTGACTTTTAAAAACATTTTTTGAATAAACATGGGGATTGACATGAATACATGTTTCTTTAATTGTAAAAACTACAAACTAAGAAAATTTTATAATTTTATAAAATGTATCTAAAAATCTGGAATTATCCTAGGTGACTTTTAAAAACATTTTTTGAATTAACACGGAGATTGACATGAATACATGTCTCTTTAATTGTAAAAAGTACAAACTAAGAAAATTTTATAATTTCTATTATAAAATGTATATAAAAATAATTATTGAAGTACCAGAATGAAAACAAAGTGGCTCCCTCAATAATTGAATAGAAAAATCTAACGAAATGGCTCATTAATAAACTTTTTACAAAAGATTGCACATGTCTATATGAAACTGAGGGTGGCAAGAAAATCTATCAGTTTAAAATGTATTCTGCTGAGTACCAAGTGAAATTATCTGTGTACAGATTCAAAGCTTGTGCTTCTTCAAACAAATTCTGGGACAATAAACTCATTTAAAAAGAAAAAAATCCCAAGATATTTTTTTTTACATCAAAATATTCTTGTCCATTTGATTAAATTTACTCTCTGCACTCAATTTCGAATGTTTTTAATTCTAAATTCACTTCTTCATTAAAAAAAAAAATAACTAGTAATTCCTCCAATTTAATTAGGGATCATTTAAGTAATAAGTAATAAATAACTAGTATCCACTTACATTACCCCATCAGTAATCAGCAACAGATTGTTACTAACTAGTAACTGTTGTAAAAAACTGTTTCTAGTCAATGTTTAGCCATGATTTAAATAGTCTAAGCCCTGGCCATGATTGAAATAGTCTAAGCCCTGGCCAACACAATGACAACAAGAACAGCATGCTTGAACAGAGTGTTTTGTGCCATGTGCATGAAACCAGCATGGGAAACCTAAGAGAAAAAACCTAGAAAAAGGATGATGGTTGACAACCTCACTGTTTGCCTGATGCAGCCACCAAGGCGCGTACCACATCCTGGTTGGTTCCTCACCTCCCTAACACAAGAGGACAAGGGATAGTATTCAGCATGGAAAAATATGGCTTCTTACACTTATTAAAGGCATACTCCACAAAGATTCTAATACAAAACTCAATGTGGAGTCATTAGAAATGAATTAGTTAAATAAATAGTTTTAATTACTGAATACAGAATAAAAATTTAACTTGTATATTCTTAAGGTAAAACATTACTTTATCTTGAATGATTTAATTATATTAAAAGTTTGAGTGAAGTAACTGCATAATTCTGCCTTGATTTTAAAATGTTGAAAAAAATGTGTAATGAAGGAGAAAAAAACACTTATTATCAGCCAGTAATGAGAAACTAGTGCTGGTTTCAGGCATGATGTTCAACTAACCTAGACATGCTTCAACAGCAAATATGACAACACTTAATACAAGTGGCTTAAGGGTCATGCAGAGAAGAGCCCACAATGATGGAAAGAAATTTCATGTCAGACAATGTCTTCATTACATTCTCTGATCATGTCCTATGTCTGACTACTAGCAATGCTAAAGCACTGTTATTGTTGACTACAATCTGATTCAAAGCACTTTGAATTATAGTATGTGTACCGAAATAAAGCTTTCAAATTTTAAGTTGAAACAGGGACAAAAAGCAGATGACAATATATAAATTCCATTGAAAGTTTGTATGGCGCCATCAAATCCCAAAATGAAATGTACAGAGTAAATATTTCAAAAGCAAACTACAACACATATCCAGCAAGAGTTATCTAGCAATAAAGCAAGTGTGGCCGTACCTCAAATTTGTCTGCCCTAATGGCTTTGGTTGTTGTGGGAATCAAGTTGGGTGGCAGAGCTTGAGACATGGTACCATCAGCGCTGGTTTGCATGGCAACAGAAGCCAAAGATGTGGCAATGAAAGGGTTGTAGCTGGTGGCTGAAGCTTGGGCAGGGACGGCAGAGATTGTTTGCAGGCCAGGATAGTGGGTCTGTGGAGACACATAGCACATTTTAAACAGGGATGGCATGATGAAAACACGACATACAGATGGCATACTTTAACATGGGCTAACAATGGCAGGGTGTAACCATGACATTTTCTTGGAGGACTGAAACCTTCTGGGCTCAAATGATCAGCCATGCAAGCTGGCTACTAAGGTCTGGATGGACTCAGTGTCAGCATGTATACAAAAATAGAATCTGGGATGCTCTGAATGCCTGGCAAAAATAAGCATTGACAGTGGCATGCGTCAATCAATAATGAATAGCTAAGCACATGCTCCTGGGCTGAGCATACGGGTTATGTTACTGCAATCAAGCACATGAGCAAACAGCCAAATATTAGACACCAAAGCATTGTTACTACTCACTTAACATTTACTCAAGAGATGTTTAAAGAAGATTTTTTTAAAATTAAGTTTTAATGACTTTATTGAAATATTAAAACATGGAAATGAAATCTACATGTATACCACATTGAAAGCTATATATGAAGTAATTATATTGGCAATCTAAGCTAAGCTTACAGCATCATAAGGGGAATGAGTGGCAGCAGTTGCTTGTTGAAGAGTGGGTGGTCTCAAGATGGTCTGGGGGTGTGTCTGTGAACTGTGGGCCTACAAACACATAAACACCAGTCAAAGGCACATACATAGAGAAAAGCCTCATGCCAACAAGTAACACACATTTCTAGGAAAACAAGTCTCAGCTTGAGAAAAAGTTTTTTAAAAATCAATTGCTCCTGATCAATCAGAATTTTTACTGCAACTATGTATATTTTTTTTTTTTTTGGATGAAAATATAATTGATTTAAATATGCTCATACGCGCTAGAAAAGAAATTTCTGATCATCATTTGGAAATATTCTTACTATATACTTACAAGTAAGGAACAATTCTGTGTCAGTGATTTTGTTTTAAGTCATCAATTTTTAAAGAGTAAGATGTATATGTATTCACCTGCTACTTTTAAATGTAGCTTGAAAAATAATAGCAGAAAAATGGAAAAACTTTGAGAAAAAAATTATAATCACTCATTTCTTTTATTGGTATACGTACAGTAACAAGTTAGTAAAGCAAGCATTTGTCACTTCAACTGCTAGTAGAACTACATTTAATTAGAGAGGTGTTCCATTGTTAAAAACATGTTGAAAAGAATTGGTAAAAAACATAGTTTCACCAGATAATGAATTGCTTCACAGATCAAACTTCAATTGGACATTTGAAACAAAAAATAATTATCTTTGAGCAGCATGCTTTATATTAAATGCAGATTGCAGGAAAGCAAAAAATAAATAAATAAATAAATAAAAGAAAAACAACTATTTTTTACATCACTGTTGAGAAAAGCCAATGAGACAAACATGAAATATAAATCAAATGTAGCTAAAAATAAAAGAGCTCAACTTATTAAAGAATTTGAACCTGTACCAACTGGTTACTTTACAAAGCTGTGATCTTGACTTAATGCTAAAGGAGGTTTATATTTACACAGTGTAGATCAATTCATTTCCTTCCTGTTTCATTATGGCAAGTTTGCTACAACAAGATCATTCATTTTAGAGAAACTTCTCATCCCTTTGTTAAACTACTATTGGCCAGTCTGGGGTCACAACTTTTGTACCTTCCCTGTTCTATCATTTAGGTCAATGGCTAAATATAAAAATTAGGTTTAAAACAATGTTTGATTGCCTCATATTAGGTAGAAACAAAATGGTTCTATCATTTAGGTCAATGGCTAAATATAAAAATTAGGTTTAAAACAATGTTTGATTGCCTCATATTAGATAGAAACAAAATGGTTCTATCATTTAGGTCAATGGCTAAATATAAAAATTAGGTTTAAAACACTGTTTGATTGCCTCATATTAGATAGAAACAAAATGGTTCTATCATTTAGGTCAATGGCTAAATATAAAAATTAGGTTTAAAACAATGTTTGATTGCCTCATATTAGATAGAAACAAAATGGTTCTATCATTTAGGTCAATGGCTAAATATAAAAATTAGGTTTAAAACAATGTTTGATTGCCTCATATTAGATAGAAACAAAATGGTTCTATCATTTAGGTCAATGGCTAAATATAAAAATTAGGTTTAAAACAATGTTTGATTGCCTCATATTAGATAGAAACAAAATGGTTTACACAGCCAGAATGTGCCAAATTGGATACATGGAAGTTATTTATTAGTTATTCTAAACAAAATCTACAAAACATAAAAAAAAAGCAGACAGACACTCCATAGAATAAGTGTAAAACAAAAAGCAACTGACCAAGTATGAGTACTGTCCAGGCAAGACGGCAGGTACAGCTACAGTCTTTGGTCCCGCCTCATAGGCCAAAAAAAAAAACATGCAAGTCAATTAGTAGCTCACACAGGCATACAGGGAGCTTAACAAAAGGCTTTAGCATTAACTAGTCAAACATGTTAGTTCATTGATTCATATTTTCATTCATTAATCAACCCTACATTTCTTTGTTGTTTTTTTTTAAATATGTTTTTAAACAAATGTCCTATAACAAATTACTGAGCTATTTGCAAACATTTTCAAAAATGAATTTTCTGCCTCTTATGTTTGTTTCTAATGTAAAACTATTTATGGCTAGAGAAAAAAAAAGTTTTTTTTTTCAAGGGCATTTCCATAAATATGCTGTTTTAGCAGATTTTACACCATCCTATTGTAGGGTTAGCACAAATTCCTATCCCAAACCACCAGTTTATCAGTTTTACTCCACATGTATAACAACCAAATTTTTATAAAAGTGAGGTTGTTTTATATGATTGTTATTTTATGAGATACTATTTTTAAGTGATGTCACATTACCACCCCCCAATCCAGTTGCAGTGTCACAAATCAGCCCTCCATACTAAACTGCATGGCTATATTTATGGACAGCCGCAGGTGATTAGGAAATTTGAACTGATAAACAAAATAATAAATGTGAAAATTCTAACAGTCTAGAACCCAAAATGTGAGATGACTGCATAAGAAAGGTTAGAGCCACTAGAAAAATCACACTCTTGCTAAGATTGTTGTCGCATACGGTTCTAGATAAAACTTTTCACATTAAAATTTATGAAAGCTAAAAGAAAATTAAATTTAAAAAGCTAATAATGCTAAAGTTATTGTTTAATACAAAAAAGTAGATTGAAAATTTTTATATAGATATTTAGCTGAAAGATTGTTATTATGATGATAAGACTTGTGGCTCAGTTTTAAAATATGGCAAAAATATTCTTTGAACTTTTTTAGCTGACCTACCATCAAACTAATAATTATTTTTCTTTTGAAAAGCTGAAGGATATATTGAGTTAAATTGAAATAGGACAAAAGAAGCCAAATAAAAATGTAAAAAAAAAAAAAAACTTTGTGAAGAGCCAAGCTTGAAACAACAGACAGTGCACAAATGACTGGCTTGGACAACTAACATAGGATCATGCACTCATGTAGGCTTGAAGAAATCTTCAAGGCGGCTTACCCTGCACAATGTCCCACTTGATGGGAAAATAGGAATCTAATAAAGCAGATGGGAGGGACTGGCTGAGGCTTCAGTGTGTTGAGCTCTATCTAGTTCTAGTGCATGGACCAGCTCTACAGCTTGGATCAGCAGGGGGGGGGGGGGGGGGGGGGGGGGGGGGGTCAACTACTGTAACTGCTGGCTCCTGGTCAACAGACTCAGTGGCCTGATGGTCTACATGAGTGAAGATCTGCAGTGGGTAAACTAATGGAACTTTCTAACTCTACAACACCCTTACCGAAACTTGCTTTACTGCTGTCTGCTGATGTATACAATATAATATCATTGGTAAGCATAGAGAGTCCAGCCGTAAAAAGAAAAACTCTGGCATACAAACAATGGAAGACAGGACTTATTGTTAGGACACTGGGTTAGCACAGTGGCAGTGAGAGCAACAGGATCTTCAAATACAGCAAGGTCAAGCTGTTCAAGGTCAACAAAAAACACTAACACAACAGGTAACCATTTAAATAAATATTAGGCATGCTTCTACGTGTGCAGAGTAGGCATTTTATGTCCCCATACAATCTTCCTTTTGCTACTTAGAAATAAAAGAATGTAAACTAAATATTACTATGGAAGCAAATAATGTAAACTCAATGTCTTGATGTTACTGTAAAAGGAATGAATTGTAAACTTGATGTTTTTATCAAAGGAAAGAATGTAATCTTGAAGTGTCTATGGAATGAAAGTATTGACTTAAAAATTCTAGCTACCAGTGAAAACTTTTTAAAATTGAAAAATTGTCAACCATTATATTTAGTTGATGTAGCAAAAAGCAACTTAAAACTCACTTTAAAAAATCCACTGACACCATATTTCAAATCTTGGATTACTAAAGAACTTTTAAACATAATTATATATAATTTTTTTGTTTTAGTTAGGCCTAATGATCATATCAAATTACTATTGTAAAATAAAAACCTTATTGAGTACGAGAAGTAAAAATGAGTAAAAACTTACCACAGGCAAGACACCATATTGGGCTTGTTGGTAGGCCTGGAGCTGAAGGTTTTTAAGGATAAGGTTGTTGCGACCATTTTGTAACAATTGTTCTCTCAAGTGCTGAGGGGGGTGAAGATATTTACAGGGGGGATCTTTTCTTTGACATTTACCCTGGAGAAAATAGAAAAGGGAAAATAAGTTATTAAATAATTAAGTATTTCTACATCTAATATTAACATTTCTAAATTCTTTGTAATCCAACATGAAAAGAATAAATGTAGGTCTAGCTTATTTATTTTAAAAAGAAAACATTTGAACCAATTTTATGTTTTTGGTTTCTTGAGAAAGAGATTCTAGATCTAGAGTCTATACAAGAATCTAGATTAGTTAAACAATGAACTTAATTGGAGTGTAATATTACAGTGACAGTTGGAAGGCTAGAGTGAAGAAAGATGATCGTGGTTAACAACTAGATTAGCATCTTAGATTCTAGAGCTCTGTAGAATACTGTAGATATAGATCTAGATAGGTTTCTAGAAGAATATATTGTCTAGATCTAGATTATTTATATCTAGATCTAAAATCTTAATAGATCTAGTAGGCCTATCTATCAAAATACATTAGGTCATTAGGCTATAGTAGACAATAGATCTAGATCTAAAAATCTAGTAGTAGTGTCTATAAAAAAAAATAGGGTAATCTATCGGTTTAGGTGCGTAAAATCAGCAGAGGCTAGTTATGGTTAGAAATGTGAAAAAAAAATGGCCTCTTATGGCTTTAATACAAGTATATTATAATTGTGATATATTTGTGTCAAATATAATAGATAACTGAATAATAAACCAAAAGCAATGGCTAAATATATTAATAATAAATTTAATATAGGCTAGAAATTGACTTTAAACAGCAGTGTTTGTTATATAAACAGCAGCCATCTGAATCTCTAACTATAATTTTTGCCAAAAAAAAACAAACAACTTAAGAAAGATGGTTGCGAAAGTAAATGAGCCTAATCGCATCTGATGAAAACATGGCTAATGGCTAGTCTTTATTAATTACTGAAAAGTTTTAATACAATTGTTTAAAAACAGGTATAGAGATCTTTGAATGAAACTTTGAACAAAATTTAAACATATCAGCAACTTTCAAAACATAATCCTCCTAAAAATGTGAAATAATTAAAATAATTAGGCCTTCTAAAATTTAACGAGTCACATTTTTTTCACATTTCTAGCCTCGGCTGATTTTACATAGATCTACCTAAAAAGATAGATTACCAAACAAAAGTCTATTTAGAATAATTTAGATCTAGATTCTATATATAGGCTTAGGCCTATTAATTTATAATTTATAATATCTAGTCTAGATTCTAGTATATCCATCATGAGACAACAAATCACATATTATATTTATAACAGTGTCTCCTTCCCCCCACCTAGAATTTTAGTCCGTCAGTCCCCCTTATGAATTGATTATGTCTATTTTGAAAATGGGGCGCAAAATTGATAGTTCACCCTGGGCACCTAGATTCTAAATAGATCAATAAATTATTAGGTACTTTTTAATAATTGCGATTTCACATTTTTGCGCCCCCCCCCCCCCCCCCCCCTACGGACAGCGCCCTAGGCGACCGCTTAGTTCGCCTTATTATTATTATAGATCTAGGTAGAATCTAGCGCCGGCCCTGACAGTATTCTAAATCTAGACAGTGCTAACATTTTAACAGAGTGGGTGATGAGGGAAAGACTACTGTGAATGAACTAATACGTAATTGTATTCGTAAATTAGTTCCCCTGAGTTTTTTAAAGCCAAGATTACTATCACAAACGTAGTATCTGGATCTAGAATAAAGATTTTCTAGAAACCAACGGGAAAAATACAATCTGATCAGCAGACGAACCAGTTCTCTTTGCCCACCATCTGATGTAACGATAAGATTGATTTCGATCTAGAAGAGTTCTAAACAAGGGGTGTGTAACCCATCCTATTAAATTGGTAAAACCACGTGACTGAACGTTAGTCACATGACCTTGCGCCGTCTCAGCGTTTGTCAGACAAAGGATTAGTTTCTTCATTTGCTGTAAGGGCGAGGAAAGAGAAACACTTGAGACCGAGAAAATAAAATGTCCTAAACAAGACACTGAGCTGGCTGCGACAATTATGTCGATTTTCTAAACAGTCTTACGGTAGACAAAAAAAAAAAAAGATTGAAGATTCCTAGAGGAGATGTATGAAAGTTGTACTGGGAGCGTTACGACAGGAAATTGATCCACCCTAACCTAGAGTGAATCACCCGTCTGCCTGCCCGTCTCGCATCCATCTTTGTGAGTTCCCCGTGTGATAGAAGAAAAAAATGTAAATTCTTCTGATTCACACAAATCGATAAGACGCTGTCTGTCTGCCTGGTGTAGCCAGATTTCTTTGTTGCCAGACTTTGGTATGGAGGGTGAAAGTGAAAAGCTGTTGTGTGAAGATTTTCTTTCGTCGTGTTAGGGACAAGTGTATAACATGACTAAGTCCTCTAACAAATATGGTTGGCTTGCTTTTAAACTTAAACAATAGCGAGGTCAGTTGGTGGAATGGTGGCGGGAAGAACACCCCCCCCCCCTCGCCAAATAACTAGTCCGTGTAGGTAGAGATATATTTTCTCAACACCGACACTTTACTTTTAAACAACACAACGCTAATTTCATATAATCGACAGCTGCTAAGATAAAATAAAAATTGCACTCTGAGGATCGTTATTGTTTTAATAACTTAATAAGTTAATTGCGTTGTCAGCATATTTGTTTCAAGATATTCGAGGCTTGTATAATCTAGCGGGCGCGAGGTAAGCGTGCTTGTTGTTTTTTCCAGATAATTTCTGACATGGTTTTTTTTTACATTACAATAACACGAACAGTAGCTAACAATAACACGGACAGTAGCTAACAATAACACGGACAGTAGCTAACAATAACACGAACAGTAGCTAACAATAACACGAACAGTAGCTAACAATAACACGGATAGTAGCTAACAATAACACGGACAGTAGCTAACAATAACACGAACAGTAGCTAACAATAACACGGACAGTAGCTAACAATAACACGGACAGTAGCTAACAATAACACGGACAGTAGCTAACAATAACACGGACAGTAGCTAACAATAACACGGACAGTAGCTAACAATAACACGGACAGTAGCTAACAATAACACGGACAGTAGCTAACAATAACACGGACAGTAGCTAACAATAACACGGACAGTCTGCTAACAACACGAGATAATTTTAAATTTTAGCCATAATAGACTTTAAAACCAGATTAACTGACCGCTAACAAATTGACAAGATCGAGGGATTAACTGACCGCTAACAAATTGACAAGATCGAGGGATTAACTGACCGCTAACAAATTGACAAGATCGAGGGATTAACTGACCGCTAACAAATTGACAAGATCGAGGGTTTAACTGACCGCTAACAAATTGACACGGTCAAGGGTGAATGAATACAACGTGACGCAACTTACAAAAGTTTGACCAGAACCATTTCAGGTCGAGTGCTCTGCCCTGATAGCACGTGACATCAAGTCGTCGAGTTGTTTCAGCTACAGGGGGGGGGGGGCACAGAACCAGCTACAGGGGGGCACAGAACCAGCTACAGGGGGGTGGGGCACAGTCAGAACCAGCTACAGGGGGGGGGGGGGGCACAGAACCAGCTACAGTGGGGGGGCACAGAACCAGCTACAGATGGGGGGGACAGAACCAGCTACAGGGGGGGGGGGGCACAGTCAGAACCAGCTACAGGGGGGTGGGGCACAGTCAGAACCAGCTACAGATGGGGGCACAGAACCAGCTACAGGGGGGGGGCACAGTCACAACCAGCTACAGGGGGGTGGGGCACAGTCACAACCAGCTACAGGGGGGTGGGGCACAGTCAGAACCAGCTACAGGGGGGGGGGGGCACAGTCACAACCAGTTACAGGGGGGGGGGGGCACAGAACCAGCTACAGGGGGGTGGGGCACAGTCAGAACCAGCTACAGGGGGGGGGCACAGTCACAACCAGCTACAGGGGGGGGGGCACAGAACCAGCTACAGGGGGTGGGGACAGAACCAGCTACAGGGGGGGGACAGAACCAGCTACAGGGGGGGCACAGAACCAGCTACAGGGGGGGGGGGGCACAGTCAGAACCAGCTACAGGGGGGGGGGCACAGAACCAGCTACAGGGGGGGGGGGCACAGAACCAGCTACAGGGGGGGCACAGAACCAGCTACAGGGGGGGCACAGAACCAGCTACAGGGGGGGCACAGAACCAGCTACAGGGGGGGGGGCACTGAACCAGCTACAGGGGGGGGGGGCACAGTCTGCCACTGTCACACTACAACCACACAGACGTGTCACTGCTTCCTCAACACAACCACACCGAATGCCTCCACACAAATACTCACCCGCACAATAACCCACACACAAAAATAACCCACACAACGACCCTCACAATGCCGCTGAGTCTGTCATGCACGGTCATCAAAAGCAGAACAAAGATGGCGGCCATTTTTTTTCTTGAAAGTTTCTTTTGCATAGGCCGCGCTAGGTCAATACTGTAGGCCAACCTACGTCACTACAGCGGGCCTACGTCACCGTTTTAAGACAACCAACCTATATCATCGCTGCAGGCCTACTTTAGACACTATTCTAGAATATTCTAGAACTACTTAAGTCACTGTTCTAGACCTACCTACGTCTGTTCTAGACCTACTTAAGTCACTGTTGTTGTCCAAAAAGGTGAAAGACTATTATATTTTCGACTTATACTCCACAAGTAAAATCTATTAACCCCCTTTCTCCTTCACCCCCTTTCTCCCTCACCCTCTCCCCTCCTCCCATCAAACGCGAAGGTAACAGTGCAGATATACATCACAGAATAGTTGACAGACACTAAAAATAAACTGAGTTACACCGACAGTGAGGGGGGGGGGGAGGCTTGAAAAACAAAAACAGGTGCTCCTGCAGGTAATTTAAAAGCTGGAGTGTGCGACAGTAGTATAGTAGGTCCCCTTTGGGTCGTATTTGTGCAGACATGTTTATATAGTAAAATATTGAGCAGCCAGAGCAGACATGTTATATAGTAAAATACTCCAGCTGGAGCAGGTGTTCCCCTCCTCCTATTGTCTTCCGTGACGCTCCTTTACG